CTGAGAAAATTTGTCATGTGATTTATACTAGTACGATGCTTAGGCAGTGCATACTCCGCCCTGGGGAATGTCATCTCTGCGTTGGTGGACGGCGCGTCCTCCCACATCCCCTATCGCGATTCGAAACTCACGAGGCTTCTGCAGGATTCCCTCGGAGGAAACACAAAAACCATGATGGTCGCGAACTGCGGCCCGGCTGATTACAATTACGAGGAGACTCTGTCCACCCTCCGTTACGCGCACCGGGCGAAGTCGATCAAGAATAAACCGAAGATCAACGAGGACCCGAAAGACGCGATGATTCGGGAGTTTCAGGACGAAATCAAGGCACTGAAGGAACAGCTGGCGCAGCAGCAGGCAAATCTGCAGCGGACGCTGCAAACCGGCGCGGGCGAGCAGGGGGCTGACGGAAATCTGGTGATTGAGAAGGAAGTGATAAAAGAGGTGATAAAAGAAGTAAACACGGAGTCGCTGGAAACGATAGAACAAAAATTTCGGGCGGAAAACGAACAGGCAAGAGAGCAAATGGAGTTTATGCATTGCAAATATGTCTGGGTCTGGAAGGATGCAACTTGTGACGCTGTTTTTGGAAGGTAAAAAAAATCTGTATTGCATGACCAGCAAGAGGAGTTCAGTTTGTGCTACGCGGGGTAGGAGTTTCTCATGCGGAATACGCATCAGACGGCCCTTTAAAAATCTGTGACGCTAGTGCATGCATTACAGGCTTCATGGGTCATGCAGAATATGCATGACAAACGTGGCAATCTTCCAGACCCAGAGCCAGACATCTTTGCATTTGATAGAGTTGCAGAAGAAGCAAGTGGCTGAGGCGAGGGAGATGGCCGAAGCGGAGAAGGGGGAGGTCTTGCGGGAACTGCAAGCAAAGGAGGAGGCAGTGAAGAGAGCAGAGAAAGACCAACAGAACCTGTTGCAAAAATTGAAATACATGGGAGACAAAATGTTGCAAGGGTATAAAGTGGATTTTTTTCAACATCACAACTTCATGGCATGATGCCTGATTGCGTTGCGCATACGCAGGTCCTGCATGACAAAGAGTATAGAATTCCAATTGGCGTTCTGCTCCTGTTCTGCATCACAAATTACACCTAGACTACTCCCAGGTCCGCCGTCATCGAAAAGGCGATGGTCCAGGAAAAAGAGCTCCGGAAGTTCAAGCAAGAGGCTATCGAAATGAAAAATGCTCGTCCACGACCCCTGCTAGAAAGTGGACAAGTTTCTGATGCAAAATTTTCAAGCGGCAAGTTTTTGACTTGCACGAACGTACCACTTACAACTGGTGTTTCTGATACAGATGCTGTGCAAGATGAACATGAAGGCTTCTTTCACATAACAGGCACAGTTGTATTATCTCCACCTATTTACAAATTTATGTCAAAAATTTGCATCGAAATAAATTTGTGACGCCAGTAGTACATGCAACGTGGCAACAAGTGTTCGCTTTGGAATGATTTGCAACACAAACAAGACCACTTTTGAGTTCTGGGGTAGGGACCACGCTTGTTTCCAACTCGATAGAGGAAGCGGAACGGCAAGAGGCGGAGCGGCGCGCACGGGAAGCAGCGCAGGCGGAATTGGAAGCGAAAGAGATGATCCTTCAGCAGTACGAATCGCAGGAGGAACAGGCGCAGAAGCTGACAAAAAAACTGGAATCGCTGTGGCAAAAATACCAGAAGTCGAGACAGGAAATTGACGACGTCAACGCGGAGTTCCAAACGGACAAGTACGACTATCCTCTGCAAATCGATATCGTAATACTAGTTGCAGCCTTGCATGACAGAATCAGGCTATTACCTGAAGATTCTGCATGACTCATATATCATTTTTCACCTTCAAAAGAGTTTTTCTTTGTCATGCAATTTTTTCTACTAAAACTTTAACTTACTAACTAGTAGTACGCCTCTTTTGCGATGCATAATGACATGATGAGCACGATCAGGAATTTGTACAAGGAATTGGAATACAAGAATCTCGTCCTGGAAAACTTCGTCCCCCACGAAGACCAACAGCGGTTGTTGCAAAACTGCGTCTGGAGCGAGGACGGGGATGAATGGGTCGTGAAGTTGGGAGGTATTTTGCATATTTTGTATAACCTTGTCGTCTTTCGTGCTGGAGCTTTGGCTTATCCTCATCTATCATGCACGGTATCTTCGCTTAGCTGAAGAAGCTTGTCATGCCGAGAAGTGAATACTAAAGAAACTACAAAAACAACCAGGCGGTGGTGGTGACGGCATCGACGCGAAGCGGCGTCTGCGCGTCAACCTGCGTCGCCCGGATTCTGCTGTCGGCGCTCCCAGACCCATGTCGGATATCAAATGCAAAAGTGCCTGGGTCTGGAAGATTGCATGTTTGTCATGCTCGTCTGGCATGGCTCTTCAATCTGTCATGCACGTGACCCAAGAGCCCCACTTTGCTGTCATGCAGAAACGCAGTTTGTCATGCAGAGTAGGCAACGCCTAGAAGTTTAAAAGCTTGTCATACTGCGCCAGCACTTGTGGCCTCTTCATGATACGCCACCCAGCGTCACAAGTTTCCAGACCCAGACAATATTACATCCACGTAGTTCTCTTCTCTTTTCTTTCTTCAAAATGTTAAAGTCGTTCTCTTCCCTGTGCTGTACCATGGTCTTGCTTCCAGACAAAACACCAGACAATTTTACAATCCATATCGGAGCACGCGTTGCGAAAGATCGCCGCGAACGACCCAATATCAAATGCAGAAGTATCGTACTACTTACTCGCATAAATGCATTACATATTTTCGCAGCATGAGAAATGAGCTTTGTCTTGCTGATTTACCTTAAGAAAAATATCTGTAATGCGAGACTTGCATTTTTACGAATGCGATACTTTTGCACACCATACTCCAACCCGCGGTGGCGGCACGACAACGTGCTGCTCACCGAGTTGGAAATGCCGGAACGCCAAACGTGCGACTACGATGAGAATTCCCCAACCCACGATCCAAAAATCGAGAAGTTTTTGACCCTTGTGTCCAGTGCAAATATGTCTGGGTCTGGAAGAGTGAGATGTTTGTCATGCACATTTTGCATGACCCGAGACGTTTGTGCTGCATGCCCTAGGATCACAGATGGCGCGAGGGCTTGCTGATGCCCGTATCGCATGAGAGATGCCTTCTCCGCATATAGCAAATACTGGACCTCTTTTGCTGTTGATGCAATACAGATTTTGCGTAGAGTCCAGAGGTAGCATCACAAGTTGCATCCTTCCAGACTCAGTCACGAAATTTTTGCAATCCATACTTTGCCTTCACCGACGACGATTTTGAATCGGCTACCACGTTGGGCGCGGGCGGATCGGCGGCGGGAGCGGGGGGTGAGAACGCGGAAGGCGGGGGGCAGAGTGGCCAGAATGCTGCGCAACAGCAACAGCAGGTGTTTCCGCAGGCCAGAGGACTCGTGTCCAGTAGGGGGTTTGGGTGAGTAAGAGCGCCGTCGGGAGATTCAAACACTACGACAGGAAAGTGAAGCGGGAACGACCCGAGGGGCATGATCAGGATGGTTGTAAGTAGACACAGATGCTTAGAGATTTTGAGGAAACTCTAGTTCACAAACGGAAACGGATACTGAATACTTGATTATCAATTTGAGTTTGAAGAAAGTTCTTATCTGGGAAAGAGAAACTCAGCTCCGAAAGAGTGGCAAACACTGGAACCGCAACTGAACGGCGCTGCTTGTACAGATTGAAGTTTTTGCGCGAATATTTGGCGGAAAAGAGGAAAGGACACGCAGCGATTGAAAATTATTTTTTGGTAAAATGTTGAAAGACAAAGGTAATCCCTGTTCCTCAGTACTTTCTGCTTAGAGGGGACGAGTGATTTGAGAGTGATACATACAGGAAAACTCTCAAAAATAGAGCTGGAGCTGCATCCTGACGAGCGGAGGCGAGCTTTTGCGTTCTCGAAACTTTGATCCATGTTGAAAAGCCTAGCACTTGGACCTGCTGCCTGGCTTTTGCGGAGTGAGACTCTTCGTGTATAAGCCCCGCGATGAAAGGGCGGCGCCGTCGGTTCTGCTAGCGCTTCAGGATGTCGCGGGCGGCGGCATCGTGTTCGCCTGTTGCTACGGTGCGGCTGGAGATGGGGGCATGCGCGTCCAAAACCATTGGCGGCGGCGTCTTCGCACGACACGGACCGAGCCGCGAGCGCGGCGGCCGGGCTGACGCCCCTTGTTGGCGGCATTGTCGGCGTCGATTTGGAGCGGGGTCGGCTCGCAAATCATTGAGCGCCCGCATTGCGCTAGCAGGGCCGGCCGGCCGGGCGTTTTTTTTACGCGGCGCCATGAGCGGACTGATCAACTCGCATCCTGCCTGGCTCTTAGAAGGACTACGCTCAGCGACCCAGTCGGGCCGCGCGTGCCCGCCGGGCAGCGCCTTGCTTCGCTTTGCAACCCTTGCCTGCGCGGTGGGCCCGCGCTTCCTTGTGAATTTGGCGCGGATTGGAGCCCTTTCGGGGTTCTTTTCGTTCTGAACCCGCCCGCGGTCCCGCCACTCCCGCCGGACCGTCCGTGCGCCCGCTTTCATCACATTGGCCCTTCCAGTCGGCCCAGGGGGCCCAGGGCATGCCTGTTGTTGTTGGCCGCCCGTGGGCTTAGCAAGCTGTTGCGTCCATGTACACCGAATGTGTGCGCGGGTGTGGTGTCTTCGCAGCACGATGAACCTTGGCTCGTGACCGGCGTGGGACAATGGGCGGTAATTAGGGGGCGCATCAGGCCCGTGTCGAATATTCCTTCTGCATCGCACGCAGAGGCGCAATTATGAACGCGAAAAGCGACCAGGGTGTGTCTTCGTGTGGTGTTTCTTCAAGTAGAGATAAAGTCGCACCTGACTTGTCCGTCGGGTCATGAGCGTGAGAGCTTGTCGAGTTTCTGATAAGTGGAGATGTGACGCTAATTACGATCTGAGTTTGAGAGTGAGCGCATAACACACCGTTGTGAGGTCGAGTGAATTTTCATGCACAAAGCTGATGAGGATGCGCTGGTCTTGATGCAGGCGGAAGTCCGGTTATTCTGTGTGACGAGTTGGCTTTTATGTTTATCATTTTGGCAGAGTAGCAGTAGCTGGCAGTAGCACTATCAACAGCAAGGAGGATGGTCGAGAAGATGTAGCACATGGCAATGCTCCGCGGACGACGAGCATCCGCAGCAGCATGCAGGAGACGGCGGCCCCGCTTTGGGGCGAGGCCGCCCGGCTTCGTGCGGCCATCCGCTGCCAGGCACGCGCTTTGGCGGTGGGGATGATGACGCGGCGCAGGGCAAGGCCGGCGGGCTGCGTGCTTCGCTTGCTTCCAGCGCCCGCCGGGCCTTGCCTTGCGCCGGCTTTTTGCCTGCTCGGCTTGTTGTTATTCTTGGGCGACGTGGTCAAATTCTACATTGTGAATGACACGCGCCACGAGACGAGCCGGGCCCCCCCCCTTTGATCAGCCGGCCCGCGTGGTTTGCGCATGTTCTTCCCTGGCCGGCTGCGTTTGTCGGCCCGCCGGCGGGCTGGGCCAGCCGGCCCCCCCGCCGGGCTGTGGTTTGGCGGCCCCGCCCCCTTTTTCCCCCGTTGCCCCATCAGCCGGCCCGTGAGTGTGCCCGGCGGGCGCCAGAGCGCCCCTTAAGAAATTAATAGGCAGGCAGCATTCTACCTGCCGGCCGGAGTCCTAGCCGACGGACCGCGCCGGCCAGCCGGAACGCAGCGGGGCCGGCCGTGTTTCCGCGTTCATTCTATTGGGCTTTGTCTTGTGCCGTCATGGCGGAAAAGCGCAGTACCGCTCGCGGCACGTTAATTGCCCGGAATAAGGCGCTGCTGTTATTGTTGCGTGTGTAGCAAGAAAAGTATTGCCGGGCCCATCTCGATGCACGCAGTGTGGTGCAGATCAGGGCGCGAGATCAAAATCTTGTCTTGAAAAATGTTGCCCCAGTGTTGGCGTGTTCAGTGAGATTTGATTTGAGTGTGAGCGAGAGATCACATAATTAGCGTACGTGTTTATCTGATCTCATTTTGTGTCTTGGTCGATGCCCTTGCACAGTGGACCTCGTGCCCATTATCCTTTTCCGATGTATTTCGTCGTCGATGTTGTCGGGCACCATATTTGTATTTCCGATTCCGTTTCCCTTTCCGACAGAGAAAAAATCCCGAGAGGAGCAAGCAATCGGCAAGCGTCAGGCAACAACCAACCTTACAGGACCCCAAATAAACGTTTTTCTTTCGTACATACATATAGAAATGCGACTTTCAAATATCAAATTGCGTGACGCTCAACTATGGTGCTATGTATGAGTGACCAAAGAAGGTTGCAAAAACCATGCGCCAGTGGCAGTCAGTCGTGATAGATTATGTCTGGTTATGACATCAGCCGCTGCTGAGCAGGCGTCTCAGCATCCCAGGAACACCCGGACGAGGAGAAGGTCGGAACAACAATTGCCTTTCGTCCACGAGACCTCAGGTCAAGCCCTTCCACTATGCCCCCTCCCCCACGACCCGGGGATGATGACGACGATCCGCAGTTGTCAGAGACCATGGACGGTGCGGCAAACGCATCAAATCCCTACGTCCAATACGAGGAACGTGATCACCAGCACGACAACCTCTCGGCTCCAGCCCGGAGATCCAACAGTCAAAGTCCGATTCCCAGCATGCGGGGCAGCTGGACGGACCGGGAGTATGAAATGCAGATTTCCGAGCGCGTTCCGGGCGATCCGGTAGGACTACTGCAGCAGAACCACGACAGGCAAAATGATGTACAAGATGACGACCGTGTCTACTCCGATGAACGCGAAGATTTTCCAAGCACGATCATACAACCCAAGAACTCGAACAGAACCCTCGCCCACGAGGCGCGCGCAAGTTCGAAGGAGGGCCGGGTGCACACCCCGAACAGCAGGAAGGCGGTGCCACGGCGAGATGCAGACTGGCTGGTCCGAAGCGACGAGGAGAGGGAGATGGAGTTTGCGGAAGCAGGACGTGGGCAGCAACCCGTGGGAACGACCGGATCACAATCCCAATCCGCCTACCACCGGGCGATCCAGAAGTCGCTGGACGACAGAGCTGGAAATAAGCAAGAACCTGTAGTGCAGCAGCAGCAGCAGCCACAGAACACTCTGAACCTCCAGATGAACAATCAAAACAATGTCCAGAACTTCATGATCGACAGCCATTCGCAGGAGAAGTACTTCAGCAACACGCCGAAAGTCACCCGGTACGACGACGATGGCTCCGGCTCCGGTTCCGGCTCGCCGTCAGAAGAGGGGTTTCCCTACGCCCAGGAGAGAACGATCGAGTTTTCCGGCAGCTTTGACAACGGCAGCAGAACCAGTCCGTTCATTGACGAGGATCTGAACGGGTGGCATCGGAGTAATAATGTTGCGGGGCCGGGGGGACGAGCGAGTTCTTCCAGAAACAGAAATCCCGACCACGATGCAGATTACGATTACGACATGGGGTACAACAACACAAATGGCCGGCAAAATAACGTGAACAATTTCCGAACCGGGAACTACCAGTACGGTGGGGCGCAGTCGTCGACGGCAGGGACAGCGAGGAGGAATGAACAGAACTATTACCAGAGGAACGCTAACAACAGGCAGCAACAGCACCAAAGAAACCAGTTTGATGATATCATGTCTTCCTCCCAGCAGTTCATAAGCCAAATGACGAGCAGTGGGAGGGATTTCCTGCAAAGCAATTTTTTCAATACGACGGGCAGCAATCTTCAAATGAACAACCCCGGAGGCGGAGTTCATCTTGGTCGGAATTCCAACTACAGCACAGCTACAGGAGCTGCAGGCCCGTCGCCAGGGACGATGGGTCATCAACATCATTTCCAACCTCCGAACCGAAACATGACGAACAACCTCGGGTCGCCGTTACTGGGCAGTAGAACTGGGAGCTTTGGATCCCCTATGAATAACAATTTCGGCACGAATTTCCCCACCATGAACATCGACGAGGAATACAACGCCGTGACAAATGTCGACGACTTCCTGACCCACCTATCAAATGCAAATATGTCTGGGTCTGGAAAATTGTGATGCTAAAATGTGGATGATGGAAACAGTTCCGAATGCACCCTAGCATGACAACTTGCCAGAACGCTTTCTCATAGGCAATCCGCATGAGAGCCTGCGTGTTTGCATGTACAAAAGAGGCTGCGACTTTTGTTGCTTTATGCAATACAGATTTCCTAGGTCTAGGTGTGGAAAGCTAGGATTACAAGTTCAAACCTTCCAGACCCAGACATTTTTGTATTCGATACCACCTCTACCGCTACTACGAAGCCAAGGGGCTTCATGGGCGAGTGGCAGACCACCTCGGCCATTTGGTCGCGTTGGCGTTCACCATCGGGTTCAGTTTTCTCCTCGTGTTTTACGTCAACTGGCCGGCGATTTTCAGCTGCAAATCGGAGGCGACCTGCGAGAAGGTGGTATTCTGTGCAAAAGTATCGTGCTCGTATTGCAATCATGCATGACAAATCTTTTTCTCAAGGTAAATGTAAATCCGCATTACAAATTTTATTTCTCATGCTGAGGAACTTTGTAATGCATTTAGACGAGTGCGATACTTTTGCAGTGCATAAGTGGTGTTTTTCTACGACAAACCTTTCTCCAGTTTGTCCCTGCTCGGCTACATCGCGCTGTTTTACTTCATGCTCGCGGGGGTGTATTTGGTGTACAACGTGTTTCAGTGTATTGAGGACTTGCGCTATCCGCAGTGAATTTTAATTTTCCCTACACGACGTACAAATGTGGCTTCCGCATGACAAACTTTTCTTTCAACCCTCTTTAGCATGGCAAGTTGCTTCTTCTATTGGTTGGTGAAATCATTTGTGATGCATTTTGTACTTTTAGTACGGGAAATTTGTATTGCATATGCGCCACGCGTTGGAAGCCTCCGCGTTCTACAAGGACAAACTCTACATCCCATCGGACGACGTTCTGGCCTGCATGTCCTGGGCGGAGGTGGTGGAAAGGATCATTCAGGAGCAACTCCGCTGTCCCTTCGTGATCCGAGAGGAAAGGCTGACCGCGCTGCAGATAACCAACATCATCATGCGGGAGGAGAATCTGCTGATCGGGTTGGTGAACAATGAACACTTAGAGAACCACCTACCCTACTGGCTGCCGAAACGAATTTTCTACAGCAAATCCGTGCTGTTCGCCTTCCGGAACATCATCTACAAGAGCTTTTTCGACCACAAATCGAAAGTGGATTTCGGTTCCTTGAAGCCCGAGATCCTGTGCAACCACTTTCGCCTCGTCGGACTCTTCGCATTGATCGGGTTAGGCCCGATCTGTGTCTTCGTTATCGTAAGGAAAGATCCTCCCTCCCCATATCGAAAGTAAATTTGTGATGCTGATTTGTGACCACAAATCGACTTGTATTGCTAGAAGGGCAACAAGAGACGCAGCTGCTCCCTCGTTTGCAGGCAATTTGTCACGCTGTGTCCCGTTTCCAGTTGCTTCCTGTCATGCTGAAGACGCAAGGCTTTCTCACGCCAGCCAGAGCTACACTCTGGCTATGGGGAGGGGTCGTGATTTTTCCGCTTGATATTCGTGTTTCTGTACTTCTTCATGCGGCACTGCGAGGACTTCCGGTCACATAGGAATTCCCCTATCAAAAGGAAAAATGCCTCTCCCCATATCGGAAACGAAATTTGTGATGCTGTATTTGAGTACACAAGTCGACTTGTGTTGCTAGAAGGCCAAGAGACGCAGCTGCGGCTTGAATTGCAGGCAATTTGTCATGCTGTTCCCCAGTTCCAGCTGCCTCCTGTTATGCTGGAGATGCAAAGGTTTATTCCCACGCTAGCCAGCACTACAGTCGCAGTCCGCATCTTTTGCCTTCTAGCGTTACAAAGCTGATTTGTGGCCACAAATCTGCATCACAGATTTCCGTTTTGATATGGGGAAGGGGCGTTTTTCATTGTAATATCCCCGTTGGAACGCCAGTGGACGGGGTACGCGGAGTGGTTTTTGCGGGAGTACAACGAATTGCCGCATGCCTTTAAGCAGCGACTGGAGAAGTCGAAGTTTTTCGCGAACGACATTGTGGACAAACAGGAAATCGTGTCGAACACGCCTTTGACCGACGGGATCAGGAAGTGCGTAAAATACGTCTCGGGCTCTTTGCTCGCGATTCTAGTCGTCATCGCCTGCTTCGACGACGCGCCTTTGCTGTTTTTGAAAATTTGGGACAAAAACCTCCTGTGGTACCTCGCCGTCCTCGGGTTCATCGTCACCCTGTCCGACACAAACTCTTCGGGCTCGGGGTCCGGCCCGTTTGGCGGGGGCGGCAAGAAGAAGCGGTTCGCTCTATCACATATTAAAACGCTCCCACCCCATAGTGAAGTTGGGAACTTAGCAACACAAATCCAGAAGTCTTAGAAGCCACGCATGACAGGTTGCAGTCCGCAGTGTATTGCATGTTAGCAAGGACACCTGCATCAGAAATCCATTTGCTTGTCCTGTTTGCAGCATTAGAAATTCCAAAACACGACTGAGAGTGCCTCCCTACTTGGGGATGCGTTTAAACAAGTGTTCCTGTAGTCGCAAATCTGCATGAGAACTCTGGGGTGGGGACGTTTTTACACAGGATACGCCTCCGGGTCTCCGTACGAGGGGCACAGTGGCGCGACCTTGTACATGGAGAAGGTGATTTTAGACTTCGCGAAGTGCACCCACTACATCCCGGTCGCGTGGACCAAGGTGTTTGGCGGAATGAACGACTTCAACCCAAACAGGCGGTTGGTCCAGCTGCACCAGAGACTCTCGCTGCAGGAAAAATATCGGGTGGTGGAGGCGTTCGGTACTAACTACTTATTGGAAAATGATTTTTTGCATTTTTGTATTAAAGTTGTCCACAGGAAATACAAATACAGCAAGGTTGAAAGTAACAAAAAAATGAACTTTTTGCCCGATTACCAGTGTTTAGCAAGTTTATTCTGGCAACCCGGGTTGGTTGTTATGCTGTGTGAATAATCGCGCGGTAGCATAATTGGGAATGCGCCTGGTCGAACCTGTGCTGCACTTGCAGCTTCGCAGCGTTGCTAGCAGCAGCGAACATTTCCTGTGCTCAGCACGTGGAAAACAGGTTGCCGCGTGTGGTCGTTACTTGGTCAAAGGTTCATAGGAAGCGACTGGAACAGCCTTCCTATGCTGTTCCGGAAGTGGGGCTAGAGGCTCTGTGCACCGACGCCGACGACTAGGAGACCCGGGTTCGAGTCCCGGAACGCGCATCTTTTTTTGGGAGACAGAGTACTTGATTCCGAAAGCACCCTTGTACTCGTTCACCTCGTGCTTGTTCTGAACCTAGGCACAAAAACACCTTCAATTTGAAGACGCAAGAGAAACCTTTTTGCCCGAATGCAAGTATTTAGCAAGGGTATTCTGGTGACCATGGGCAACGGTTTTTCTTTGTAAGCAATCGCGCGGTAGCATAACTGGAAATGCGCCTGGTCGAGCCTGAATGAACTGAGGAAGGTCAAGGTCTGCGTACGTAGCATGGACTGAGACCTTCAGGTTCGCTCCAGTCGTCGGTCGACCGGGCGGCACCGCTGTCGTCCCGAAGCAGTGCAACGGACCGGCGGACGCGCCTGGTCTCGATGATAGGGGTTGCTCGCATAGACGCTCGTCTCGGGGGCTACGTCAGGTGCGAGAACAGGTCAAAGACTGGACGGAGGCCAAGGGGAATCGGCCGTGGCTTGGTCCAGTCCTGCCCGTCGACGGCAGACTAGGAGACCCGGGTTCGAATCCCGGAACGCGCGCTTTTTCGGTTTTTTTTTTCTCCTCTCGCGTAGCCTGTCACCACTGCCGTTCGTCTGACCCATTTATTAGTTACCTGTGCGGCTAGCTTCGGGTTATTTTGGTCCGCCTGCCGAAAAAAATATAAAATTAAAATGACACTATCCGCACTGGGCAACGACGAGGATAAATTTTTTTTTCCCCGAGTCGTTGCATTTAGCAGAGGTATTCTGACGACCCAAGCATTCTGCTGTTCCACTGGAATAACTGCGCGGTAGCATAACCGGCAATGCGCCTGGTCGAGCCTGGCGTGCAGGTGCGTTTCCACTCACTGGAGACGGCGGCGGGCGTTCGGGTGACTCAGGAAGCCCGTGCGCACTCAACTGCCGCTCGTGGTTGAAAAACTCTCACCGCGTCGCCTGCCCGAAGTGCGAGTCGCGACTCACTTCGGTCTCTCGGGGAGGTCATCCGCGAGGATCCCCGAGGACAGGTTCCAGACTGGCGGCTGACCGGGCCAACAGTCCACTCGACTAGGAGACTCGGGTTCGAATCCCGGAACGCGCATTTTTGTGTTGCGCGGGAGGATCGTTTGCGCAAATGGTTTTTCGTGCTGGATCACTACAACTCTTGAACCATGACAATCCTAGGTGTCGCCATTTCTTGCGTCCTCGGGAAGCATTAATGAGGTATGTATGAGTCCCAAAAGCAAATGCAAACCTTCAAAACAGCCCGCTCCCGGGATGAATTACAGAAGAACTTTTTCGTCCCAAGGATCCAGCAGCTCATCGAAGAGATCTTCGGACTGTGCGTGACGCCAATTCTCCTGCTCGTCTACCTCCCGGCCGCGAGCATCGACATCTGCAATTTTGTCCGGAACACGGTGTATCAGAGTGAAAATCTCGGCGACTGGTGCAGCCTTGCGACCTTCGAGTTAGACCAAACCGACCCAAGATTGTCCCGGTTTGGCAAAATAGAAAAATCGGCGCTGAGCTTCGCTCTCATGTAAGTACAAGTTGTTGTCCCTATGGCTATGGCGGGTTGGATCATAGTGCGCATTTGCGATGAGACTGTGCTCCTTAGTAAATGTTACGCACACAACGTCGCGTGATTTTTCCGCATGATCCGCTGCGCAATATGTAAAATGAAATTATCGAAAAACAGGTACCGCAACGCTCCTTCCGATTCGCTTCAAGAGCAAACCAACGCTTTGGTCCAGCAGCGCATCCCCTCTGGAGAGTTCAACCAATCTTCCCAAACCGAAACGAGGCCGACAGAATATGGCGTTCTCAAACGCTACATTCTCAACTGTTACATGAATTTGTGATGCAAGAATGGCAACAGGGAAAGGCCGGATCTTGCAAGTCTTGCATTACAAACTTGGCACAGATTCCCATGCTGTTTGGCCCTTCCAAAATTTGTCATGCGAGGCAGCTTCATTGTGTGGACGTTGGTGCTCATTTTGCATGAGCAGTTGAGAGTGTAACAAATCATGTAGCAGCTGAGAATGTAGTAACATTTGAGAACGCCATACAGAAGTGATGGAGATGAGTTTGATGGTGAACGCAAACACGGACACGGAAGTGGAACTGACCGAAGCTGATCCGAGCAATCCGGACCGAAAAATTCTGAACGCGACCAGTAGCAAACGGCCGATAGTAGATCATGATGCAGGGAATAATTTATCAACCGCAAATATGTCTGGGTCTGGGAGACTGCGATTTTTGTATATCCTAGTCTGGCATAGGCATGGCTCTGAGCTCTGATGTATTGCGAGGCCGCGAAGAGCTTCTCTTGCCTGCCATGCAAAAACGCAGTTTCTCATGCGGAGTACGAAACTCAGTCTCAGAACCACGGAAAAATTTGTCATGCTTAGCCGCGCATTGCAGTGTGCTCACTATTCCGTTCCGTGCAGATCACAAGTTTATTCCAGACCCAGACATATGTCCGATGCATACACTTTGGATTCCGAAGTGGAGACCAACTACACTGCGAAAGCCGCGGACCCCGTCTGGGGCTACCCGATGGCGGTTTTGCGGTTGTGCTACGATATCGAGCAGCTGGCGAAAGAGAGTTTTGAGGACTACAACTACCTCCCCACGAGCTTAACGGAGTTGAAGGACCAATTCGTCGAGAAGCACGCCGATGGGACCTTTTCCATGCTGCCGGTCTCCCAGTTTTTGGATTTCGATAACCCGGTTTGGTTTGACACCACGCACTACTTCTGGTTGGAAGTTTTGCTGAAAAACCGGGAAAGTTCCAGAAGGAACCGGGTCCGGACGATAAGTAGAGAGCCGTATGGCAATGGTGGACTATCAAATGCAAAAGTGTCTGGGACTGGAAGATTCTGACACTTGTCATGCACGTTTTGCATGAGCCCTGATGTCTGTGATGCATGCCCTAGCATCACAGATTTTTTGAGAGCTTCTTGATGCCTCTTCCGCATTACAAATGCCCTCTCCGCGTAGCAAAAATTACATTCCCTTTGGTACTCATGCAATACAGATTTTTCTGGAATCCAAATGCAGCATCACAAGTTGCATTCTTCCAGACCTAGACATTTTTACATTTGATATGGACCAATGGGGATGAACAATAGTGGCGGTGACACGGCGGGTGACGGGGGGGAAGGCGAAAATATTGATAACCAGGAACAACATCATGATCATCAAACCCAGTATAATAGAAATCCGCAGTACAACGGCGCTTCTGATGGTGATGATCTTCAGGATCGCGAGATGCGGGAGATCTACTCGGCACGGGAACGAACCGTGTCCAATCAAAACTACAACCCTGCAAATTCCCGCATGCAGAGTCGCGGAGGCGTCAGCAGCAATAACGCGGATAACTACGTGTACCGGTACACTTCGTCTGCGACCTACCACGCACCGTCTTTGGGGGAAACGACCAACGAGGTCGGGGAGACGGTGTTGCCGCGGTTCCGGGACACGTTGCGGGCGGCGTTTGGGATTAGGGGATAGGAGTAGTTTCTTGAAATCCTTTTGCTGCACGTATGGATTTGTTCAAGTTCAGTGCAGTAAAAGTTTTCATTTGCTGGACACGCCGTTCTAGTAGTACTTAGAAGGGCAAGACCCGTCAGACACTTTTCTCAAGAATTCAGCAACAGACAGTACGAGGAATCTCATGTACCTGCCAAGGAACAAGTACAAGAATTATGATCAGAAACTGCAGCAGGAGGGGAGATAGGATTTTGGTTTTCGGTCAACGAAGGAGCAATTTCGTCAGATCTGGTAGAAAGAGTTTTTCAAAAGAAAAGAAGACTGCAGCCGTGGTGCTGTTTCGAGAAGTAGAGTGTGCGGTTTGGCACAATGGCTCGTGTTCCAGATGAACTTTTTTTGTTTTAGCTGCGCCGCGCTTTGTTCCCAAAAAAACAAAAATCGAACAAGAAGTCGTGGACAAGAGATTTGTGGCATCGTCAGTTCCTCCTAGTAGCCAAAATGGATCCGATCGTCCCTGCCAGTCCGTCCAACCGCGTCATCTCTCCTCAGCACCCGCCGGCGGCACATCAAACTGCGCCCGGAGTCACAGCACCAACAAACCGCCCCCGGCCGTCTGTCTCCAGACCCGGGAGATCCTTGACTGTGATAAGTTCTCCGACGCAAGACCGCAGTGCTGTTGGACCACAGCAGGTCGTGCCAGGAGCAGGAGGAGGATTGTTTGGAGGTCCTCCGCAGCAACAGACTAATAGTAATATTAACACGGCTTTAATCAGTCCGAATCCAAATGCTGTTGTCCAAGTTGTTTCCCCGACAAATTCCTCCTACACCAGATCGCCGACGAACAACATACGGCAAAATAGTATCACATCGTCTCATATGAACTGCAAAAGTATCGTACTCGTATAAATGCATTACAAATTTCCTCAGCGTGAGAAATAAAATTTGTAATGCTGATTTGCCTTGACAAAGAAATTTGTAATGCAAGACCTGCATTTATACGAGTGCGATACTTTTGCACAGCATATCTCAACATTCACCGTCGGTTTCGTCCTACCAAACATCCGTGTGGAACCCGGGCAACAGCCCCTCGTCGCACTTTACCAACACAAATTTTAGTTCCACGACCGGGCAGAACAATCATAGTTTCCTAACCCACAACGCACTTCTCACAAGCGGACAACATCATTCCAGTGGGAGCCACAACAAAGGCCATGGAAATGCCTCCAACGCAGCAGAATATGATGACGACGGTGCGAGCTCTTCTGCGGCCAATTCTTCGACCTACTCTGTCAGCTCCGTCGGGTCTCCGTTTTCCACTTCCAGGCAATCCTCTACCACTCCCGGGGGGGGCACCAGTTCCCGGTCCAGCTCCTTCGAGAATCAGTTCGACGCGACTTCCGGGACACTGAACGTCAGCAGTGGGGGGCACCACCACCATCACGGTCAGAGGAATTTGTCGGACCCGAACCGGAAACCGCGAAAAAGGTCTTCCCGGTCGTTGCACATCGGGTTCGAAGACACGAATTCCGGGAAGTGCTCCATTGACATCGAATGTGAGCTATCAAATGCAAAAATGTCTGGGTCTGGAAGGATGCAAGGTTTGTCATGCACATTTTGCATGATTCCTGACGTCTGTGATGCATGCTCTAGCATCAGTGATTTTGCGAGGGCTTCCTGATGCCTATACCGCATCAGAAATGCCCTCTCGCCAAGGCAAAAACTGGACCTCTTTTGCTGTTCATGCAATACAGATTTTTGTAGCATGCAAATGCAGCATCACAAGTTACATCCTTCCAGACCCAGACATATTTGCAATGCATACGAGCACGACCGGCGGGCGGCGCAGTCGGGCGTGTGGGTGATGAAGGACTTCGCCGAGCTGTTCCAGCACGGGAGAAGCTACAACTACAACCTCGCGAGTGGTTCATCTGGAGGTGGTCCACTGCAGCAGCAGCAGCCTCTGGCAATCGATCTGAAAGTTGTCGACACAAGGTCCGCGAGTAGCAGAAGTTCGAGTACGAGCTGCTACAATAACCAAACGTATCACGGAACAAGTCTGCAACCACAGCACGCGGCGCATGGGGGATCGGTCAGCAGCGGGTCGGGCGTGGTACAGATTTTGTTCGCGTAGTTATGGTGGTCGTGGTCCTGCTCGGAGGTGGTGGTTTTGCATGAGATCCTGCTTATACGACATTCGAGACTTCCTTTCTTGCTTTCTGCAAGAACGCAAAGATGATCAATCAATGGTTCTTCGCTAGGTCCAGCCCACTTCCCCCAACCGTCCCTCCTCCGCCTCGCCCCGCGTCGGCAAACAGCAACAACAGCAGAACCAAAACTACACTGCAGGACCACAAACAGCACAAAATGACAACCCCAACAAGATCAACCCCCCCGCCGCCCAAAACCGGATTCTGCAATGTCTGAAGCTCTATGGTTTCGAAAAACCGACGAAACTGCAGGCCCACACCATCCCCGCAGTTTTCAACGTGGTGTCCACCGGCAGCGGGTTGACAGCTGCCACAACAGCCTCTCACAGCAGTAGCAGCAGCAATCGCGAGCAGGGGAAGTCCTGTGTGGTGATCCAGGGGCCACCGAAATCCGGCAAAACCTCCGCCTTAGCGCTCGCGGTCGCCGCGGGGGTCAATCCGCTGATTAAACACTGTCAGGCGCTGGTGTTGTGCATGAGCGAGCGGAGGGATTTCGAGAAGTTTTTCAACGTGTTTACCATGCTGCATCCGGTCAAGTTGTGCTCTTTGTACGACGACAAGAATAGTAGTTCGGGCACAGGTATCAACTGCAAAAATGTCTGGGTCTGGAAGATTGCCAGGTTTGTCATGCAGGTTTTCTATGGCCCATAAGGTTTAGAATGCAACACCTAGCATGACAAATTCTTTGAGACCTCTATCATGCCCGTTCTGCATGCGAAATTCCCTCTCAATTTCGTAAAAAAGGACCGCTATTGGTAATCACGCAACACAGATTTTCTGCATGGTGTTGATGCAGATTTAGCATGACAAGTTCCAGACCCAGACATTTTTGCAATTCATAACGGGCACTGCGGCGGGCATTGGTGTAGTTGGTGGAGTCGGTGCTGGTACCACCACTACGGGAGGACATCTTGGAGTTATTGGTGCTCAACATCCGATGGAGGCGTGGAGTGGACTGGGAGTTGGCAATCAGGGACCAGGTGGCCCGATGGATATTGACGAGACGGGGTCTGTTGCGAGTGGGCCGCACAGACCGAATTTCAACCGTACAAACTGAGAGGTTTTCTTACGAATACTGAAATGCGAAAATTTACGTGCTGACTATGATTTTTCTCCAAATCTACATTCTGCCTCTTCCAAACAAAAACAAAGGTACTCACCTTCCGGAAAACCACCACCCCGCCACCTTCTCCCCTTCTTCCGACCACATCGGCGCACAGGTGATTGCCGGCAGACCCGGCGACGTGTTGAAGTTTTTGAACACCCAGGATGTCTGCCTCGACTACATTTCAGTGCTGATTCTCGACGACGCACAAGATTTATGTACTAGTACGATAGGGGGTAATGCTGGAGGTGGAACTAGTGTACTAGACCGAGCCGCGTCCGCCTCGTCGGACCAAACTCCTATCCCAGTAGTTGCTGCAGCACATCTTCTACCGCACGGAAAAACTGTCTCAGTCCCAAACCTTTGCAGAAACTTGCTCGGCATGACACGGAAAACCTGTGATGCGTCAGGCACAAAAAAAAAAACATAAAAGACGACTCTTTTGCTTGTCGAGTATGACAAAAACTGTCTCCAGGAAGTTGCGCATTACAAGTTGAGACTGAGACAGTTTTTTCTCAGGATAACATCAGAAGACCACAACCCAGATGGACGAAGTGATTCAGGTTTCCCACCTCGTAGAGTGCCGGATTCTGTATCTGTCGGCAAAAGAGTATCGTACTCCTCGTAGTTGCAGTCATGCGTGACAAATCCAACTTTCTACCTGAACTACAGCTAGCATGACAAATTGCGCTTCTGTAGTTTTTGAGAAAATTTGTGATGCGATGCCTACTACGTACAAAGGCTTTTGCAATCTGCATATTCTCGCACAGAAGCTGAAGTACGTGCTGTCGAGTCAAATGATCAACGCGGGTGGAGCAGCAGTAAACGGTCCACCTGGAACTTCCTCCTCCAGCTCCACAACCACCACTCAACAATCCGCGGCGATGCAACAGGCCCTGCAGCAGCAACAGCGGAAAGTTCTCCGGATGCTGAAGTCGTCGGTGATGAAAAAGAAAAACCTCTTCTCCGTGATGCCCTATGAATTGCAAAAGCATCATGATCGTACTAGTATAAATTGCATTACAAATTTGCTCAGCATGAAAAATTGAATTTGTAATGCTGTTTCACATTGGAAAGGAAATTTGTCATGCATACCTGCAATTAGTACGAGTGCGATACTTTTGCACAGGATATGCCCGATTTACCAACGAAGCTCCGGTCCAACGTGAAGCACTATGTGGTGGAGGCGAAGTCCGATTCTTGGTGCAAAATCTTGAAAGGACTGGTCAACGCGTTGTTGTTTCCGAAAGCGGTGGTGTTTTGCGACGACAAGAAGAAACTCGACTTGTTCCCGGCGAAAATGAAGGAACTGGGATTGCAGACCTCGGTGAACTTGAGTTACCAATCCATGAACAACTTATTACACCACCAGCCGGGGGGAGCAGCGGCCGCGATGGGTGGAAATCATGTCGTTCATCAAGGTGGGCCACTCTATCAGCAAAATTTAAATTACGGCCAGGTTAGTATGGAAAACAAAAGGTTAGAAGCGGTCACGGATTTTCACCAGGGGAAGACGAAATTCCTCTTCACCGTGTCCGAGCCGTCGCTGTGTAAGTCGACCTATCAAATGAAAATATGTCTGGGTCTGGAAGCATGCAACTTGTTATGCTGCATTTGGATTCCCAAAAAATCTGTATTGCTTGAGCTCCTGCAGAGGGAATGTACTTAAGTTTTGCTATGCGGAGATGGCATTTGTCATGCGTAATAGGGATCAAGTTCAAGACGCCCTCATCAAAAATCTGTGATGCTAGGACATGAATCACAGACATCATGGCTCATGCAAAACGTGCATGACAAGCCTCAGAATCTTGATCTTCCAGACCTAGACGTATTTGCAATTGATTCGACCCAATTGACCACCAGCTGCGTCTTCCATCTAGATTTGCCGCAGGAAATGCTCTCGGTGTACGCGGTTAGACTCCTCGCCTTGGACGCGAACCCAAATCGGGAGGTGGTGTCGGTGCTGTTTGTGGAAAAGGCGTATCAACTGCAAAAATGTCTGGGTCTGGAAGAGTGCATGTTTGTCATGCTTGTCTGGCATGACTCTCAAATCTGTCATGCACGTTACCGAAGAGCGCCATTTTTCTGTCATGCAGAAACGCAGTTTCTCATGCAGAATAGGTAACACCTAGAAGCTCCGAAGCTTGTCAATGTCATGCTGAGCCAGAACTTGTGGCCTCCTCATGATACGCCACCCAGCATCACAAGTTTCCAGACCCAGACATTTTTACATTTGATAAGGCGGCGAAACTGGTGCCGGAGCTGGGGAAGTTGTTCAACGTGCAATTTTTGGACATGCCGGTGGAGTTCATTCCGATGTAGCGAGAACGATACGTCGTCTGCGTCGGGGTAGTGGAAAAGTGATGAATTTTCGACCAGTTATTTATCCGCAGATAGGCGCCAATTTTTTCGAGTTGCTTTTTTGTCGCTTTAAGTAATTTTTGCGCTTTGGCTTGAGAAACTTCGAGAGACGTAAAGATCTCCTGCCATTCGTACGATAGATGGCCAGCGGTAGATGCAAAATCACCGCGACGAAGAGTGATACGCGACAATGCGCATACGCTTGCCTTGATGACTTTTAAAATAGGAAGATGGCTCGAAAATCGAAAGATCGCTATCAAGATACTCCCTGTTTTTACCCTTTGACCGTGAGTCCAGGTCAATCATTGTCGGCAATTATAGTGTTCGGGGCAACGTGATCACTCGTCCTCCTTTGCGCGCGTGCGGGAGAAAAGTATGACGGAGTTGATATCTGTCGCCGCTGATGACTGCGACAGCTTTTGAAGCCGCCCCGCTACTACATGAATGGCGGGCGTCGGCCAATGTGCCGGGCCTGCGGGCGGAAGTTTCCTCGGCCGGCTAGCCCGACCGCCCGGGGATGAAGAACGAACACGGGCCGCCACGCGGTTGCGAAGGAAGTAACGCGCGCCCAGCTGGCTCGATTTCCATTTCCCGCGCAGGCTCAGGAACGAACCCGGTGCGGGGGCGCGCGCCGGTGCCACTTTCCCAGGATAACACCGACCCAATACTATTATTCCGGAAACCCCGCCTCGGCTTCGGCCCTGCTCGAAACCCTGCGCGCGCGGATCTATCGCACCTGCGCGAACTTGGGCGGAGGGGCTTCGCTGGTGATGGGCTTCGTGTCGCGCGGCGCGCAGGGGCCCACTTCCGAGGATGGGGGCGGCTATAGCACGGCGCTTCCGAGGGCCCGCCAGTGCTAGGAGCTATAGACGAGGCGGGGGAGGCGGAGGGCGCCAGCAGGGTGGCTAAGTAAGTAGCCCCGCCGCACGTAAGTGCCGCAGCCCGCAAAATCTATCCCGCCCGCCGCATGCCTCCCCCACCAACGATAGTTAGACGGAGCACGCAGGTGTGTGGCCTTGCCTGGGGTGGCGCGCGCGCGCCAGAGGAGGACATGGAAGCGCCTGGGCGCCGCGATAAAGCAGCGGTGGAACAATTTGCGCCGCGCCTGTAGCGCGAAAGCCGGCGCGCTATTTTGTGAGCGCGCGGGCCACGTAGAGAAGGCACCACGGGCGCGAAGGATGCAAAGGTTTGTGGCGCCCTGCTGCGGGCATCGTTTGAGGCTCCGCCGGGCGGCCGGCGGGCGCGATTGCTAGACTCTGCCCGACCAGCCCCGAGGGTGCACAGAGCGGGGGAAGCGAAGCCGTGGAGCCCCGTTTGGCCCGGGGCCCTCCCTTTCCCGCGGCGGGCGCAGGCAGCAAACTCCGCGCGCGCCCGCCGGCATACAGGAGGCGAAATAGAATGCCTCTGCCGCACCGCCGCCCCGCGGAGTCACTCCCTCGGCGGCAGCTTGATTCCGGAACGGTCCCAAGTAGACCAGCGCGGGCCGCGAATACCTACGGCGGGCGGGCGGGCAGGGCGCGCGGCGCCTTTTGGTCCTCCCTCCTTCTTTGCCGGGCTGCTTGGTGCGGCCTGGGAGCCCCGCCCCCGTGTTTGGCCCTTTGTTGCCCGCCGGGCGCGCGGGGCTTGGCGGGTCGGTGGGTGTGTCGGCGGGGTTCGCCGTCGCGCTTCGTGCCCGAGCCAGCTAGGGGGGCGCCGCCGTTTCCGAGCGGCCAGTCGCGTGCGCGCCGAGTCCGGTAGGTGGCCAGGGAAGGGGCCCCGGCGCGGCCTCCTTGGCGTTGCGCCCGCGCCCGCGCGTGCGGTGGGGGGGGGCCGCGGTTTCTTTCAACGAACGAACCGTGCCCAGGACGGGGCGCGCGGACAGGGGCAGGGCCCCCCCGAGGACGCCCTTCAGCTGGCAAAGCAGGATGGCTCGGCGGGGCGGGTGCATTTCCTGCCTGTTTTTGTTCGCATGGATGGGGCGCCTGCGTGTTTGCGTCTGGCTGCTCTCGTTGTAAGACGCAGAGGCCCTCTGCCCCTCTGTGAGTGCATCAGGCGGGTACCCACCGTTTGGCCGTTGGCTCGTCGTGGTACGTAGGTCGGTCGGCAGCATTTTCTTTGAAGTTTTCCGGGCGTCTGCCTCTCTATGTGCTTATGGGTGGGTGGAGCTAAAAATCGACTTTCAGTGATATTGAAGAAATAAGAACAGCTGCGCAGGAGGTGTTGCCCTAGTGGTGGTTGACACGAGTGTATATTTGCGAGCGGTGGGTCGTTGTCGTTCTTCATTTTTGTCTATATAGGAACATTATCTGGAGGACGACTTGATGTATTTAAGTTTTCCCTGATCTACCGCAAGTGAAAGCTCCTCATCGTTGCAAAGGCATAAAAAGTTAAGACCTGTGTTCACAAGGGAATATGCAAGAACTCTGAAGTAGACACGAAACAAATAGGCTAGGTCGTATTCGGTACTAACTAAATCAAGCAGTTTAGTCGGTATTGGTTTGGTCTCTTGGATCTTCCCTTTCGGACGATGACATCGATAAACGCCATCGGTTTTGCGTGCCGTGTAGTCACGCTGTTGTGTCGCGCGAGCTTCCAGCGGAGCATTCTAATTTTTTATGGAATTGACTTCATCATTAAGCTGGGAAACTGTAGAAAGAAGATGCGCCAACTTTTTCTACTAGCCTCGTCGGTGCATTACATACGTTTACTTGTCACCACCTCGATCTTATATATGTATCCGGGCGAATAACCGAAAGGGCATACTTACTGAGAAGAACTGCAGATAAGGTAAGCAGAGAAACCTAACCTCTTGCGACAACGCAGAACCAGAAAATCTTTTTTTGCCAGGGCTTCGAAAGCAGAAGCTCATACCTTTTCTCCCACAACCAGCACGACCCGTCGAGTAGTAGTACTGCTGAGTTCATCAGTTCGAAAAAAATACCATACTAGTGAGATAGAGCAGTGGTTTTGCTGGTGTGTGTGCGTACACAAACCACCTCCGCCTTCAGGATCGATCGCGAACAACTTTTCTTTGGCGTAATATAAAACAAGTACGTGCAGACAAATAAATAAGTTTTCGCATCGGCTACGCAAGGGCAAAAGAAACCCGAAGCCAACAATGCGCTCCTCTCCTCGGAAGACTAACAGCATGCTCGTCAAGGTCGTGACCTTCCTGGTTCTTGCCGGCGATAAATACCACGGCGGGTCGTCTTCGCTGGGAGTCGCGGGACGAGTGTTCACTCTGCACAAGACTGCGAAGAAGCAAGATCCGGAGCACGTGGCAGCAGGTGGACGTGGAGCAGAAGCTGAACAAGGAAAGACGGAAGACAAACAAGACTCCCACGACGCGCTGTCCGGTGGGAGTGAACAAGAAAATAAATCTTCGTCGGGATCCATCCTCGGTTGGTTCGGGGAACGCACCCCTGTCGTAGTGAAGGACTGCAGTGAGCTGGATTGGACGATCTCGAGAGTCGGATTTTATTTGCGATGGCATAAGCCAGCGCCCATTTTTACGAAATATGGAAGGATCCCGAAAAATGCGCGCAAGTGCGAAGCTGCAGTTGACAGTGAGGGGGAGAAATGCTACGGGTGGACGTACAGCAGCTTTCCTACCGGCCGCTTTTTCCGTTGTCGCAAGGACGGTGATCAGAAGGGCATGGAAGCGAAGGCGAGAAAAGTCCCGGCGTCCTGCTGGAGTTGGGGATTTTTTCATGATGCGAGCCCTTACTGCTAGCTTGTTCCGGGGGAGCGCGTGAAAAGACCGGCCTCGCAATGCGCCGGCAGCACGTAGTGGGGGTAAGAAAGTATGTACTTACTTCCCCCGAAGATCGATATTGAAATGTGAAGAAGAACCGCGCAGCATCAACCGATGTTGCCTAGAAGTGATCGGGCTTTGGAAAAAAACGAAAAGGATCTGTGTTATGGTAGATCAACAGTCCAATGTGCAACTATGTTCCTACAGAACTTAAACTCACCACTTACTCGACGACCTAGCTTCTGCTACGCCTACGCGTCTTCTTGTCGAGATAGATACGATAGCATACCGAGAACAAAGCAAACAAGTTATCTTTTTTTTTTTATTTCACGCGTCGAAACACCACAGCCTCACCTCCTTCGTCGCGCCACTATAATAACGTTTGCGCTTCGGAAGGATCTGTCGTCATTTTGCTTCTTGTTGCGTACTGTCAAGCACATCTACAATTTTTGAAACTTGGCAATTTGCTCGCAAACTCAGATGCACTACAACTAAGTATTCATCTGAAACTGAAACCGGCCGGCAAGCCCGTTGACCGAGAAGGGCCTGGGCCTCAAGCCCTGCGTCTGAGTGGTGCATGTTCGCAGGTAGTGTCATTTCTAGAAAAGGATGAGGACAGGTTTTTTTTTGGGTGTAAGGACTTCTTCACGAGCGAGCGAGCAAGCGGGTTATGTTGTCTACTTCTTTCGTTTTTTCCTCTACTCGTCACGCCATCTATTTTTTCATCCTCCACTCGTCTTTCTCGATGACTGAGGTTCAGTGCCTATTGACTCCCATCTATGTCATCTTGCGAAAAAAAATCGGTTGCAGTTTTTTGCGCGCCACGGCGGGTGTGCCGGGAGAGCCAATGGTCACGAGTGGCAAGTGCTTTTTTTTCTGATTGCTTTTTGTTTCATCAACGTTGATTCCGAATCTCTGTCGTGTTATTTTTGGTTAGCGTCGTGTCGCCTAGTCGGTATGATTTTTTTCAAGGCGTCTTAATTTTTCGCCTGCTGAGTTTACTGCAGGAGCAGGCTGCACATCAGAGCTATCCAGTTCTTGGGAAAAACTACTTACATCTCAGGAGCTAAGTGGAAACACTTTTTTTACGCCGCCTTCGGGTTGTTGCGTCGGAACTATCCACTTTTAAACGCTGAGGTTTTGGAAACTCCATTGCGTTTCGTCGTGTAAGTATACAAACACTTCTCGTCCATAGAACCATAACTTTACAGACTCTGACTCAAGTAAATTTTAGTATTGCTTGTAGTTCATCCACACAACGAAGATTTCCCCTCACGGCCATTAAAATAGCCTGCATAAATAAGTAAAGGTAAACCATTGGTGGACCATAAGAAAATACTAGGTAAGTAGCCGTTCTTTAAAGAAAAAATTAGAGACATAGTACCTGATCTTCCATAAGAGTAAGTACACAAATCAAAAGCTCTTTAGTACTATTGTAACTTTCGGTTCAGCGTAAAAGTGGATTCATCTCACAACAAACAAATCGAAACAGCAAGAAAGGGATTTTCCTCCGCCTCTCCTAGGCGGTCTCTCGTAGCCGCAGGAGCTGCTGCCATGATGTTTTTAAAATTTTACGAGAAGGCAGCAAAAAAGATGTCGCTTTCAACATCTTTCGCGGCTTTGCTATTTTGCGGCCTGCAGCAGGCATTTCTACTGACCAACGCGTTGGATGTCGAACTCTACGACGTGCACAACACCCAGTGGCGCAAGGTCGGGACTGCGCCGGCCAATTTGTTTCCGCTTTTCGACGCCGAGGCGCCGACGACCGACAAAGATGGCTTTGTTTTAACCCACACCTATTCCTTCGTCCCCCCGCCCCCGGGCGTTGGCTTGCCGGTGATGCTGCAGCGGCAATCTTTAACTGCGGACGAGATTACCCGCCGGAAAGTGCTGGTCTTGGCGGCGCGAAGAAGGCAGCTGCTGGTGGGGGAAGGTAGGAGTTTTCAATTTTGCTTCTATGTTTATGTTGAGCGTGAGGTGGTTTTTTGTAGTGCCTGCATTCTGTACTAATGCGAAGCCGAATGACAGATACAAAAGATGAACAAGACCTTGATTATGTCTGATGAAGCAAGACCCCCTACTGAAGTTTCGAACATATAATCTTCAAACATCCCATAGCCACCTCCCCCTCCGACAATCAAGTGGCCCCACCTGCCAGCCACCGTCAGCTCGCGGCCCCGACGCTCGCCAACGAGCGAGAAATTGTCCGAACCTTGTTGAATATCAACAAGGCCGTATCCTGAGTAAAAACGTACCCACACCAGAGTCAAGATGGGGAATCGGCTAGACAAATCCACAAGCTTTGGCTGTTTTGCATGACAAATTTGGATTCGTAGTGTAGTGCTGTTTGAGCTAGCTCAGCAGCATCACAGATCTAGCATGCAATGCTGATTGGAGCACGACAAATTGCAAAACGCGATTAGAAAATGCTTCTCATGGGGCTCCGCATGAGAAACATTTTCAGCATGCAGATTTGCATTACAACTATGGGGTGGGTACGTTTTTAAATAGGATAGGCCGCTCGGCTGCCCTTCAACTACACCGCACAGTACGATGATTTGCGTGAGATTATCCTGTGTGAAAACGTCCCCACCCCGGAGTCAAGTTGCGAACTTAGCAACACAAATCCACAAGTTTTGGGAGCCACGCATGACAAGTTGCAGTCTGCAGTGTAGTGCATGTTAGCAAGGACATCGGCATCACAAATCCATCTGCTTATCCTGTTTGCAGCATTACAAATACCAAAACACGATTGGAAATGCCTGTCATAGGGAAGCGCGTTACAAGCGCCCCTGTCATTGCAAATCTGCATGACAACCCTGGGTTGGGGACGTTTTTACATAGGATAGAGATTTTTGACGCGGGTTTGAACGAGCACGGGGGGGTCACGACTACCACACTGACCGGGTTAGAGCGCGCCGCCAGCGAGATGGAGGCGAGCTGGAAGAAAACGACGGCGGACCAGTCGTTCACCGTCGCGGAAGAGGCCGACGGGACTTTGCCGTCGATCAAGAAACCGCTAAACAAAGATTACGTTTGGAACGAGGTATGAGAGTGCACAACTCCCCCTCTCACTGTTTTGTCATGCAAAATTCCTAACTCACCCTTTGGCTTTGCCTCGTAGCACTGTTTGCATGACAGATTCCGGATGAATCTAAAACAGCACTACAATCCTCTGCGAATTTGTCATGCAAAAGCTGCATCTCTGCCAGCGCAAGTGCTTGTGTTGCTGTTGATGCAACACAAATGAGGGGGAGGGGGAATTGTGCACTACTATGCGAGGAGAGAAACGGCTACAATCTGACTTACATCCAGACCTGCGAGTACATTCAGGGCAGTGGCGCCGAGATGCACTTGCAGGTACTAGGCTTCCTTCTGCATAGGAACAAATCGCATGACAGATCTGATTCTGCATTGTCATGCGCAACCCCTCTACGACCCACCTTTTTTGCAGCACACGGAAATTTCTTTCGTATTCGTATCACTATCAGGTCCTTTTCCCGGTTCTTGCCACAAAGTACAATTTCTGTGGCGCCGGCACGAAGTACGGCAACCGCATGATGGGCAATGACGCGTACAAGACGCAGATGGCGTATAACCCGCTCAGGTGTTACAATCTCAAACGTTACAATAGAATATGGCAAACTGTGATGCAAGAGTGCATGATCTAGCCAACTCTCATGGGATTGCGCATGACAAGTTCCGGAGCCCCAAAACCCACTACAATCTGGCGAAATTTGTATTGCAGAAAGTGGAACGCTCTGCGAGGTTGTCATGCTCAACATGCAAGACAAATCTCAGATTCTATTGTAACGTTTGAGATTGTAACATCTGAGCGGGTTATATGGCGGCCTGCGGCTTTCCGCTTGTCGGAACGGAGCCCTACGACGTTCCGGTCGATGCGATTTATCGCAAGAAAAAACTGTTTCAGTGTAAACTTGTGATGCAGAAAATGGAACACAGAAGCGTTTGTCTTGCTACACGACATACAAGACAATGGATTTGCAGCCATGTTTTCCCTTAGGAGTCTCGCATGGCAAATTTTTGTATTGTCATGTGTAACGAAGACGAACTTGTGATGCAGAACTTGCAAAATCCTTACAGTTACTTAAACACTTTTTTCGTGCGATGCGATCGATGAATGCTGCAAGACCCACGACGAAGACCATAACCGCTTTATCAAAATGAAAAATCCCCCCTCCCCATATCAAAACGGAATTTCTGATGCTGGATCTGTGTACACAAATGCGCTCTGTATTGCAGGAAGGCATTGCGGCCAGATACCCAGCCTAGGCACAGGCGCCTGGGTCTAGTTGTCTAGCATGGCAAACAGCTCCCCTTTAGGCCAAACAGCATGACAAACCGCTTCCATAATCGGGCGGAAGCTTCTGCCCTTGTCTTCTTGCAAGACAAATGGGATTTGTGGCCTCAAATCAGCAACACAAATTTCCGGAAACATACCTTTTCAATATGGGGAGGGGGGATTTTTCATTTTGATACGCTTGCAGCAGAATGGGTATCGGGGGAAAGTGGCGGGTGTGGGCGTTTACAGCGAGGAGATTACTGCGGTGGACCGGAAATTAGATGAGTGCGGGCGCAGGGTGGCGGCGACGGAGATCGGAAATACGATGACCGAGGGGGACAAGAGTTTCATGATGGCGGCGTTGGTATAGCTAAGTATTTTGTTTACGTTTTCAGTACATCATGTCAGTACACACAAAAAAACACTTTTGCTATGTTGTTTCAGCATGACAAAGAAACCCAAGAAATCCTTGTATATTACACAGCTCAACGCGGAGGTGCTCGGTGCTCTGGCGCCGACAGCGGCCTACGTTTTCATCCAACATGACATCCACGGAAATGCCTTCCACAAGTACGCGAACTACAAGCGAGCGTTGGAGAACGCAGGTTTACTCGTTTACCAAGCGGCCGACGCGAGTGGAAAGAAGGCTTTTGTCCTCCGCACCGTTTTATGCATTGCAAAAGTATCGTACTAGTATAAATTGCAATACAAATTTCCTTAGCGTGAGAAATGGAATCTGTCATGCGGATCTGCCTTAACAAAAAGATTTGTAATGCAATACTTGAATTTATACGAGTGCGATACTTTTGCACCGGATATGTGTCCGGCGGGGCACTGGGTGCAGGTGAGGACAAAGTGTTCGAAATTGATCCGGAGCACCATGCTGGTTGGCTGTCGCACAAGTCGAAACAGGCCTACTACGGGTTGTGGAACACGTACTCGGCTCAAGTTGGTGCCTACAACGCCCGACAAATCGCGCAGAACGACTTTGACGACACGAAAATGCAGATGGAGCTGCTATCCGCGTTTAACGAGGAGATTGAGCAGAAGAAAAATTTGTTCACCTCTTCCCTGCAAACCATCCACGCGAAGTCTCTGGCTTTCCAGGACAAGTGGCACTACTACAAGTTGATGGTGGATGCCGCGATCGCGCAGGTTGGATCGGTGACGAACGGGAACTCCTTCTTCACCGGCCACGGGACCGGCGGGACAATCGCAACGATGGTTTCGATGTGGAAGAAGAAAATCGCTACAACCGCGTACAAAACCTACACGTTCGCCGCCCCCGGGAATCAGTGCGCGTTGCGGGCTATGAATTGCAAAAGTATCGTACTAGTTCTAGTATAAATTGCAATACAAATTTTCTTAGCATGAGAAATGGAATTTGTAATGCGGATGTACCTCGAGAAAAAGATTTGTAATGCATGGCTGCAATTACTACGAGTGCGATACTTTTGCACTGCATACGGGCGAAATTAACCGCGGTGACCACAGACATCGACATGACGGACGGGGTATCAATTGCAAATATGTGTGGGTCTGGAAGATTGCTAGACTTGTCATGCAGGTTTTCCATGCCCCATGAAATTTGGAATGCGGGACCTAGCATGACAGACTCTGTGAGGTCTCTGTCATGCCTAGCCTGCATCAGAAATCCCCTCCAAACTTGGTCGAAAGTGGACAGCCTGTGGCAATCATGCAACACAGTTTTTTGCATGATTCAGAGTTAGCATTACAAGTTACATCCTTCCAGACCCAGACATATTTGCAACCCATATGGGGTGGACAAGCACCAGCACATTGTGAACTACGTCCACGCTTTGGACAAAAACAACGCGATTGACCACCACATCGGGAAGAAGTGCACTTTTGGGACAACAGACGCCGCGACGGCGACAAGTAAAGCGAAGTACTTCTGCGCAAAAATGGTCGGCTTCAACGGTGCCGACATGTTCCTGTCAACGGGCAAGGCGCATCTGTTCATGAAGCAGTGTCTGTACTTTTCCCACATGGTCGAATCTGTGGCGAATTTCTTGAGTTCGGACGCGATCCTCGCAGCCGACGGGACGACGGACGGCGGGTGTGTCGCCGCGGCAACGCAAACGGACGTCATCACCACCGGCAACGCCGCGACGAGCTGCGCCCCGTGCTACGACCCGCTGGTCGCGTCCGCCTGTCCGGCGACCATTCCGAAGATCCCGCTAATGTGGTCGCAGGGGATGCAGGCGAACCTGCAGCAGTCGTTCACGCAAACGGCGAGTCACCCGTGTATCGAAGCCGGGTCTGGGTTGTCGACACCGTCGGCGTTGCAGTCGCTCCCGTTGTCGGCGGCGCACCAAAGTTCCGCGGTGATCCAGAATCTGTTTCAGAACTGCATGTTCCTTATGCATTGCAAAAATGTCTGGGTCTGGGAGGTTGCGAGATTTGTCATGCTTGTCTGGCGTGACTCTGAACTCTGTGTTGCATGGCCGCGAAGAGCTCCTCCTCCCTGTCATGCAAAAACGCAGTTTCTCATGCGGAGTACGCAACTCAGAACCATGGAAAAAACTTATCATGCTTGGCAGCGCATTATAGTGACTTCACTATTCCCTTTCTTGCATCACAAGTTTCCAGACCCAGACATTTTTGCAGTTGATATTTCTCGGCGGGCAAAGTGACTTCTTCGTCACGGGGAGTAGCGCACGGGTGGCGGGGGTGGCAAACCAGTATAGTGAAATTCTTCCCCAGTACAACTTCGCGTTGCAGTACAACTTGATGGGTAACAAACTGAAGTTCCAAGCTTCCATGTATTTGCAGAAACTCGCGGCCGCCGGGGAGTTCCGGTTGATGTCGTTTTTCTCCGTTTCGGATTTAACCCAGATGCTGTCGAACCAGCTAACGGAAGAAATCGGCGCGGGCGAGGAATCGTTTCCAGGACAAGAGTATTTGGAGAAAGTGAACAGTTTGGCAAATGATTACAGCGGTTTTGAAAAATTGAAACTGTCGAACAAGAACCTGAAGCACTTGACGAAAGCGCCGATGTTTGACACGGTTTTGGAAGCTGGGAAGAAGACGTGTAGTACTGTGGTCCAGTTCGAAGCGTGTGTTTCGCTGTTAGCCAACACGGATCTGCTCTTGTCTGTTGGGTTCGCGTCTGGTCTCGGGAATTTAGCGAAAACATTATCCTTCAAGATCGGCACCGTGACTGCCACAGCCGCGACGTTTCTACAAACCGCGCCGGTGCTGCAGAAGAAAACGACCGCGATGTTAAGCAGTTTTTCCGGTTTGAACTCCGCAGCGGGGTTCAACACCGGGCTTGCGGTGCTGCAAGCGGCCTACGCGGTGCCGACCAGCCATTTGTGTATCACCGGATCCGACGCACCGGACCGGTTTACGAAGACTGCTTTGTTCGCGGTGCACACTATTGCTGGCGCGACGGCGGCGACGAATTTCTGCATGATCACGGGACAGACCATGGCCTTGAAGGTGGAGGAAGCGGCCACCACCCGCTTGTCCGATACTACCGCGAAATCGCTTCAAGTAACTTTGTCCGAAACGGTCGCGGGTTCGACCACCATTACGGAGCAGTTTTTCCTGGATGTGGTGAACGCCGGGTCTGCTAGTGGCACGGAATTGGTCCTGAAATCCGCGGCGACGGATGCGGGAAGTGTTGCGGACCAGTACAAAGTGATCAAAAAAATCCAACTTACCGAAACCATGCCCAGAGGCGGATCACCGCCGTGTCTCCCAGTCGGTTTCGGTGCGGAAATGTGCTTCCAGTGGGTCGAGAACACGGGGAATTCTGACCAGCTCGACCTCTCTGTGTTCGTTCAGGGCTCCCGGTTCGGCGCGTGGACTTCTGGGACGCAATTGCTCACGACCGTCACGAAACCTCACCCGTGTTTAGCCGGCGGCTTCGGCCTATGCAATGCAAAAGCATCGTACTAGTTTAAAATGCATTACAAATTAGCTGAGCATGCGAAATGGAATTTGTCATGCTGACCTACCTTGGGCCGGAGATTTGTAATGCATAAATGCAATTACGATGCTTTTGCACAGGATACGGCCTCAACCCGGCGAATGCGAACGCGAACTACATGAAGATGACGGCGGGAGTATTCTGAGTAAAAACGTCCCAACCCCATAGTTGTCATGCAGATTTGCAGTCACAGGAACATGTGTAATTCGCATTCCCATGAGAGGTCTTTCCAGTCGTGTTTTGGACTTTGTAATGCTGTAAACAGGATGAGTAGATGGATTTGTGTTGCGGCTGTACTTGCTAATAAACTGCACTACAATAGAGAGACGAGCTTGTCATGTTGACTCTCAAAACTTCTCAATTTGTGTTGCATGATCCCCATCTTGACTCTGGGGTGGGGACGTTTTTGCTCAGGATAGGAAGAGGCCTCTGGCGCGGAAATGCAGTCCTGCACAGCTCTGGAGAAGAAGTCGTTCGCCCAGGTGCAGGGTAAGTGCGATTCCAACACAAACTGCGCGGCGACAGTGAAAGTCGCGCTGGAAAGGCAGAGTTTGTTGAACGGCCGGAGGTTGGAAGTGCTTCATTCGGGAGGTGGGGGCGATATTAATCAACCACGGGAGCTAAGTTCGCCCAATGCGACTGTTATTTCAAACCCGGACTTGGAAGAATTTCAAATTTCCCTGACTACCGCCGGTAGGCCGAATTCCACAGCGGTTCGAGCCACGTTGGAGCGGTTCGGCGTGGAGTACTTCGACGTGGATTTGTCTGCGAATAGCTCCTACCAAACGCAAATACTTATGTCTTGCTCTGGAAATTTGTGATGCTAAAACGTGGATAAGCCAGGCGCTCTCAAGTGCAGCAAAGCATGACAAGTTTACCTGACGCCGCTTGATGCGTCGCACGCATGACAAGCTGCGTTTTTGCATGACTAAATGGTGGCGCCTTTGCAGCTGGCTGCGCAATACAGATTTTTCAGGGCTGCAAGACATGCAACACAAGTTCCACTTACACTTTTCCAGACCCAGACATATTTGCAATGCATAGCTCTTCCTGCGTCGGTGTCCCGGAGGTTTATTCGATCTGTGTGGAGCAGTCGCTGATCGGTAGCTTTGACAATGTCACCGGGAATTTTGTCCCCTCGGCAAACCCGTACCCGTCGACGGCGCGCAGGTTGGAGCAGGAACAAAGTCAGATGCGAGGACCAGAGACGACCGTTTCTGAACTGGCCGAAGATGTTGAAGGCACATCAAACAAGCGCAGGCTGAGCACACAACCCGTCACCGTGCTGCAAAACCCCGTGCTCAACGAGGCGATGGTCACTGCGTTAACCATCAGCAACTTTGGGTTTTCGAAGCGGGTTTTGCCCTTGGGAACCCTGGCCGCTTCTGACGGCGTTTTCCGGCTGTTACCCCCTCCGACCTTCTGGTACACGTCGGCAACCGCGACGCAGCGGCTCTTCTCCCCGCAAAACAACATCCAGCCGGCCAAACCGGGGGCGCACGACGACTGTCGGGACGTGCAGTGTGGCACTGCCACGGATGAGTGCTTCGTAGGGGCGCTATGGCAAGGAAAAATGTCCCCTCCCCATATTGAAAGCGCATACGTCTATAAATTTGTGATGCAGATTTGTGGCCACAGATCCTGCCTGTCTTGCAGGAAGGCAAACGCAGAGAGTCCGCCGCGCTATGCAGGAAATTTGTCATGCTGTAAGGGCTGCAGGGCAGACGTCTGCCATGCTAGACGCCTACGCCAAAACTCCCCTGCCCAGCGTTGCGATCTGCGTGCAGTCCTCTACTGCAAGACAGATCGGACTAGTGTACACAAATCCCGCATCACAGATTTCCGCTTTGTTGATATGGGGATGGGGGATTTTTCCTTTTGATAGGCGAAACCGGAGCAGGAGGCGTGTTTCCCGTCTCTGTACTCAACGGGGTCCGGCGACACGGACACCTATGTGCAGCAACTGACGAAATTAACGATGAGTGGGACACTATCCCACGCAAAAACTGATTCACTGTAATGTTTTTGCAAGATCTGCATCACAAGTTTGCTACACATGACACTTAAAACCTGTCATGCGCGCTTCCCCATGGAAAACACGCTTGGAAATCCAATGCCTTGGAGGTGTAGCAAGACAAATAGTTCTGTGTTCCATTTTCTGCGTCACAGGTTCACAGTGAAACAGTTTTTTCTTGCGATAGACTCTGTCCCGGTCGACCTCCCAAGGTGTCAACGACCAGGAATACAGCGAGCCACGAACCTTGGCCACCGGCTATTCTGAGTAAAAACATCCCCACCCCAGAGTTGTCCTGCAAATCCGCATGCCAAAAAAGTTTCTCATGCGAAGCCCCATGAGAAGCCTTTTTTACTTGTGTTTTGGGAGTTGTGATGCTCGGAATAGCATGATGTGCTAGATCTGTGATGCTGTTGAACTCGCTATAACAGGATTCCACTACGAGGACAAACTTGTCATGCGAAACAACCAAAGTTGGCCGATTTGTCTATCAGATTTCCCGCATCTTGACTCTGGTACGCGGACGTTTTTACTCAGAATACCGGCGCATCCAGGTTTGACACGAACGATTTGCCGGCAAATTGGGAAATCAACTCCCACTGGTGTCTCAACGAGAAATTTGACGACGACAGTGTCGCGGTGAAGAGTGACAAGGCGAACTGCGTAACGGTTTACCGGAAGGCGGAGCAGATTCCGGCAAGTTTAGGAACGCCGAAAGTCTGTGCCGTGGATTTCCAAGCCGCGGATGAGGAACAGAATAATATGTTGCAAGACGCGGCGAATTTGCGGTCCGGGGTGAAGTTAGTTGGAAAATACCACGTGTACCGGCGGTACGGGTTGTTATTCGAAAAATTTCAGAACGACGTGCGGTTCGACCCGCTAAAGGATTTTTTATCCGATGAGAAATCCTGCAAGCAAACCTACATCACCGGGCACCATCTCGGCGCCGCGGTCGCGACCCTGTTCCGATTAATCCTGAATGGGGGGCGACTGGTCACTTTCTCTTCGCCCGCAATCTTCCCGCAGTACAGCTTTCCCAAATCGTGCAACTTCGGCGACGCCTTTCACTTCCAGGACGACGCAAATCGGTTCACGCCAGTGGGGTTTCGACAAGCGGGGGTGAGGCAAAACGCTTTGTGTACCAGCACGACGGCTACTGTTGTCGTGCAGCAGTACGGCTGCGGATCCACCGCCGCGTTGAAGGACAAGACCGTGGGCTTAAACGCCTGTTCAAGCAACCAGATGGAGCGGTACCTGGCGTTTGCGAATGCGAATTTGGGCACAGCGGTTGCGGATCCGAAGACGGCGGTGTGTCCCGCTTTGTCGGAGCGGCAGCTGATTGCGACGTGTGTGAACCGACTCTGCGCTGCGGATAATGATCTCGCTTCCAACGCTTTGACGTTCAAGGGGGCAACGGCGTTGCAAGCCCCATCAAAATCCGACTTGCAGATTTGCGCGCTCGGGCCCGAGGCGCTGTCCGTGCAGCTCGCGCTGGAGAATAAGAAAGCGCAATTAACGTCGATGGTGACCTCGCTCCCGAAAGTCTACGCCACGGCGAGCAAAGCATTTGATTACGTGGAGTCGAAAATAGCGGAGCAGGCGACAAACAGTTTCATGGTGTCAATCCCAGGCCCAGGTGATGGAACCATGGTCACCTTCAACGCCGAGCCGAGTTCGGTCGGCGCGGACGGCGCAAAGTTCTCCGTGACCTTCGTGTTGCCGGCGATCATATGCAGTGCCAAAGTATCTTCCATCCTAGTAAGTATGAATTGCATATACAAATTTGCTCAGCATGAGAACTGGAATTTGTCATGCTGCTTTACCTTAAGAACAAGATTTGTCATGCATAACTGCAACTAGTAATAGGACGAGTGTGATACTTTTGCACAGGATAAATCACCGGAATCACGCCGAGTAATAGTTTCACCGTGGAGTTACTAACGAACATCATGAAAGACCCCTACATCAACACGCTGCACATCAGACTTTCCTCCCCCCAGGTCAAAACGGAAATTCCGGGTTTGACGGTGTTTGAATACCAGCTACCCCTTGGCGCCTTCTTCTGCCGGAAGTTATGCATTGCAAAAGTATCGTACTAGTATAAATCGCAACGCAAATTTTTCCAGAAGGAAAAATGGAATTTGTAATGCTGATTTCGCTAAGAAACAAGATTTGTCATGCATGATTGCAATTAGTACGAGTGCGATACTTTTGCACAGGATAGAAGTTTTTCAACGACAACATCCGACTCTGCTTGATCTTCGCCGGAACAGCGCTGCAAATTCGCGTCTACTTTGGGGATGACGACGTCGCGTTCCGGAAAACGTTGGCGGTTGTGAACCTCTCAACCAGAACCTTGGTTTTGCTCCCCCCCGAATCGCCCACGACGTTCGCCGACGGGTCGCAGGATCTGCAGACCGGCGGTAAAGGCGGTTTAGTTTACGGCGCGCCGGAGGGCATGCTCCACGCCGGGCAGGCGTTACAGGAAGTGATGCAGCTGCAACGCGCGACGTTTACGCACTGTCAGAAATTGATCCCCGGAATTCCCCCCGGGTGCACACAAGATTCGGATTGCGCAGCCCAAGTGCCGAACGCGGTGTGTTTGAAGGGACCGGCTTCCCCTACGTTGGCCAATGCGAATTTGAACTACGGAGTGTGCTCGTGCAATATGCAGCAGTGCTTAACCACGGACGAGGGAAGCGGAACCCGGACCTGCGCGAACAGTGACCAGGCCAACGCGCTGGAAGAAGTACAGATCGGGCACCCGTGCTTAGACCTTGACGTCTTACGGACCGCGCAACCCTTCCAATTATTACCCGACAAAACCACCGGCTACCCGTACGAAAGGTGTGTTCTCCTTTCCGAGAAGTCGTTCGTATCAAGTGCAAAAATGTCTGGGTCTGGAAGAATGCATGTTTGTCATGCTTGTCTGGCATGACTCTTAAGTCTGTCATGCACGTTACCCAAGAGCTCCATTTTTCTGCGATGCAGAAACGCAGTTTGTCATGCAGAATAGGCAACACCTAGAAGCTCAGAAACTTTTCATGCTGAGCCAGCATTTGTGGCCTCATCATGAGACGCCACCCAGCATCACAAGTTTCCAGACCCAGACATTTTTGCATTTGATAGTTCGTGCGGTTAGACTACAACCCGGTCCAGGCGGGCGGGTTACTGCAGGGTTTGCTCCAAGCTTCCCAGTATCAAATGTAAAAATGTCTGGGTCTGGGAACTTGTGATGCTAAAAGTGAACGAGAGTTCCACTGCAATACGGAGCCAAGCATGACAATTTGTGGGCCCCTATGTGTTGCGTGTGAAGCATGGCAAACTGCGTGTTTGCATGACAGAAAAGAGGACCGCTTCGTGCCCATGCATCACAGATTCTTGAGTCATGTCAGACAAGCATGACAAATCTCAAAATCTTCCAGACCCAGACATTTTTGCATTTGATACCCAGCAGCAGCAGGCATTGACCGTGTCGGCGTTTCTCCAATTAGGGTTGAAAATCTTTCCCGGTTTCAGCTTCAAACGACTACTATCGACGAAAGTGGAAATCGTGGAGGTGGTTGCCGGGCAGGCGGGGGTCAGGATTTCTTTGGTAGATGATACAAACATTCTTCAAGCGTACAACTTCCGGGACGACGAAGTGCCGCAGGCGGAGAAGGGAACAGGGTTCACTCTCATGACCTACATAGTGCCCGTCACCGTGAGCTCCCCTGATTCGATTTGTTTCGCGGTCGCTACTCCCGGAGCAACGGATGGGAGCGGAGGAGGTATTGCTAATATTGGCTGTGATAATTTCTGCATCACAAGAAAACTAAAACTTTTTGCAGCGAAAGAATTTCGCAATACAGATTTTCTGGATCAATATCACACGCATTCATCAAACCGTTATATATCAGGTGTCACCGTCGCGGACGTGTGTATCAAGGTGATTCCCGTGTCAACGCAAGTAGCCGGTAACGACCTGATCGTCCGAACCGCGGTGGTGCTCCGCGTGTGCGTCCCGATCCTGCTCGACGACTGCCGACAGTATCGCAAGAAAAGACTGCTTCACTATGAACTTGTGATGCGTAGAATGGAACACAGAACTATTTGTCTTGCTACACCTGCAAGAGGACCTTGATTCTTTAGGGGTGTTTTCGGTTTGGAAGCGCGCATGGCAAATTTTCTGTGTCATGTGTGACAAACTTATGATGCAGATTCTGCAAAATAATCATCACAGTGAAACAGTTTTTTCTTGTGATAGACAGCTTCCGATCACGACTATCGTGAAAACCATTCCCAACGGGGCGGTTGCACCGCCCAGGAGGCGCATGTCAGACGAGGCTGCAGATCTTCTACTTGAGGATGTTGCAGACGAAACGAATAGCAACAGCCTCCGTCTTCATCGACAGCTCCAGCAATCCCCGCAGCCCCCAGTCTACTCTCTCGAGCCTGCGGAGCCGACTCTCGGCGACGCTCTGGCCGCGGACGAAGAGCTATGCCTTGCACAAGTATCGTACTCGCATAAATGCATATAGAAATTTCCTCAGCATGAGAAATGAAATCTGTAATGCTGATTTAACTTAAGAAAACGATTTGTAATGCATGATTTAAAATACGAATACGATACTTTTGCACAGGATAAGAGCCGGCGATCAAGGACGACAAATTTTTCATCGGCGTTAGTCCCGCCGCCTTGCTCTTTTTCCTCTACGTGGCCGTCGCGGGCGGACTAGCCACGGTCGTCCTCTTATCGTATGTAAAAACGTCCCCGCCCCATAGTCCAGATGGGGAAATGGCTAGACAAACTCACAAGCTTTTGCTGTCTTGCATGTAGTTGGCAAATTTGGACTCGTAGTGTAGTTGTGTTTGAGGTGGTTCAGCAGCATCAGGCATCCGGTATACTATGCTGAGTGGAGCACGACAAATTTAAACGCGATGAGAAAATACAATTTCTCATGCGGCTGCTCCGCATGAGAAAGATTTTCAGCATGCAGATTTTCATTACAACTATGGAGTGGGGACGTTTAAAAATACGATGCCTCTACCTGTACGGGAAATTCGGCGTCGAGCGGTACGAGCGACTGCCCGAGGAGATGCACGAGATTGATGACTATCAAATGCAAATATGCCTGGGTCTAGAAATTTGTGATGCTAAAGTTTGGATAAGACTGACGCTCTCAAGTGCAGCCAAACATGACAAATATGCTTGACGCCGTCTGATGCATAGCACGCATTGATTACCAACTGCGTTTTTGCAGGAGGAAAAAGTAGCGCCGCTCTTGCTGGCTGTGCAACACAGATTTTTCAGTAATGCAAGACATGCAACACAAGTTCCACTTTTCCAGACCCAGACATTTTTGCAATGCATAATGACGGTCAGTCGGAGGATTTAAGTCTGGGTGGGTCCGTGAAAAAACAGGGGTCGGTAATGCAGACCATCCGAAAATCTGTCTTCGGGAAAATGCGTATGAAAGTGCACAGCTCCCCCAGCCCCTCATTTCTATGTATTGCATGAACAGCAATACAAGCGTCAGCAAGAATACAGGACTTGCATGACAAATTCGGACAGGACTGTAGTGCTATTTGGGCTGCCAAAACTTGTCATGCTAACAGTGCCAAGAGCCAAGGCGCTTAATTAGGCATTTTGCATGACAAATGAGGAGGAGGGGGGGGTTGTGCACTCTCATAATGCGGAACGAGTCCCATCTGGCTCCACCCGAGACGGGGATAGAGCTGGCGAAGAAGATATTCTAAGGAAAAACGTCTCCACCCCAAAGTTGTCATGCAAATCTGCATGGTAAAAATGTTTCTCATGCGGAGCCCCATGAGTTGAGAAGCGTTTTCTAGTCGTGTTGTGGGATTTGTGATGCTCCAATCAGCATGATATGCTAGATCTGTAATGCTTCTGCAACTAGCTAAACAGGATTATAGTACTATGAGAGCAAACTTGTCATGCGAAACACTCAAACCTGGTTGATTTGTCTAGCAGATTTCCCATCTTAACTCTGGTGTGCTGGGGACGTTTTTGCTCAGGATAGAAAACGCACACGCTGGACCCGAAGTCGTTTGATTTTGAGGCGCCGGAGTTCCCGCACTGGGGGGTGAGGAAATTGGGGAAAAATATTCCGATATCAAATGTAAAAATGTCTGGGTCTGGAAACTTGTGATGCTGAGTGGCGTAGCATAAGGAGGCCACAAGTGCTGGCTCAGCATGACAAATTTCTGAGCTTGTAGGTGTTGCCTATTCTGCATGACAAACTGCGTCTCCGCATGACAGAAAAACACGTCTCTTGGGCATTGTGCATGACAGATTTAAGAGTCATGCCAGACAAGCACGACAAACATGCACTCTTCCAGACCCAGACATTTTTACATTTGATATCCGAAAAACCCGGCGCTGTACTTCTGCGCCTTCTTCGCGTACTATGACCCGCTCAGGTGTTACAATCTTAAACGTTACAATAGAATAGTGAAATCTGTGATGCAAGAGTGCATGATCTAGCCAACTCTCATAGGATTGTGCATGACAAGTTCCGGAGCCCCAAACCCCACTACAATCTGGCGAAATTTGTATTGCAGAAAGTAGAACGCTCGGCGAGTCTGTCATGCTCCTCATGCAAGACAAGTCTCAGATTCTATGGTAACCGATTTGAGATTGTAACAGCTGAGCAGGTTATACGTACAACTTGCACTTTTTGCGGTGGTTTGCGGTGAAAGCCGGGACCATGCGGATCCATCAGTTACCCTACCTCGGCGACGAAATCGCTTATTTCCGTACGGTGAATCAGAAGCACATGCCGAGCCCGGTGGTGAAGAAGTTCTTGGTGTGGCGCAGGTCGGTGCTGATGTTTTTCTGTGGGATTATGCATTGCAAAAGCATCGTGATCGTACTAGTATAAATTGCATTAGAGCGGGGTAACAAATTCTGGCGATTTGTGGTCATCCCACTTTTCACCCGCCTGGCCGGGTGGGTGAAAAGTGGGACGGAATCGGATCCACGCGCACGCGAACGGAAAAAAGCAAGATCCGGCCAGTCGGTCAGGATCCTGATATGCTAAGCCAATTTGTAATACATAATCCTGATATGATCGGCCAGTCGGTCATATGCTAAGCCAATTTGTAATACAAATTGGCTTAGCATTACAAATTAAGTCTGTAATGCGGATTTGCCTTCAAAAAAAGATTTGTATATGCATAAAAGCAATTAGTACGAGTACGATACTTTTTCACAGGATAGGGATCGTCGCGTACCAATTGGTCGGCACCGCGGTGATTGAGATCGCGGGCGTCGCGGAAATATCAAATGCAAAAATGTCTGGGTCTGGAAGAATGCATGATGTTTGTCATGCTTGGCTGGCATGATTCGAGAATCTGTGTTGCATAGGCACGAAAAGGCCCTCTTACCTGTCACGCAAAAACGCAGTTTGCCATGCGGAATACGTAAGACATGGGAGCCAAAAAATTTGTCATGCGTAGCTGCGTATTGCAGTCCGTCTGCCATTCACTTTTAGCATCACACCGACCCAGACACTTTTGCATTTGATAGGAGAATTTGATCGAGTCAACCGCCTTCAAACAGGAGTCGAGAGACCACACGGAAGTGCGGGACGGGATGGGAATGATGAATAACATTGACGTCTCGGTGTCGAATGAAGCGGAGGCGACTCCTGAAAGCAGACTCTTGCTAGAACACATAGAAAGAACCGAGAACAACAAACAAAACAGTAGACAAGCGTCCTTCCATCATAACAAGAAGCACAAGTTTGCCCACTCGTTTTTGAAACTGGCGGAGCGCAAGGACAAACTGATCTCCCGGCAGATGCAGCCACTGCATGAGAGGAAGTCGATTTTCGCGAACACGCTGGATATGTTTGTGACACGGAAAGAAAAGAACTCATTCCTTCCAGCATCTACTTCAACTTCCTTCGGGCAGTCCGCAGCCCGGGCGCTGCAACAGGTGAATGCAACCAGTATGTCGGAAGTCGATACCGTCGCACGACGGGCCGCCGCGCAACTCGCGGACGCGATGCTGGTGGCGGAGAGGGTGAAGTCCTTTTCCTCCATTATGGCGATCCGAAACTTCGTGACCACGCTCGTCCAGCTCCTCTTCGCGGTGAAGGCACTGTCCATCTGGTTCGACTACAGTCCGTCGTATCCTGAGTAAAAACGTACCCACACCAGAGTTGTAATGCAGATTTGCAAAGACAGGAACATTTGTAATGCGCATCCGCATGAGAGCCATTTTCAATCGTGTTTTGGAATTTGTGATGCTGTAAACAGGATGAGCAGATGAATCTGTGATGCGGCTGCACTTGCGAACCAAACCTGCACTACACTGCAGAGTGCAACTTGTCATGCGTGACTCACAAAACTCCTAGGTTTGTGTTGCAAAATCCCCATCCTGACTCTGGTGTGGGTACGTTTTTACTCAGGATACCTCGTCCACGTTAGTCATCTATTGCGATGAAAAACGCCCTCACCCCCGAGCTTGGGAGCATTTGTATTGCAAACCTTTCCAAAAGACAGACTCGCCCTCTTGCATCTATCAGCATCACAGATTTCCAATCGTGAATAGCAAAAATCTGCATTGCAAAAGACCCCAGCAAGAGCGGCGCTTGTCATGCAAGCGATGCGATATACGCCTAGGCTCTGCATCAGAAAGATTCATGCTCCTTTCATGCATGACAAAAAGTTTTCGTTTGGAAACTTCGCATCACAAATTTTTGCAGTTTCAGGGGTGGGTGGCATTTTTCACTGTAATATCATCTACGGGTTTTTGGTGAAGATCGCCTTCATCATATCCTGTGGAAAAACGTGCCCACCCCATACGTCAAGTTGGTAAATCTGCAATACAAATCTCCAAGCTTTGGGAGTTGTGCATGACAAGCTTCCATCTGCAGTGCAGTGCTGGTTAGCAAGGGCGGTCGGATGATGAGAAAGCCGCTTTCTCATCCTGGTCACAGCATTACAAATTCCCAAACACGATTGGAAATGCCTCTCATGGAGATGCGCACTACAAATGTTCCCGTCACTGCGCATCTGTGTTGCATTTTGTTTAGCATGACAACTATAGGGTGGGGGCGTTTTTGCATATGATGCGTTACGTGTTTGAGTTACTTCCCCTGGTTCGACATTATGTTCCCCGAGGGAAATGAGCTCTGCACCTCCTCTCCCGAGTTCTGCGACCGAATTCTATTACCCGCGCGGCTGTACATGGACCTGATTCTGAACATCCCCGTGATCACGTTCGCCATGTCGCTCATTCTATCAAATGCAAAAATGTCTGGGTCTGGAAACTTGTGATGCAAGTCAGTCAATAACACATGCGCTGTAATGCGCCGCCAAGCATGACAAGTTCCTTCGTGCTTCTGTGCTGCGTATTCCGCATGAGAAGCTGCGTTTTTGCATGACGAGCGAGAGAGGCTGTTTGTGGTCACGCAATACAGATTTAAGGGCCATGCCAGATCAGCATGACAAATCTCGCAATCTTCCAGACGCAGACATTTTTGCATTTGATACATTCCGGGCATAGCCGGCGGGACCATGTCCGTCACGGAGGTGTATCCTGTGCAAAAGTATCGTACCCTTAAGGTAAACCCGCATTACAAATTTTATTTCTCATGCTGAGGGGTATATGCATTTATACGAGTGCGATACTTTTGCAGTGCATAAGGTGTTACCCTTCACGATTTTCCCCTACTTCGTGATGCTGTGTGCGCCCTTTTTGGTGGTGGTTTTGACCCTATGGCCCATGCTGTCCATCATCGCACACGGCCTGGGGTCGGTGTACATGATGCTGGGCGCTTTGTTCTACGTAGCCTACGCATTGGTCCTGTCCTACGGTGCTTTCAAAGGAATGCACACCATGACGGCGTTTGAAGACTTGGGATCGGAAATCTACTTATGAACTGCAAAAGTATCGTATTCGTCTAAATGCATGCAGTACGTTGGAATGTTGTTTTTGGTTGGGATGTTGAGCATCACTACGAAATGTTGAAAATATACTGCGACAGGATTTTTGCGCGCAAGCATCGCAAAAGCAAAAGCAAAGCAATGGCGTACCCTTTTCCCTGTGAAAGCAAAACAGAACATCCGAACCCGAGAAAACACTCCACATCTCTCCAAGCCGATGGATTGCGCAAAACATTCGATTGCCGGAAAAAGAACAATCGAAAGAAAAACAGCAATGCAATGGTCTACGGGAGAAGTGAATTGCTGGCAACAGTGGCCCGCAGTTGCCCCGATGTGGTGTGGTGATTTTCTTGCGCGCACGCAAAAAAGAGGGCAAGACGCGATATCAGCGAAAGAATTTCCCAGCTGTCGTTTTGATATGGAACCAACAAAAGGCAACTTTGGAAAATGGGCGAAAGGACTCAAAAGCAGGAGCCTCGCTCAAAATAAAATGTAAAGCAACGCTAAGAAATACGCAGCGCAAAAAACAAAATCGAAGCAAAACCAGCAATGCAATGGTCTAAGGGAAAAGCGCATTGCTGGCGCAAATAGCTACAAGATGCTAGCAGCAGCGGCGCCGGCGCACCTTGGCCCCTATTAAATGCGAGCGCGAAGAAGAGAATGCGAAGCCAACAAAGCAGTGCGCTCGCTCTTATTTGGATGGATGCGCTGAAGGCAACAGAAGATAACCTGGGGAGGAAAGACAGCCCCTATAGAGAATAGCTACGGGGGAAAGGTCCCTGCTACCACGGCAAGCGAGGGGCGGAAATCGACGACGAGCTAGGAAGTTTGAGTGCACGAGAAGCAGAGCCGCTGCGATCATCGGAGCGAGTTTGCTTCGGTGCGTGGGGCGAAGGGCGAAGCGAGATTACGGGGGAGGGGGGGGGGAAAGGGCGCGGAGGTCTGCGTTTTCGCCGCGAGCCGACTCCCCATGCTCGGTCGCCTGTGCGATTTCGATGCCCCGCGCGACGGCGGGCCCAGCCCCCGAAAAAAAAACCAGACGACAGCAGCGCCGGCCCCTGAAATAACAAAAAGCACGATCGCGCCCGGCGTGGGGCCCTCGCAATGCACGGACGAGCGCACGCATTTTCGAAGAGGAATGGGGGAGCAATGAATCCCAGGGCCGCAGAATTTCAGCGGGACAACGCGCGACCAAACTGGCTCGGACGCAAGCGGGGCACGCAGCGGCGCACAATTACGGCACACAAGGGCGAACGCAAGCGGGGGCCCTACGTCCTACAGGAGACAAGAGGGAGCCACGCGCCCTACGAGAGACAAGGGGAGCCGTTGCTGCTGGTGTTTTTCAAGAAAGCCGGGCGACTTTTTCAGCATGGTCATAAGGCCAGTTCGGATGTAATCCTGGCGACTTTTTCATGGGTTTTTGTGCGTTTTGAAATGATGAAAAACAATCCAAATTGCGAGCAGTATTGCACTTTTTCAGCCATCACTGCAAGCAAATATGACGCCGATAGGTTTTTTTTGAAGGGGAAAACCACATTTGATCGCGGCGCGCGATGAAATGTCTACACATTCCAACTAGAACAGCAATTGATCGCAGCAGCTGTTTTGTACGAAATCTACATTCCATCGTAGCAGCAATCGAAATTTCTGCATGCATGACAAATTCCCTTAGCATGAGAAAGAAAATTTGTAATGCTGTTTTATCTTGAGAAAAAAATTTGTAATGCATGATTGCAATACGAGTACGATGCTTTTGCACAGGATACTACTCCCGGACGAACGAATCGAAGTTAGAACAACTGTATGAACCGCAAATATGTCTGGGTCTGGAAGGGTGCAAGGTTTGTCATGCTTGTCTAGCATGACTGAAAAGTCTGTGATGTGTGTCCAAGAAGAGACCCTTTTGCTTGTCATGCACAAACGCAGTTTCTTTGTCATGCCGAAAGCGCAACACTAAGCCCTGCAAATATTTCTCATGGAGGTTGGTTGGCTGTGCATTACAGACCATTCACTATTCACAACTAAGCATTGTTACAAGTTTCCAGACCCAGACGCTTTTGCATTTGATAAGCTACAGCATATGGCGATTCAGCATTACACGCCGAAGAAGTCGGTGTTTGGCAAGGTGTTGTCAGCTGTGTCGAAAAACAAGTCCACGAATGCGAGCCCTAAAATGTCCCCGGCAGCTCCGAGCGGCGGCAGGGAAAATCAAGTCGTAGTCTGTGGCGGTGAAATGATCCAGAAATGCAACACAACACACACGACCCACAGCGAGGCGCTGAGGACCTATAACGGTCGTGTCGACCACCGCTGCACGGAAAAGAACTACGACAGTACGCTGTTGCAAGATGAGGAGGACAACAAGATCACCAAAACTCGATCGGAGGAAGAGATTGGGGACTTGGAAATGAGCGAGCACCAGGCGGTCGCGGTACTGGAAGATGTTAACCCGGTCGTCGTGTTTAATAATGGTAGTACTGGCGATGGACAGCAGGAACAGCAACCGCAAGACTATTCCGCCCAAGAGAACCACACTTTCGAAGACGCCGAGCAGTCGAACGCAGAAGAGATGCACAGTCTTGACCACCAGAGTTTCGTCGAAGGGCAGCATAGCAAAATGAACCAGAACTCCGCCGCGGACGACGATAGCGAAGATGCTGAGCAGAAGAACAACAAGCCCTTATCGGTCCGGGTCGTCGGACTAGCCCCGGCTTCCCCCGAGCGGGAAACGAGTCAGCTGAGCATACAGCAAAACGTCACGGAAGATTCCGGCGGAATCATGCAGTCAACCTTTATAAAGTCCAGCGAGAAACTATGAAAGTGCACAACTCCCCCTCATTTGTATTGCATGCACAGCAATATTACAAGCGTTAGAAAGAATACAGTTTTTGCATGCCAAATTTAGACAGGCGTGTAGTGCTATTTGGGCTGCCAGAACTTGCCATGCATACAGTGCTAAGAGCCAAGGCGTAAGTTAGGCACTTTGCATGACAAACGAGTGGGGGGGCTGTGCACTTTCATAGAAACTCCGAAAGAAGATGTCGCACTACAGCGGCATGATAGAATCCCGACTGAAGAACAACCGAACGGGAGGATTACTTGTCGGGTCGACGTTTCTCGGTGGGGTGGACGACATGACGAACAAGGCGAATGGTACAGCAGGAGGAGGTGTAAATGAAAACAAGCCGAATGTCGAGTACGCACTGGTACAGGCGACGTTGATCAAGCATCTGTGCACGAACGTGAAGAAGAAGATGATGAACGTGATGCGCTTGTCACTCCTTATGCAGATTCTGGCGCTGGGGTTCATCGCGGCGGCAATCATCATTGAGGGCAAGGAGTTCATCGATTTGGCCATCAATTCCGATATGGTGGCGAGCATCATGCTGCTCTATGAACTGCAAAAGTATCGTACTAGTAGTAGTAATTGCAACACAAATTCGCTCAGCGTGACAAATGGAATTTGTCATGCTTATTTAGCTTGAAAAAGAAATCTGTCTTGCATGACTGCGATTAGTACGAGTACGATACTTTTGCACAGGATATGCTCTTCGCGGACGCAATGATCAACAAGACCATGATGGACCTTATCACTATCGATTTCCAATTCGGAGCGTTTATGCATTGCAAATGTGTCTTGGTCATCTGGAGACACGCAAACTTGTCTGTGATGCGTATTTTAGATCACACGAAAATCTGTCATGCATAAACAGCAAGAGCATCGATCCCGTTACCGTTTCTTGTCACCGAGAGCGGAAATTTGTCATGCGGATTAAGCATTGGTAGGCGCTTGAAAAACCTGTGATGCTAGGGCTTGCATGGCAGACCTTGAGGGTCAAGCAGAGACAGCATGACAAACAGCTGTGCTCATCCAGACCAAGATAAATTTGCATTTGATAGCGTTGGTCAAAATGCGATTGTACAATGGCTACATGTCCGACGATCAGGACCTGTCCAACCTGGCGGTCCTTTTCAAATTTTCCGACGCCTTAAACGAACATTTCTGCAAGGGCATCCTCCGGGCGCAGGCCAAGGAGCAGCAGAAGCGGAGCGGGGACAAAAACGAAACGGATGGGAACAGTGCTACTACGAAAAACCCGACGTCGGTCGGCGCCAAGGGAAGTAGCGCCGCGTATTACAATGAAAAATGCCCCCACGACCCCCGAACTTGGGAGCATTTGTATTGCAAACCTTTCCAAGTGAAACACTCGCCCTCTTGCATCTATCAGCATCACAGGTTTCCAATCGTGAATAGCAAAAATTTGTATTGCAAAAAACCCCAGCAAGAGCGGCGCTTGTCATGCAGGCGATGCGATACACGCCTAGACTCTGCATCAGAAAGATTCACACTCCTTTCATGCATGACAAAAAGTTTTCATGTGGAAGCTTCGCATCACAAATTTTTGCAACTTCAGGGGTGGAAGGCATTTTTCACTGTAATACCGCGAAGAATTTGTTTACCGCGCCGGTGTCGTTTGTGGCGAACAAAATGGTCTCCGGGGTGAGTCCGCGCTCGAAAAAGGAATGCGTGGATTGAGACGTGGAAGAAGGCGGATTTTTTTTGGTGGGAAAGTAGCGAGGAATCTGAATTTGAATACGAAATGGCTTTAGAAGTTTTTTTAGTAGTTTCACGTAGTATAATCACGACAGCAACAAGCAACTCTATCATCTAGAAATAGAAAGCAAAACAGAGTGTGAAAAAAGTTGACAAGATACTGTTTCTGGAAATAAGGCTTGAATAAGTAGAAGAATATCGAAAGACCGCGCTTTTTCTCAATATAGCAAATTTTTTAGCAGCAAACTGATTTGAAAAGAATATGCAGATAGTGGTCTCAGCATAGCAAATCGAAAGCATTGACTTCAAAACTCTCCTTGAAAAATAGCGACTGACTTTATTACAGAATATTTACAAATGATAGATTATTTTCCCATGAAGGTTCGATATCCTCGATTTCCTAGTTCCATAGATTGCGGACCCTTACACCAACATTCATATGAGTTTGAAAAGTAAAAGCATAGCATGATGAAAAACAAGTGCATACAAATGAAAAGGAAAAATATCGAAAGCAAACAGGAATGAAAGAAAAGAAAGAGTCCCCTCTAGCATCCCTGCAAAAGTCGAACGCGAACACAGCGCAGCGCTGGAGCAGTGAACATGAAGACACAACATAAATGGGAACGAGAAAATAACATAACAACATGCGCTAGTAATGCTCTCAGCGTTATAATCTATCAGTGCCTAGTACACCTGCACCGCATAGGTGGGAGGGCATCTTGTGAAGGGGAATCTGTTCCGCAAAGACGACCGCAGTCAACGAGTGAAGAACGAGAGTGTTTGCCAATACCGAGCGCAAATAGAGAGGCAGCAGGCGAATCTCCGATATTGCACAGATCACGATTGAAAGTCACCGGGGCAGTGAATGGCGAAGATTCTGCGAAGAAGGCCCGCCCTGTGGGCCAGCAGTGCAGAGCTGAGGAAGCGGGCAAATTATCGCGCGCTCCTGCGCCCCTGCTCTTGGTCCTGCGACCACCTAGCAGCGAAGCCAGTGGCGGCGGCTGGCGTGTGATTCAGTCGCCCCGCGTGTTGGGTGGCCGCTTTGTTTTCCGGGGGCCCGCCCGGTTGGGCCGCCTGCGCGGGCCGCGCGCGCCCGCGCGCCACGGCCGGCGGGGTTTTGTGTTGCTGCCAGAGCACCCGGGGAAGGGCCCAGGTAGATGGGTGCCGCCCGGCGGCGGGCCAATAGGCGGCGCGCCCCGCTGCGGCGCATTGGTTGCGGCATTTCAAAACCAGAAGCAGCCACCGCGATGGAATCGCACGCCCGCGCGCCCCGCGGAAGAAATCTCACGCGCCCGCGGCCGGCGCCTTCGCGCCCCCTTTTTGCCCCCTCCCCCTCGCCCGTGTCATGATTATTATCAGGCCGGAGAACACGCCGCCGGCCGCGCCCGATTCGGCATCCGCTGGGTCCAGCGCACACAATTCGAGTCATCATCGCCCGCGCGACGGAAGCCCTGCAGAGTCTCCGCGAGGTGGGGCGAACGCTGCGGAATTCTCTGCCGAATTCAGCGCGCACATTACGCCGGGCCCGGGCGGCGGGCCTTCTATCAATCTCTCCGCGCGCTCGGGGGATGATCCGGGGCGCCCCATTGCTTTGGCCGGTGTGGCTGTGTGACTTACTAGCCGGCCGGGCCAAGGTGTTTGCTTGCTGGGCCGGCTGGGTGGTGGCGCCCCCGCTCGTGGCCCTTTTTCGTCCCGGGCCGGCCCGTTTTTCTTGTGATCTTTGCGCTTGGCGTCGACGTGCCCCTGTGGAGGGCAGGGCAGACGGGACTTGGGTCTGCGCTGGTTTTTTTTGTGCCAGCCTCCCTCGTTCTACTTGCCGTTGTGGAAGTGGCCCCCGACCGCAGATGGTCCTGTCGCTGTTGCGTATGGATTTTGGCAGCCGACTTCGGTCTCTCGGCCCGTACTCGTTGTGGTAGTAGCGGTTGCAAGTAGATACTCTGTATTTATTGCGTCCTTATTAAAAATGCCCATGCGCACGCTTATTTGCTCTTCCTCTTTCAGGCCTGTTCCCTGTGTGCGGTGTTCTTTTCTCGAGTGCTGATGTGCCACGCCCTTCTTTTCTTGTTGTTCGTGCACGGTTGAAGAAGGCCGTAACAGTTCTCCGCCTGTTTTTGGCCTCACAGCGTTACTAACCGAACTTAAAATGAGAACTGCAACTGCCCATCTCGTTCTCGTCCCACCATGACTGCCGCCAACCCTTCGCCCCAGGGTCACGCCTCTGCGGTGGAGGAGCCAGCGGTGGACTACCAGCTCGACCATCGTGTTCCAAGAACGTCATCGTCTAGCACCGAAGATGGATCCACTTCACCGGACAAAACCAAACCGATGAACAAGGAGCGCCACCTCCTCACCGGTTGCTATGAACTCCTCCACTTCGGCCACCTCAACGCGTTGCGACAGGTGAAGCAGTGCTACACCAATTCGCAGTCAAGTACAAGCTCCAGCAGCAGCAGCAGGGACGTCCACGTCGTCGCAGGGATCCACCCGAACGAGGAGATCTTGCGGGTGAAGGGCGGGGTTTGCATTTTGGACGAAAAGGAGAAGGAAAGACTGCTGTTGGGGTGCAAATTTGTCGACGAGGTGGCGCACAACGTGAGATACGACACTATGGCGTTCTCAATTGTTACATTCTCTACTGTTACATGGATTTGTGATGCGAGAGTGGCAAAATTGAAAGGAAGGATCTTGCGCGTCTTGCATGACAGATTTGGCACAGATTCTAAGCCTGTTGGGCCGTCTCAGAACTTGTCATGCGAAGCAGCTCGATGGCGTCGATAGTCAAGGTAATTTTGCACGACAAATCATGTAACAGTTGAGAATGTAACGTTTGAGAACGCCACAGACACGATACAGCCCGAAGAATTCAACTGCGACTACTGCTTATCAAATGCGAAAATGTCTGGGTTTGGAAGAGTCATGCTGTTTTTGCATGACACAGAAGGTCTGGCATGGAAGCTCTAGCATCACAGGTTTCGAGAAGCTTCCGCGATGCCGAACCCGCATGAGAAATCCCCCATTTTGGTGACAGAAAGTCGGCAGCTTTTGCTACCTATGCATGAGAGATTTTTCTGTGTTCTAAAATGCGCATCACAAGTTCGGATCCTTCCAGACCCAGACACTTTTGCAGTTCATACTGCTGGCACGGGGACGATGCGGTGGTGGTGCAAGGTAGGAAATATCTTTTTCGTTTGGTAGTTTGGAGAATCTGAATCATCACCATGACCACAACTTGCATAATTAATACTACACTCGTCTTTTTTTCATGCGAGACGAACACTTTAGATTTAGAATGGTGGAAACGTATCACTTCGCACATGACAAATACCCACTCTACTACTACTCCTCGCTTCCCAGCACAGGCACCGACATATTCGGGTACGCGAAAAACACCGAGAAATTCAAGACTCTTCGTATGGCCTGCTCAAGCGTTACAATCTCAAGCGTTATAATAGAATCTGGAATTTGTGTTGCATGATGGGCATGACAGACTCGCACAGCGTTCCACCTTTTGCAATACAAATTTCGACAGAATGTAGAGGGGTTTGGAGCTCCGGAACTTGTCATGCGCAACCCTATGAGAGTTGGCTGGATCAACATGCTCATCATGCAAGACAAATCTCAGATTCTATTGTAACGTTTGAGATTGTAACGCCTGAGCGGGTTATACTTCGCCGCACCGAGGGAATTTCAACCACGCTGATGATAGCGCGGTTTTTCACGAACCAAGAGCGAGAGGGCGGGTTTTCCGGGTCCAACAGCCCGTCGAAGACAACACGAGGTGCAGGAGGTGGAGCTGCTCCGAGCCCCTCGCCCGCGCTTTCGGAGGAAGAGGAGACGCTGATGGAGATGAGTTGTCTGGGGGAGAATTTGGCGGAGAAGATTCTTTCGAAGCAGGACAAAACGGAAATCCAATACATCAACGCGACGGCGTCGCGCATCTCCCGCTTTTTCCTTCCCAACCGGCCGCGGTCGGTGTGCAAATCCGTGGTGTACTTGCAGGGATGCTTCGACCTGTTCCACGTGGGTTACTTGGACCTGCTCCAGCTGATTCTCGAAACGGAGCGGAAACGGAAGAATTTGGAATCCGTGAAGGACGTCTTTCTCATCATCGGGGTGTTGCATCACACAACAACATCTACTACGACGCATAATTCTGATGTTGACAACGACGGCGATCATCATGTCAAGACGCAGTTCTGCCTGCAGTCCCTGCACGAGCGGGCGATCTCCATGCTGTCGCTGCGGTGCGTGGACGATGTGGTCCTTGACGTGCAAAATAAGGTGGACGAGACGTTTCGACGGTCTCTGGGGATCACAACGGTGTATGGGATCGAAAACCACTGCGACTTTGTGAACGACGAGAGGAACGCCAGTTGCGTCGACGCGTGGGTGGACGGGTTTGGGTACTTTAGCTCGCGGACGATCCAGCTCCGGGTGTTGAAAAGCAGGAAGGTTTTGAAGGAGAGGCAGGCGAAAAAGAAGGAACCCGAGATGGCGGTGGCCGGGTCGATCAACATGATCGACAGTGGGGCTTGAGTTAGATAAGAGGAAGAGTCTTTCGGGGACAGAAAAGTTTCAGGACTTCGTGAAAAGAGATTTCCTCAACCTGCTCGAAGAAAAGCAGGCTCTGAAAAATTTTCAACGCAAGGCCTTGTTTTGTGTTCTCAGAGTTGATTGAGTAGCTGGCTCAACAGTCGTCCGACGCCATGAGGGTCCAGCTCTGTGCCTATCAGGCAATAGCCTCTTCGTTTTTTTTGCCCAGCCACAGGTGGCGGAAGCGGGCCGGGCGCATTGTCGTGCCGGCCGCAGGAGAGGGAAACGGGGCGGGCCGGGCAGGTTGGGCGGCCCGCGAAGGCGGCCGGGAAGCGGGGGCGGGCCGGGGGCCTGCTAGAGAGACGCACCCCGCAACCAGTACCAAGTGCCGCGCCCGGGGCCGCGGGGGCGGGCCCGCTACTTAGGTGTTGCGCGGGAAGTTGAAGCGATCGCGTGGCGCCGCCCTCTGCCCGCTTCCTTGCCGGCCTATTCACCTCGCACGCCGGGAGCCCGCATCTGCATGCTCGGTGACAGAGGCAGCATTCGAGCAGATGAACGCTGGCAATGACAGCGAGGGGGCCGCCCTGTTATCGGAGACGCTCGGCGGCCCGCCTGCTAGCCTCCTGCGTCGCTATGCTTGCCCGCCGCCCCCCGGTGTCGCGTCCGTACATCGGGGGGCGCCTGCTCGTGTGTTGTTGCCGTGTGGGCCCCCCTGGCTGCCCCGCCGCGCGGGCCAGGCCGCCAGTGGCGACGAGGATGGAAGGGAAATGGGGCCGGGTTGGCTGGGGCCTTTTCGGAAACACACAAAGAAAACCCCGTGCGCCCGGCGCCCAGTGGGCCGGGCCCGGCTGCAGCAAGGGCCTCCCGGCTGAAGGAGCACGCAGCGCCGTGCGAGCGCGCGCGCCGCGCCACGGCTCCTGCGGTGCAGCACCGGGGGTAGTGTTTGCCGGTCGTCTTCAGAGAAAGTGGGTCGTCCGCTGGCTTCGCAGCCGCCGGTGGCAGCAAATTGTTTGGATGGCTGCAGGGGGGGCCTCGCCGGTACGTGGGCATGGCCCGTCCGCTGATGGATTGCGCAGTATACCGCCAGACCGCTCGGACAGAGCTCCTGCTAGTTCGCGTTTTTTGCATGCGAGGAACTCCTATATTAGTGCAGCTGGCTCCTCTTCTTGTAGTGCAAACGGCGGCCGCGTTACGTGGCCGCCGTTGCGGCGTTCCGGGCTTTTTCGCCTGCCGCCGGTTCTTTGGAGTGTGTTGAAGATGCCGCTGATGTTGCTGTGCTAATATACGGCGCTCGCGCTTCTACCTTGAAGAAGAAACTCGGTTTGGATGAAAACTACAAGTTCGTTGGAATTCAAAATGAAAGATCGTTGCCATTCGGTGTCTAAGTAATTACAAAAATGATACGGGTCAGTGGCTCCTTTTACTACAGATGATCCAGGATAAGTGCAGATCACGCAGACAGGAATTAAATATAAATTTTGAAACAAGATCAAAAGCATAAATGTTCATCCCTGAAGATCCAGAGAGACGGAGACTCTGTACGAAGCAGAACTTATCTAGGTCCGACGTCGTAGCGGTAGTCGTGGTGGGTACCAAGCGTGGAAATCAAAGCCGTTCTTTCTCTAGATCCTTTTCCAGGGTACGACTAACGCATCTTCGATAGGCTTGAGATAGAGCTCTAAGCAACCTGACTTAATACCGGGAAAAAGTTTTCGTGTGTATAGGAGTAGCAGACAGGAGCTGTAGCAGAAGCAGTACTGATTCTTGCGGTAGCTTATGTCGAAATCATGTTAATATTCCGAATTCGAGTGTGGTTTTCCGAAAGCGAAAAGGTCCGCCTATGATATTTTCGCTTTAGATGAACATTCATCAGTCGAGTATCGTACTACACAATCAAATTACACAAACTTTCTTCGAATTAAAACGCTATGCCGAGCATGTCTTTTTCGAACTTGTTTCGAACCGCCGCCTTGCTGGCGCTCGGGGTAACGGAAACTCGACACCAAGTCTCAGCGGGGAACGTCGTCATTCCAAAAGCTGTCGCTTCACGACCCGCAGGAGCAACAAGAGATGATGAAGTAAACCCTCCAAAGGATAACTTCACTTCATTCCCACAGGAGTTCAAGTTCTTCAGCCAGCTCCCTGCCTACGTCACTAACCATCCCTCCGTCGTTGCTGAGCTGCTGAACAAAAAGCCAGCCCTCATTAGCCGCTGGACCACCATCAAAAACATCAGCAACGTCGTCCCACCTTCCCTGCACGAAGACCCTGCAATTGTCAAAACCGCGATAAAAGCCGGCGTCTTCCGCGAAAAGGATTGGGAAAACCTGGTCCAGACCAACAGCGTTTTACTGAAAGACGTGGCTATCACCGACCTAGCGATCGAGAAGAAGTGGATCCAGCTTCATGAAAGATACCGCTTCTGGCAGTGTAGTTTCGAGCTTTTTGGCGAGAAAAGCAACTTCCGCGCCAACCCAAAAATTGTCGCCGAGGCGATCTCTGGCTTTGACAGTACTAGGGGTTACTATCGCTCCTTCAATGACATCGAAAATCTGCAAGTCCGCCACAACCCGCGAGTGGTTTTCGCGGGGTTGCTGCGGGGATGGGAATATGTAGATGAAGGTTGGGACAAGAATAAACAGCGGTATGAGCCGCGACCTTTTTTCTACCCGAGACAAACCGGACGAAATTCTAGCGAAGACACGCAGAAGCAACGGTACTTCAACGCGGATAGTTTCCTTGCGCGGAAAATCGAGGAGGGCTGCATCACGGATTGGGAGAGGGACATCCCGAAAATTGCGAGACAGCACGAAATGGTAGTCTTGGCTGGGATAAAAAGCAACCCCAGGCTGATCACAAGTTGGGATACACAAGTCGTTTTGAAACACAATCTTGAGGTGGTGAAGGCGGCACTGGAAACTCCATTGATCACGGATTATGAGAAGCAAATCCCCGATGCGCTAAAGGACCAGCCGGAAGTGCTCGTAAAAGGGATCGACCGTGGTTTGATCCAGTATTTGAAGCGGTATCGCTTCAAGCGGATCCTTACCATTCCAGAGCAGCACGGGCTACTGTATCATGACGATATCGGTACTCGCATGATAAATGATAGTCTCCCCGGTTTCACGATACCAGGAAACCGACGCGCACTGTTTCCGCGGTGGAGTGAAGAAGACCGGAACAACGTGATGCAAGCGGCCCTGCGAAAAAAATTGATTTATTTCGTAACAAGCAACGAGGACCTGCTCCGAAGTAGAAGTTGCGAAAGAACGGGCGTCGAGCTTGTCGACAAAAATGCCGAGGAGATCTTCATGCAGATGGATCGCCCCACGCAGAGCAGTTGGAGTTCTTCCGTGGACATGGAGATTACCGCTCAGATATACAAACAGTTGAAGACGTTTACCAAGCCAGCGAATGTAAGGGGGAAGTGTTTGGTTCTGAAAGTGGACGACGTCGACCGTACAAGAAGTAGTGGGACGAGAAGTGGCAAAGCGAAGACGAAGAGCTGCTCCACCACGTCGTCGCTGTCATCATCCACTGGCGCTAGAAGTAGTACGAAGCCACCGAAGGCGGATACTTCTTCGAGGAACGCATCTTCGTCCTCGCGGGCTGCTTCGCTTTGCGTCCCTACTGCTGGGCAGCAAGAAGGAGCTGACTTGTCGTGGTCCATATCTACTTCGTCGCCGCTCCAAGCGACAGCAGAGGCACAACCAGCTGCGTTGCGTGTTGTGGGTGGAGGCTGCTATCCTACTTATCCGGCAGGTTTCGCAATACAGCCACGAGTGGATCCTGTGGATCGACGTGTAGTTCCTGGAATCGCTGCGGCCTCGTCATTCCGTAGTTGTACTTCCTACAGGGCACCACGACCAGCGTCTGTAGCGTCAGCATTTTCACATTCATCCAGAACATCTCGATCTGCTCAACGAGCGCCAGGCGGTAGCGGTTGCAATGGTGCTTCGTCTTCCACTTCTTTGCACAGGGCAGTAGACGCAGAAGGTGGAGGTCCTTTTCATCAGAGAGGATCTGGATCATCTGCCACAATAGTACAACAAGAAAGCCCGACCGCACTTCTAGCTGCATCTACTCGGCCTGGTAGTAGTGCACCAGAAGTCCTCCGGGCGGCGCGATCGTCTGCGGAGGACGTGGATGCTGGGCTGGCTAGGCGAAGATGCTCGCTGGGTGCTGGTACAGCTTCAATAAGGCCGCGATCAGACGATTCCTTCTTGAGCCAGCTGCAACGGCCTGCGGGGGAGAACCGAGATCGTGGTGTGTCAGGTGCATCAACCTTCGCGGATCGTGTTCATGAGGAGCGGATCAGGCAAGAAAGAGTGGCAGCTGGAAAACAACGGAGTAAATCGAAAAATGGGAAAAATAAAATTTACCGAGTATAGTATGTAAGGACTTTGTTTGTAGCACATGGAAATAATTTAGTACCGGCTGAAAGCCCAAGCCCAAGGCGACTTTCAGAACAAATTACGCATCAATTAGTGGCCTGTATTTCTACATATCTGTGAGTTTTCTGCTTCAATATGATAAAGTGGTGCACTTCTATTTGTAGTTACTTTAGTCGGCGAAAGATGATGCTTCGCATCAAATATTTTGCACCTCCTTCACTTATGAAGTCCATAATTCACACTGCAGTTAAATATTAAACTCGAAACGGAACAAAGCACTCACCATCCGCAGCAGTCACTTCGCAACAGAATGTAACTGTTCAATTTCTACAGTACTTGTAGTTGACGTTGATCATGGATACGTAGCAATGACCTTGGTATCTTTGGGATAAGTACAACACGGACGATGTTACAACAAGAAAGGCGGACATACTACGTCACGCTCAAGAAGTCACGAACGTACATAGATACGGTATTACTACTGCTACATCCGTCGCTGTGCTGTAGCAAGTACTATCTGCGTGGAACTTCGTTCTCTCGTCAGAGCTAGTAGTTTGTTATTATGGCAGCTGCAGTTGCTACTTTCTCTTTCCGCGAAGATGAAGAAATTCGGTGACAAATTTCAAATCCTTTTCGGTCTGGTGACTGTGACTGTTGCGAATCAGCAGATCTCGGTTTGAAGATGTTGTACCGTAGGGACTTATTCTTGAACGGCGCTCGGTACTGAACTGAGGAAGCAAAGTGCACCTCGATTTGTCGGTTCGTCTTCGAGTATGCAACGTTGTTTACATGAAAAAGCCAAAATATTTGCGTGTCGCATTGGTCGGATCGGTGGTACTTAACTGTATAATACTCGTACGTTTCTGTAGTTTCAGGTGTACTGCTCTCGACATCGTTGTCTTTTTTCGGTACGAGTGCCTTTGCCTTTACAGAAAAAATGTCGGTGCTTGAAGGACTTTTTCCTGAACCTGAAATGGCTAGCATTCGTTCGGTTGCGCTTGCGCTGCTACTAGTAGTCACGTGATGCCCTTTTGTAGCTACCTAGTCTTACATTTGGCTGAACTGACCACTTGGGCCTGTACTTACACCGCTCCTGAAAGTAAACTTCCTTCCAAATAAATCCTCATTCAGGCCTTCCTCTCCGTTCTGCTTCTGTCTTATTCAAACTTTCTGTCTTTACAAAAGCAAAACTGAGAGCACAACTTCAGAATTAGGGAAAAAGCTTCAAGTTATATTTTTGAATTAACGTCGAGGAATTATACGAAATCGAATATATCGCCCTTCACGACTTTGAGACGTTGTATATTCGATCGTTTAATATTCCACCTTCTTCTTCTTCTTCTTATTGACAACGGCACGGCGCTACTCAACACCACGATCGTCGGTCGTGACAGCGTGCTGCTGCTGGCCAAGTACAACAAGAACATAAGAACATCTGTGAACTAGAGGTGGAGCTGCAGCAAACCATTGACCTGATCGGAACTTCATCAAGGAGCACAACACGCTCACTGTACTGAAGAAAAGAACCTGAAGATCCTGAAGAAGAAGAAAAACCACGACCCCCGGAGGTTGTACTGAGACGTCGAAAATGAGCAGCAAAGCGCGACCTGCGGTGCTGTTCGGGCTGAATCTGCTCAATCAGCAGGACGCAAATGCCATCTCCTTCATGCACAAAGACTCGCCATCGGAGTCCTGCTGCGGAGGCGATTCCGACGGTGGAGTGAGCGCGGTATCAAATGTAAAAATGTCTGGGTCGGTCTGGAGGAATGCAACTTGTCATGCTAAATCTCAAGCATACAAAAATCTGTGTTGCATGATTACCAAAAGTCGTCCAGTTTTGACCAAGTCGGGAGGGAGTTTCTCATGCAGGATAGGCATGGGAAAGGTCTCGCAGAGTCTGTCATGCTAGATCCTGCATTCCAGACCTCATGGGTCATGGAAAAGCAGCATGACAAGTCGCGCACTCTTCCAGACCCAGACATTTTTGCAGTTGATATGCGGCGGGCGTGAACGAAAGCGCCCCGGCGGAGTGGGCACTGGACCCGGCGGTGTACCTGAGCCCGATTGGATATGGATGTGGCAGGATTGAAATCGTCAAAGTTGAAATGATTTGCCATGCATAAAATCCAAGGCATGAAGTGCCTGTCTTGCCGGGATGTCAAGTGATGCAGATTGTGAGCCTATTTAGGCTTTGGGATAGAGCTGCCAAAGGAGCATGACAAAAGCAGTCTTCTGTGCCAAACAGCATGACAAACTGGATGTGGACGGTTGCGAAATGTGTCATGCGCCGCTCGGAAATTGGGCTTCCAACTGGTATCGATTTTATGCATTACAAGTTATTGCAACTTTATTGTCGGTTTCAAACCTGACACATCCATACTGGAGAGAAGAACAAGGAGTACCATGTATCATATGTAAAAACGTCCCCACCCGCCCATAGTCAAGTTGGGAAATCTGCAAGACCAATCTCCAAGGTTTGGGAATTATGCATGACAAAACTGGTCGAAGCAGTGTAATCCTGTTTTATAACTAGTAGCTCAGCAGCATGACAGATGTAGCACACCATGCTGATTGGAGCAAGACAAATCCCGAAACACGACCAGAAATAAATGCTTCTCATGGGTCTCCGCAACATGAGAGACATTTTCACCATGCGGATTTGCATGATAACTATGGGGTGGGGACGTTTTTACACCGGATAGCATGCGTTTCTGAAGGACGACTATGTCGTGCCGGACTGGAGTGCCGGCGTGATTCCGAAGACGGTCATCCGCATATGCATTGCAAATACGTCTGGGTCTGGAAAGATTGAACCTGTCTTGCGTGTTTCGCATTCCTAAAAAATCTGTATTGCATAAGCAGCAAAGTAGAAAGCACCACACTTCCGTCAGGCAAAAACGCAGTTTGTAATGCGTCCTGCGCATGACAGAGCGTTTGAGAAATTTGTCATGCTGCACTGCACTTAGAGGCACAGTCAATCATGGCCATTCAGCATTACAAGTTTCCAGACCCAGACACATTTGCATTTGATACCGCACGGCATTTTTCGATTCCGCGCTGAACGTGACCGAGCTATCCTGTGCAAAAGTATCTTACTCGTACTAATTGCAGTTATGCATTACAAATCTAGGCTGTTCAGGTAAATCCGCATTACACATTTAATTTGTAATGCTGAGATAATTTGTATTGCACTTCATACTAGTACGATACTTTTGCAATTCATACGAGCAGGAGTTCCGCGATTATTGGGAATGGAAGGACCCCTCTCTGACCGTATCGAATGCAAATGTGTATATAGTCTGGAAAGATGCAGCGAATTTGTGTTGCTGCGTCTTGCATGACAGAGCGATCTACTTTTGTACGGCATCCACGCATCACAAATGTTTCGTATGGTATTGCGAGTTCTACCGTATTTTGCATGACAAACTGGCTTCCAGCACGACAAAAAAAACTACCCCATCGCACTCATGCATTACAGATTTTGAGATTTTGTTCTCCTGCACATCTCGCATCACAAATCCAGACCCAGATCGATATTTGCAATGCATAGACCGAAGCGTGGAACAAAACCAACGAACTGAACCCGGACTACACCACCCGGTGGTTTAACTGGGACACCGCGGCGGCCTACTATCCTGAGGAAAAACGTGCCCACCCCATAGTTAAGATAGGAAATCTGCTAGACAAATCAGCGAGCTTTGGCTGTTGCCCATGACAAGTTCTTTGGCCTCTCAGTGTAATCCTGTTTGGCTAGTGCAGCAGCATCAGAGCATCTAGCACACGATGCTGATTTGAGCATCACAAATTGCAAAACACCAAGAGAAGCTGCTTCTCATGGGTCTCCGCATGAGAAGCATTTTCAGCATGCAGATTTGCAATACAAGTACAACTCTGGGGTCGTGGGGACGTTTTTACAAATGATAACTACGTGGAGAAATACTTCAAGAAGGAAGCCAAGTGGGCTTTTCACGCGATCAAACCGGGTGCGATCAAGTCGGATTTGTTTCGCCTCATGGTCCTGTACAAGGAGGGCGGGGTTTACCTGGACGCCAAACTGATGCCGTTGAAGCCGTTCGGCAAAATTTTCGAGGCTGCCTGGAACGGGTATGGCGTTCTCAAATGTTACATTCTCAACTGTTACATGATTTGTCATGCAGAACTACCATAAGCAGCCACGCGACCAAGGGGCTGCGCATGACAAATTTCCTAAGGGCTAAACAGCATGGAAATCTGTGCAAAATTTGCGATGCTAGAGTTGCAAGATGCTCCCTTTCATTTTCGCTGGTCCTGCATCACAAATTCATGTAACTACAGTTGAGCACGTAACGTTTGAGAACCCTATAACGGAACCAAAGATTTCCGCTCCGAGCCGGACCAACTTGCCATGCCCACCGCCGCCGACGTCGGCTACCTCGCGGCTTGCCAAAACTTCGATTTTGCTTACCCGGGCAACATGTGGGGTTTAATGAACGCTTTCATGGCGGCCAAGCCACAGAACCCCGTCGTTGGCGACATGATTTACGACGTTGTGAAGCGCGTGCAGGCGGGCTTCTACGGATTTTCGTCCTGGGAACCGAGTTATGCATCGCAAATATGTCTTGGTCTGGAAGAATACAAACTTGTGACGCGCATTTCAGAACACAGACACATCTCTCATGCATAGGCAGCAAAAGCTGCCCACTTTGTAGTTTCACCAAAGTGGGGGATCGATTTGTCATGCGGATTCGGCATTGCGGAAGCTTCTCGAGGAAACCTGTGATGCTCGAGCTTCCATGCCAGACCTTCTGTGTCATGCAAAAACAGCACGACGGACTCTTCCAGACCCAGCAGACATTTTTGCATTTGATACGAGTGGCCCGGTGGGCATGTACGTCTCCATGCTGCGTTCCACGAAAATATCCACAGTAAATTTCCCGTACACGTACAACTACAACAAGTACGGTCTCTGCATGACAGCACTTGGCTTCGATCCTAGTTTAGCATGACAAGTTTTGCGCTCCAACTTGGTGAAGTTTGTGATGCATTTATGTACATGTACGGGAAATTTGTCTTGCATAGAAAAACGACGCCGAATTGGGCCAGGTGTTGGACGCGAAGCAGTGGTCGGAGCAGGCCGCCGACAACCGCCCGACGAAGTTATGGAGTGCAAATATGTTTGGGTCTGGACACACGGAACTTGTAATGCTAGTCCTGTCTTTGTATTTTTCCTGGAAAATCTGTATTGCCTGACTAACAGAACAAATACCTCCTTTTGATGATGTCGTACAAAAACGCAGCTTCTCATGCGGACTGCGCATGAGAATGATGTCTTCGGCAAATTATAACTTGTCATGCTTGGCTGCATTAGGATTAGGAAGTTTTTCTGTCATCCACATTTCAGCATCACAAGTTTCCAGACATCCAGACATATTTGCACTTGATAGAAGTGCCCCACCCTGCAGGGCGGGCCCGGGAAAGTCACGTTCATCATCTACGATGGGGCGTGGATATGCAGTGCAAAAGTATCGTACTCGTAGTAATTGCAGCTATGCAAGACAAATTTCGTTTTCAAGCTAAATCAGCATGAGAAATTCCATTTGTCATGCTGAGCTAATTTGTATTGCAATACTACGAGTACGATACTTTTGCAATGCATAGTGGAACTGGTGGCCCAGCGAGGCGTATCATGAGGAAAAATCCCCCCTCCCCATGTCATCTTTGTCTTGCAGAAAGTGCGTGGTGGTACTATTTTCCAAGCGTGTTTCTTGGGTACTATGCACAAGGCTAGCAATGAATTAGGCATGGCAAACAGGCTTCTTGCAGTAGTCGAAAGCGCATGTTGACTGACTGACTGTAGAATGCGCCACAAGGCAGCTCCTATTTTTACCCTGCAGGCAAGATACGGACGATTTGTGGCCACAAAGAAATCGGCATCACAAGTTTCCATTTTGATATGGGGAGGGGGGTGGATTTATTTTCACTTTGATAAGGGTACCACAAACCACGGTTGGTCGCCCGACTCGGCATCCTGCGGGGGCTCGTATCGTATTGAAAAACGTCCCCACGACCTCATAGTTGCAAAAATGCAAATCTGCATGCTGAAAATGTTTCGGAGCTGCCCCATGAAGAGCATTTTTATCTAGTCGCGTTTTGGAATTTGCCATGCTCCAATTCGAATGATATACTAGATCTGTGATGCTGCTGAACTACCTCAAACCGTACTACACTACGAGTGCAAAAAATTTTTCATGCAACACAGCCAAAACTTGTGGATGTGTCTAGCCGATTCCCCGTCTTGACTCTGGGGTCGTGGGGACGTTTTTACATAGCATAGCTCGTGCGGCCCGGGCGCGAGCGGTGACGCGGAGGAGGATGAAAATGCGTTGGTGCGCAAGAACTACCGCAAGGAAAAATCCCCCCTCCCCATATCAAAAGGAGCGTTCTGATGCTGGATTTGCGTATACAAATCAGGTTTGTCTTGCAGTAGAGGACTGCAGGCTCCTGCCAAGCCTGAGTACTAGAGAGCTTTTGGCCTAGGCGCTTAGCATGAGAAGCGTCTTCTATGCTGTAGGCCCAACAGCATCACAAACCGCCTGCATAATGCGGCAGAGCCTGTGGCGTTGTCTTCTTGCAAGACAGACGCGATTTGTGGTCTCAAATCAGCAAGATAAGACACACCTTTTCGATATGGGGAGGGGGGATTTTTCCTCTCAATAAGAACTACCGCAACTTCGAGGGTTATCCTGAGTAAAAACGTCCCCACACCAGAGTCAAGATGGGGATTTTGCAACACAAACCTTGAAGTTTTGGGAGCCACGCCTGACAAATTGCAGGCTGTATTGTAGTGCAGTTTAGCAAGGGAAGTCGCATTACAAATCCATCTGCTTATCCTGTTTACAGCATTACAAATTCCCAAACACGATTGAAAATGCCTGTCATGGGGTTGCGCATCACAAATGTTCCTGTCATGGCAAATCTGCATGACAACTCTGGGGTGGGGACGTTTTGACACAGGATAAGGGTGGCGGCGGCTGGGACAACACCGGAGACACCCCCGCGGGCTTGGTCACCCTGAAGGGCACGAACTACCAGAAGATGTGGGAATATTACAATGAAAAGTGCCCCCACCCCGGAATTTGCGAAAGTTTCTCATGCAAAGTTTCCAAATGAAAGGTTTTTGTCTTGCATGAAAGGAGCGCAAGCATTTCTGATGCAGAATCTAGGTCCGCAAGGTATCTTTTGCATCAGAGATCCGCCTGCTGTTGGGCTCCTTTGCATCACAGATTTTCGCTATTCAGCAGGGCAGATTTGTGATGCTGATAGATGCAAGAGGGCGAATGTTTCATTTGGAAAGGTTTGCAATCCAAATGCTCCCGAGTTCGGGGGTGGGGGCATTTTTCCTTACGATAGGGAAGAACACACCTTCTATGCCATCAATTGCTACAACCAGATCCCCGGGCTGCCGCTTCCCGGCGCGTATCCGGAGAGCGGACGGTTACCAAACTGCACCAGAACTTCTTCTACCCACTCCCTCTCGTTCTAACTTCTCAGGCAAAATTGCGTTCGATTTCCTGCATAGTATTTTCCTTGATGGTAGCTGCTGCAAAAAAAATAAAGTAAAACAATAAAAATGCCTTTTAGATAGAAGATGAAGAAGTCGTGCAACTGCAAGAGCATGGTCGTCGGGAGTAAAAGCTGGGAATATTAAACTACATGGGGTCGACGTGCAGGAGGAAGTAAACCCCTTACAGGAATAAAAAATCCTCCGAGTTTTTGCATATACAACTTACGCGGACCACGACAGCAACTTAGATCTGTCATGCACAGGATGAAATTGATTGAGAGAGGGGAGGGGGGGGACAAAAATTGTGCACTTGCATAACACTGCAGGACGACCACGACCACAACAACCACCACGGCTACAACTATGGGAGGTGCAACAACCACCACGACTACAACTATGGCAGGTGAAAAAACTCCATCACAACTTCTAAGTACCAACTCTGCGCATTTTTGCACAAGAACATAAAAAGAACCGTGGTCATGCTGCGTGAAATTCTTGTGCACGATAGTCCTCAAGCTTTGGACGTGATTTGCCTTGTAAATCTGCATCTACTTGTTCAATAAAACTTCCATGCCGGACGGCGGACAACATCTTCAAGTCTCTCATGCAAAACTTGTAACATGCCGATACTTGTGGTAGTGATGTTGTTTTTTTGTTTCATAACTGCTGCGGCACCGTAAGAAATTGATACGACGGTCGTGGTGGTTTTGTAAGAGGAACCTCGAGGCGGAGGCGGGGCAGTAGACTCCTGTGAAATTATGTTTTTAACATCGGAGATATAAGTAGCGGAAAAAGGATTTATTATGGGCATTTTAGCGGAACTTGTCCTGATGGTCGTCGACAAACATCATGAACTTGTTTGAGTGATGTAGTACTCACGTCATTTTTCAACTCTTATTCTCGCGGTGCTCGGAGCGGAAGGCTATCATTCGATATGTTAAGTCATTTGAATTTTTCATATTTCCAATTTTGCATCGACTACTTTTCTTTGCATATCTACGACATCTTCACATTTGTGCTTTTTACTTTAACGCTGTACAACTTTACAGACATAAATGAAAATGATATCGCAATCGCACACTGTAGTACTTAACTCTCTTGCCGGTAAAAAGTGCTCTCGAACAACTTTCTTGAATCTTAATTATTTTACACAAACATCATGATTCGTCGCGAAGATCACAGCATTTTTGATTTCTTTTTCACAGACACATCAAGCGTTTATATTCTTACGACAAAAATTCAAACATAGCATCCAAAATGAAAATCAATACTGTAATTTTTCGCAATTGATGAAATAAATTTTGACACCTGTCGGTCGCCTAGCCGTTCCAGTTCCAGGGCTTCTAGGGACAGAAGCAAGGTCCTCTCGGTATGTAGATTCTTTCATGCTTCGTGATGGCGCTCGAACTCGAAGAATCTCGATGGGCCAAAAGGTGACGGCCGGGCGGGGGGACGAAATTACAGCGACCACTTCTACTAAGGCTAGTACCTCTTGCTGCTTTTCTCAGGAAGAACATCGTGGGGTTCTTTCTACCACGAAAAACAATTTTGTACAAGTCTGCAAGAGACGCGGTACGCCAGCCACGCCTGGATCGATACAATTTCGTTCGTGTTTGAATACGAATACTGGAATTAAGGATAAAAAAAGGAAAACAAGCACTCGACGTCGACAGAAGTACCACGCGTCGCTCCACTCGCGGACGATGCTCGTGCTAATATCCATTTTCCGTTGTTCCGAAGATGGAGCGAAAACAAGGCGAGTAACTCAAAACGACATGATGAGAGCAGGTTTGCCCCCCGCCGACGAGCGAACATTAAAGTTTCTGGTGTACCAGTAGTTGCTCAGAGTAATTTTTTTCATCCCGTTGGGCCTGCTTTGAGTGCGATGAAGTTTTTCGGTGGCGCGGTTGTTTGGTGTTACTTATTGTTCCAAAAGATTTCCATCGACAAAATAGCAGTAATGGTACACGAAATCAAGTTGCAACTACAGTGACGGGGACGGACTCTTGCTCTTGCTCACGCGCGCGCACTGCCGGCGTCGAACTTGTACTACTTGTTTCTGGACGAGATCAATTTGGACGAGGGGATCATCATTCACAAGAGGAACAAAAAACGGGGCCTACTATTCGCTCTTTCGCACCACAGCAGTTTGATTTTGAAGTAGACAACTTCTTGCATCTCGCCCCGCGCGAGGATCATTGTGCGTCGTGGGCTTTTCATCCGATACTATAGTATGTAGTGAGGTCACGAACGTTCTATCCTAGCGGTTTTTTTGACAGCTCTCATCCAAAACGACCGGCAGTTTTCAATCGGCCGGAAGCGTTTTTTGACATAAAAAATTTCCAATTATCAATCGGCCAGGGCTTTGCCAACAAACAAGCCCGGGCGGATTCTATCGGTTCCCGATGGATAAAACGACGCAGGGGAGCCGGCAAAAGGGACGCCCTTCCGAGGCGCCCAGCGCATCTGTTTCCGTCGATTTGGGGCGCCCAAAAAGGGACGCCAAGAAAATGCAAAGACGACAAAATCCCTGAATCCGCACGGTATGGGCCGTATTTTGGCCCACTTTTGGAGGTCGCAAAGCCGGCCACCAAAAGCGGGCATTTGTAATGCGGGGAGTAGGGCAAAAAGCGCAACTTTTTAACAAAAAAAATACAAAAATGCAAAGGCCGCCAAAATCTGTGAGCTAACCCGCATGCTACGGGCCCGATTTGGGGCGCGCAAGGGGCCGGCCCTGGCGGAGGCCCTTGGTGGGCCATAGCATGCGGGGAAAGCTTCCGGGCTTGGAAGAGACGAAGGCGGAGGCCTGTAGCTGTGATTTTTAGCATCCGCGACACCATGCGGAGTAATCTTATACGCGACGGAATACTCGAGGCAAAGAACGCGACTACTTTGCTCACTGGTGGAATGCGCGAGAACGGTAACGAAAATGGGGTCGGGCAGTCAAAAAAACCGCGTTGACCTCACTACCCCCGCCTCGGCGGCTATATTTGGTAAGTTGTCCACCTTCGAAGAAGATTTAGTCGCTGACCCCCTCACCTCGCCCACACGACGAGTGAGAACAACACCTGTCGAAAGGAAAAAACTATGACGGCTGCTGATGAAATAAATGGTGAAAATGCAGAACGGGGAACAACCTCAACCCCTGAACAAGCAGCGGGCGATCAAGAACATGCGGCTTTCCTGCAAAATCATGACGAATCGGTGCTCCATTCCCTCAAAGTCGGCGTCGTCGCGGGTACGACCTGCGTGTGTGTCGGCTACCCGTTCGACACGATCAAAGTGCGGCTGCAGGCGGCGGCGGGTGCTGCAGGAGCTTCCCGGGGAAGAACTCCGGCAGGCGGAGGTGCTGGTCGTGGCTCATCGACGTCCTTCACCCACCTGTGGAAAGGCATTTCCGCACCCCTGCTCGTATGCGTTGCAAAAGTATCGTACTAGTGTACATGGCATTACAAATTTGCTCAGCATGAAAATAACTGGAACTTGTCATGCTGTTTTACCTTAAGAGCAAGACTTGTCATGCATATTGCAATTACTACGACTGCGATACTTTTGCACAGGATAGCTCGGCGTGGTGCCTTCCTGGGCGATTTCCTTCACGCTGTACGGCGCCGCGCTGAAGTATGGCGCCCTCAAACGTTACATTCTCAACTGTTACATGAATTTGTAATGCAAAAGTGTCATCAGCATCTATGTGATCAAGGTACTCCGCATGACAAACTGCCCAAGAGCTAAACAGCATTGCAATCCGTTCCGAATTTGTAATGCAAAACGCGCAATCTTCCCGACCCGCTTTCGCTTTTGCTGTTATTGCATGAAAAATTTATGTAACAGTTGAGATCTAACGTTTGAGAACTCCATACGAAGTACCTCGAGTCCAACAGCATTCCCGCTTGCGCGCTTGCCGGCGGTATCAAATGTAAAAATGTCTGGGTCTGGAAGATTGCCAGGTTTGTCATGCACATTGTGCATCACTCCTGATGTCTGTGATGCATGCCCTAGCATCACAGATTTTGTGAGGGCTTCCTGATGCCTATACCGCATGACAAATGCTCTTTCCGTGTAGCAAAACTTGGACTCTCTTTGCTGCTCATGCAATACAGATTTTTTTAGAATCCAAAATCAGCATCACAAGTTGGATTCTTTCAGACCCAGACATCTTTACAGTTGATAGGCGGCGTGGCGGGGGTCGGGTACGCGGTGGTGATGTGCCCGCTGGAAATGGTGAAAGTGAATTATCAAATGCAAAACCATCGTACTACTTAGTTAGTAAAAATCGCATGACAAATTCGCCCAGAAGCATGAAAAATGGAATTTTCAATGCGGATTTAGGTTAAGAAGGAGATTGTGTAATGCATGGTTGCGACTACTACGAGTGCGAAGATACTGTTGCATACGATATTAGTTGCCAGGTGGCAAAGTCCGAGGATACTTTTGCTATGGCGAGACGGCTTTTCAAGATGGGAACTAGTACTTATCAAATGCAAATATGTCTGGGTCTGGAAGGTTGCAAGACTTGTCATGCAGGTTTTCCATGACCCATGAGGTCTGGAATGCGGGACCCAGCATGACAGATTCTGCGAGGTCTCTATCATGCCTATCCTGCATGAGAAACTCCTTCTCAACTTGGTCAAAAGCAGACAGCTTTTGCTACTTATGCAACACAGATTTTTGCATGATTCAGATTTAGCATGACAACTTGCAATCTTCCAGACCCAGACATATTTGCAATGCATAGTACTGAAGGCGGTGCAACAGCAACTACATCTACACCTCCGAAGATGATCTTCACAGGTGAAACAAATGGCACGAAAGGAGCATGTTTACAACCGAGAACAAGTAGAACAACAAACACTACTTCTACACCTTTTTTCTCCGCCCGCCCAACCATTCTCTACCGGGGTTTCCTCGCGTGTCTCGCTCGCGATTTTAGCCAGGGCGTCGCCTACTACAGCCTGGCGGAATACTTGAACCGAACCCTCGAGGGTCCGCTCGGCAGCTTCTACGCCCCGCTGGTCTCCTATGGGGGTTTCAGGATTGAGATCGTCAGAATTGAAATAGTTTGTCATGCATAAAATGCACCCCACAAAGTGCCTGTCTTGCAGAGTAGGCAAATGAGGCAGATTGTAAGCCTGTTGAGGGATAGAAACTGAGCTGCTAAAGTAGCACGACAAAAGACGTCTTACTTACCCAAAAAGCATGACAAACTGGATTTCGGCTCTACCCAAATTTGTCGTGCGCCACTTAGAAACTGGGTTACAACTTTCATCCATTTTATGCATTACAACTTTGTAGATTTCAATCCTGACGCATCCATATCTCCGGCGCGCTCACCGGAGTGGGGCACTGCACCGTGGAGTACCCATTTGACGTGGTGAAAACCCAGAGTATCACGAGAAAAAAGTGTTACAGTCACACATTGTGTTGCAAGCCCAGCATGACAGACAACCTCTGTCATGCCAGAAATGCTTCCGAGCTTCATTTCATACGTGTTTTCCCTTATGGTCTGCGCATTGCAAGTTTTCCTTCTCATGCGCAGAAAATTTGTGTTGCTGAAGTTACAACAACTGTGTATAACTGTAAACACTTTTTTCTTGTGATACAGAGGCAGGCATTGCTAGTAGAAAGTCTTGAGGTATTTAAACTAGGTGGACCACTTACAACCGATCGTAGTAGAAGTGAACTACAGGTAGGTCGCCAAGCCGCTCCTGCTGGTTTATTAATAAAGTTTTCATCGAACGGAGAGAATCATAAAAGCAGTAGCAGGCCACGACTTCCGGCTGTTGATACATTGATGTCAACAACTACAATATCCCACAAAAAAACTGTTTCACTGTGATGGTTTTGCAAGATCTGCATCACAAGTTTGTTACACATGACGCAGAAAATTTGCCATGCGCGTTTTCCAAGGGAAAACACGACTAAGATTCCATTGTGTTGCAGGTGTAGCAAGACAAACACTTTGGTGCTTCGTTCTCTGCATCACAGGTTCACAGTGAAACAGTTTTTCTTGCGATATACAACATCCTCCAACAAGAACCAAAACCACTGCCACGACGACCATCCTCTCCCGCCAGATAATCATATGAATTGCAAAAGTATCGTACTCGTATAAATGCATTACAAATCCCCTCAGCATGAGAAATAAATATAAAATTTGTACTGCGGATTTACCTTAAGAAAAGGATTTGTAATGCAAGACTTGCATACGAGTGCGATACTTTTGCACAGGATAGCTCAACAGAAGTCCTACCGCAAAATTCTCCGTACGATTTACCGGAATGAGGGCAACATTCGTGCGACGTTGCGGAGTATGCATTGCAAATATCGATCTGCATCTGGGTCCGGAAGGATGCAAAGAAAGTTGTAATGCGCGTTTCACATCACACCAAAATCTGTTATGCGTGGATACATAACAAAAGTTGCGCACTTCATTCATCTGGCCACTAGCACTAAAAGAAGGGCTTTGTCATGCGCATTTAGGCATAATTTGGAGAGGACCTTGTCAATAAAACCTGTGAAGATGCTAGGGCTCGCTTGCCAGACCTTCTGGGTCATGCGAAACATTGCATCACAAAGAACCTCGTCTGCATCCTTTCAGACCCAGATCGATATTTGCAGTTTATACGGAAAGGCTACTTTGTCTCCATCTCGCGCGCGGTCCTCGCTCACTCGGCGAGTTTCTCTGTGCTGTGCCAGTTACGCGGGTATTTGTGAACAGGTTGCTTTCAGCTCTGTATCGATCTCGAAATGTTGTGCAATTCTGTTTCGTTTTATACCGGAGGTGAATCTAGTGGAGTTGGTGAAACAAGAGCTAATATAATCGGCTTGAGCATCCATCACCTGCTAGAATTACGATGTACGATATATAGGAACTACCGGTTTCGGTGCAGGAGCACGAGCAGGGAATCATGATCGTTTTTAAAGAAGTTTGTATTTAGACAGAAGAGCAGAAACCCTTCGAGTTGTGACAACTTCAGGAGGGGCGAGTTTATTGTTCAGTAACCTATTTTTTATGAATCGTGACACAACTAGGACTCCGACGAATACTATCGTATTACAGAAAATTTTGCAAAAATCAGAGCAGACGAAATAAAGAAACGACAATCCTAGAAATGGAATAGGAACAATCTTGCCGTCTGAGACAATCCGACGTGGTCCACCATGTCTCTGCGGTCGCGTTTTTCGCTTCATTGTTCAAAAAGAAATGTTGCTGCATATTACAGTCCCGGTTGCACCAGCTGATGTGATTATGTGCGTTGCCTGTCTTCCCGGTTTCCCAACTAGCAGCTGCGCGTCGTCCTCTGTTCATGAGGGCGCTCTGTATCAATCTCTTGACTACAACAACGACCTGGAAAATTAAACCGGTTCTGTTCATTTTTGCTTTACGGAGTTATTATTGCGCAAAGAGTTATATACAGTAACAGTTGACTTGTGGCTGTTAGTGTCATCATGCACCTTAGATGTAGTGGTCCGAGTGCGAGTCTGAAGAAAGGCGCAAGAATGTTCTTGTGTGGTGGAAAAACTTTTTACCAAAAACGAAAAGAGCACGAGTGTTCTTCGCACTACGAAAAATAAAACGTCGTCACAACTATATGCTGCATAATTTAGTAGGAATAGGCTGGTATTATTAAATATTTTGGTACGTGTACGTCGACTACGAATTGAAGGTAGAAGTAAAATCAATTTAAGCTCGGAACAATTTGGTGAATTTGCAGAATTTCCGCCGGGCCTTGTTGCGGCGTAGAAAGAAAAAAAAACAAACGAAATGGTCGTCACTACCGATTTATGCGTTGCAAATATGTCTGTGTTGGGAAAAGTGTAGAAGTAAGAAGTTTGTAATGCAGGTTTTGCATGAGCAGGGTCCAGAAGAATGTGTGGCCTAACATCACAAGTTTTATTGGGAGCGCTTTGTGATGCCTATTCTACATGAGAAATCCTGTCCCAAAGCGGTCAACAACAGACAGCTGCTTTTGCTTCTGAAGACGCATGACAGATTTTCGTGTGACTGACGGAGAGCATCACAGGTTCAATCTTGGTACCTTTCCAGACCCAGACATTTTTCAACTGGATACGTTTCCATGTTCGCCGGAGATGGGTCCATGCCCGGCCGTATCCTGTGCAAAAGTATCGCACTCGTACTAATCGCAGGCATGCATGACAAATTTCCCTTCCAAGGTGAAGCAGCATGACAAATTCAATTCTTCATGCTGAGAAAATTTGTGATGCAATTACTATATATTATATTCATGCGAAAAAAGAGGTAGACAGAGGGTAAACAAGAGGTGGCCGAGAGGTCAAAAAGAGGTCAAAAGAGGTAAAAAAGAGGTCGACAGAGGTGGAGAGGTGGCGCGGGACCCCTTTCGAGAGGGTCGGCGAGAGGGTGCGCGAGTATAGCCCGCCGAAGGACCCACCTTAAGGCGGCGCCTAAGTGCCTCAGAGGGTGCAGAGAGGTCACAAAGAGGGGGCGCGAGAGGTCGACAGAGGTCGAGAGAGGTGGCGCGAATAAGGGCCAACCTCTCGCGCACCCTCTCGGCCACCTCTGGGCCACCTCTGTCGACCTCTACCCTCGAGTATAGCCGGACTATTAGCGGGGACCCCCAAAAGAGGTAAAAAAGAGGGTCTGCGAGAGGTCTGCGAGAGGGTAAAGACACAAAGTAGCGGGCGCGAATCCGCATGGGAGTCCCCATATTTAGCGTCGCAGGCTCTTCGCGGACTTGTTTTGTCCGGCGCCTGTCCCCACCACCCTCTCGCGCACCCTCTCGCGCCACCCTCTCGCATCACCCTCTCGCGCACCCTCTCGCGCCACCCTCTCGCGCGACCCTCTCGCGCCACCCTCCCGCGCCACCCTCTCGCGGCGGGCGGCTTCTGTTCGCCCCCGGTGTTCTTTGCAGTTGCTCCCTGCGCAGAGCGCCCACAGGCGCGGGAGGCGCGCAAGTAGTCCTGCGGGTTGGCGCGGCGCAAACTCCAGTATGCTTCGTTGCGCACAGGCCCGTGGCGTTGTGGTCCGATCGGCAAACTGTCTTGCCCCGGTCCAACAGCCTTGCGCTCCGGCGGCAGCCGGAGCATGGCTGGTTTATACTAGTCCGATGCTTTTGAAATTCATAGGCCGCCGCGAAGCCCTGAACCGCAAGCGCGCAGCCAAGGATGCCTACACCGACAAAATCGGTGGGGGCGGGTTCCGTGCAGATTTGAGTGCATCAAACGTCAACTCCGGGGTCTTTCAAGGCGGGTACAACTACTTAGTGATCTTGCCATGCAGATACAAACACCATGGAAAATAAATGGAACGACATTGTAGTGATGCGTAGTAAAAATTGTAGTTATACTGGCTGTACAAGTGCTCAAGAACTTCTGAAAGCCATCAAAATTATCACACAACAGGGCCGTCGCCGAGCCGCAGTCCGTTGTGTCCACTGCGCGTTCGGTATCGTTGTGAAAGAATGTTGTGACAGAGGGGGCGCGTGAGCCTAGCTTATGTTTCTTGTCATGCGTCCTAGAGCAGGCGTGTAGTGAGCATAATGCATGTTGGTCATGCGTAGTTCTACTTGTCATGGAGACAAATCGAACACCTTGCATGAATCGAACACGAACGATGAGTAGGTTGTGCTTTATTAACTACTACTTGCTAATATAGAGATCATGTAGATGTAGATGATGTTGTTGAGGTTGATCAGAAGCAGATTGTATGGTCGTCGTGCGTTCGTATTTATCATTTGAGCCATTCTTTTTCACGCATCAAGATCAAACCCGTTAAGCTGCATGACAAACAGAGCAAAACAAGTTGTTCTCCTCGATCAAGCACTCTTTCACCCCCTGTTATACCCGCAGTTCATGCCGCCCACACCCACCTATGAATTGCAAAAGTATCGTACTCGTATAAATGCATTACAAATTTCCTTAGCATGAGAAATAAAATTTGTAATGCGGATTTACCTGAGGAAAAAGATTTGTAATGCATGACTGCAATTACTACGAGTGCGATACTTTTGCACAGAATACCACCTCCGCGAGTGCCAGTGTGTCGGAGAACACCACAAGTATATGACAGTGCACAACTCCCCCTGCTCCCCTTCATTTGTATAGCATGAACGGCGATAGTACAAGCATCAGCGCGAATGTTGGTTTATTTGCATGACAAATTTACACTGGATTGTAGTGCTTCTGAGGTTTCTCGGTTCCCCCGAGAGATTTCCTCGTTTTTTTGTCGACAGTTTTAGGTAGTCAGGCGAGCCTTCTTGCGCATACGTACGTAGATCTCCTGGTGCTTCGGCACTTCGAGGTTTAGGGTCGGAACTACGTTCTCAGCACTGCTGAAGCTTAAGAAGAAAGGGGCGTGCATGCCCTGGCCCTCAGTTTGCTCTGCCTTTTATCTTTTTGACGATCGTTTACCAAATCCTCCTTTTTTGCTGTACCTCTTGTTCCCCGGGCCCAACTGGCACCAAGCAGTTTTTTTCCTAGGTTTAGCTTTAGGTTTAGGTTTAGGTAGGCCGCCACCACCGCCGGCACGGGATAACCGCCAACGCGCCCGTCTCACCTTCGATCTTCGCCTTCTCGTGCTGCACAAGTTCGATCCGGAAGGGTTTTGTTTTAGGTTTCAGGGTTTAGGCCACATTTACGCTGGATTGTAGTGCTATTTGGGTTACCAGAACTTGTCATGCAAACAGTGCCATAAGGCGGCGACTGGAGTTTTCGGGGTTGTGCATGACAAATGACAATGAGGGGGAGGGGAGTTGTGCACTGTCATAAAGTCTCGCTTTTCAGCAAAAAATCTCCGTCAAGCGCACACTGTTTACCTTGGATCTGACCTGCGATTTTCCCATCGTCGACATGGAACAGAACATGAAGCGCCGATCGCTGATCTTTTACTGTGTGGTGGACCAAACCGGCACGAAAGAATCTGTTATCAAATGCAAATATGTCTGGGTCTGGAAGAGTGAAACTTGTGATGCTGGCCTTGGATCCTACATAAAATCTGTATTGCGTGAACAGCAAGAGGGGTCCAGTTCTGGCTACGCGGAAAGGGTATTTCTCATGCGGTATGGGCATCAGGAGGTCCTCATAAAATCTGTGATGCTAACGCATGTAAAATAGACACCATGGGTCATGCAAAATGCGCATGACAAGTTTTGCACTCTTCCAGACCCAGACATATTTGCAGTTCATATCTGTGGCGATCCAGGTGCCCCTGTCTTTTGACTTGACCAAGGCAAAATTCACCAACGACGACTTTGCCAATGGGCGGTGCTCGATGGCAATCCCAGCAGCGAATTCCAACGCCCTGTCGTGGGACTGAGGTGAGAATTTGTTTTTACAATTTATTCTGTCATGCATTGTCAATGATTGAACTCAACTTGAAGTGATCGGTCGGACATTTTTGCTGCACTGCTGGTTCTTGCGACTCTGTTATTCAAGAGGTTCAACACCACTTTCGCGCAATCGAAAACGATGGTCATGAGGATGACGTGACGCAATTTTGAATCGACATGCAAATAAAAATCTTCACCAGCTGCAGCTGTATCACAAGGAGCTTTGACGAAAAATAACTTTGTTCGTCGGGTCTCGGGCGGGCCGCACCCGAAGACGAAGAGGAGAAAAAAAGTTTGGATTTTGGTACCTTGTATTTCGACGTTTTCATCGATTTATTGTACTAGTAGAATTTGTAGATCTTTACATTTTAATCGCTACAGATTTTACGACCAATCAGGAATGGATGTTGAAATTACAGACTATGGATACAAAAATACGCCCGCATCGATAGTACTTACAAAAATTCGTCTATATGTCGACATCAATAGATGTAAGTTGAATAGTATTCTGAAAAGATTCTACAAGCTAGTTGTGAATGAATAATGTTCGTACAGAAACTAACAGGATCAGGAATAACGACATCAAAGCGACTTTTTGTAGTAAGCACAGCCAGCAGGAGAAGCAGGTAGATTTTCCAGAACGGGCTGCATTACTACTGGGGGGTTTCTCATTTCCGACTCCTTATTTTTGACTGCTGGAGCTGCAGTAATGATATGGTCTTTATTTTGGTGTCAAGAAAATGAGGACTATATTCTATCTCGACGTCACTCCTCGCAAAAGTCGAAGGCTACAGGGCAACTTCTTGCTCCTGTGAGTACTTTTGCTTAGTAGAGCCCCACCTGCTTGACAACTTTTTTTCATCTTCACGCGTATGAATTCTGTCAAGACAAATGCACGAGATCACAATTTTTTGTTAACAAAGCTTATCACTGAATTTGATGGTTTCTAAAAAGATTTCCTACCGCTCAATAATGTGACTGAGTATATTGATTTGGTTATGGTTTAGACAAGGAAAATTCCAGAAGTACATCAAAAATCGAGCACCCCCCTCCCACGGGGTGGCGGCGGGGCGAGATGATTTGTCTGCGTTGCGGCTAGTAGCGGCCCGCCCCATTTCTGCAAGCCTATCGGCCCGGACCAGCCGCGACTCCTTCTCGAGTAGAAAGGGCAAGCGCGCATCTGCCGCGCAAGTGTTTCGCCTTTGGCGCAACTGGCTCGGGGGCTCGTTTACAAACAAGGCCGGCCAAAACTCTACAAAGGCGACAGGCGGAACCCAGGGGCCCCCCTCCAGGGGGGTGCCTGAGGGGGGTACTTTTTTTGATTCCGAAATCGGCCATTTTAGGTCGGGGGAAGGAACGCCAAGGGGGGTGCTTTTTGGGGGTGCTTTTTCTTGGGCAAAAGGGGGGCCCTTGGATTGGCCCCGCGGCGCGACTTTCCAGGAGACGGCCATTGCTCATTGGATCCGGAAAGACCTGGCCGCAGAATTCTTGAAGTATTGTCGTGGTGTTGCTCTGGGTGGTGACGGAAGACGAACGCCGAAGCCGGAGGCGTTTCCGGTTGTGTGGGACCCACTGAAGAAAGCCGCCACCTAGATGAAGCCTACCCGAGCCAACCGCCTGTCCCGTCACCCCACCCACGGGAGGGGGGTGCTCGATTTTTGATGTACTTCTGGAATTTTCCTTGTCTAAATGGTTTCTAGTATTTAGCTTTCGTTATTTCGGAGTTCTATTCGCAGCAGCATGGAGCAGCTCCTGCAATGAGACGATGAAAGAGTCCGCAGCTGGATGATGGCAAGCGGTTGCGCGATTCTGTTTCAACTGAAAATCGGTGAAATTGATTGTAGAAGCTGCGGCCTATGGAAAAAAACATCAGGAAATTCTTGCGATATATAAAACAAGGCGAAAATAAGAGCATGAATGTTCGTAGTTCGAAGGATCATGATAGAATGAACCACAAGATTATCGATGATCCTGCAAGGAGCTTGATTTGAATGCAATCGGTCCGAGGGTCGATGGAGTGGATTCGGTTTCGGAAGGTAGAATAAAATGGCATCTCTCTGTACTTAGCGCGAGCGATCCGCGGTGGAGGAGGGAAATAAAAAAGCCTCAACGTGATTAAGATCTTCTTCAAATAATAGCAAAGGATGATACGATACACGGAAGGAAACGAAATCAAGATCCGAGCGAAAATATAGTATCGCAGTTTTTTTTTGTGGAAATCGTTGCCTCTATTGTCGGTCGAAGTCGATGTCGAAGGAAGGATCCGCGTTTTTGTCTGGACACAGCAAGCCTATCTACTAACATCGCTGCCTGGTTGATGTTGTGACGAGTTTGAAGTTTATATTCCTTCGGAAGCATCATGCCTGCGTGTCAACTTTGCATTCCCTCCCAGGTCCCAAAACTTGAAAAAACTTGAAGTTTAAACTCGAATAGCAACTTCAGTGGTCTTCATCACAGGCTTTAATCTACTTAAAGTATTTCGTCATCGTCTAGATCAACATCAAAATCAACAAGCTGCAATAGGACCTAGAAGTAGGGCGCGCCTGTCCTGCTGCTCGCTCGTTAGCTTCTCGACCTATCGCAACCAATACGAAATACGTTCAGCCTGCTCAGAATAGTTTCTCGTGTTGGAGAAGGAACGAACACGAAGTAGCACGCAGCAGTCACAGTCTGATACCAAAAAGCAGCACACTGTTGTAGTCAACAACATTACATCAACATCTTCATCGCTTTTAAGACTCAATCTTTATCTTCTTCAGCTAAATTTTCTCTCCGAACAAACCGCGACCTGTGGAAATTTAAAGCATCCTCTTCGAGTCTGCGACTTAAAGAGAAAACGTTTATTCATCATTAATAGTACCCTATTATTTTCTACTTCTATTTGATACAACTAGAACTTTTCAAAAAGAACTTTACACCAGCGAGCGCTTTTATTCATAAAGCTAAAAACAAGAACCACTACAAAAGAAGAAGTTGCAAAAAGATGGTGTGCATGAACATGCCCTCGTTCGTGTCGTCGACGTTGGCCGCGGCCGTGTTTCTAGTAGCGGTTAAGAACGGCGCAATCTCTGGGTGCCAAGCGTTGGAACTCCAGCTTGGTATGAATGCTAATATGCGGCGTGGTACTTCTCGGAGTGGTCGGCATCAACGTGCTGTTCGGGTGCCTCCCAATCCGGATAATTATAGGCAGGCTCCGGCTCTTGCAACCAGCCACCTAGAGGACTTCTTCGCCCCTATCTCGCTCGAGCTGGAAGTTGCAGGTGGACCACGAGGAGGGGCACAGGAACAAGCCGCGTTTACTAGCGCCGGCGCTGGAGGCAGCAGTAGTAGCACAAGAACTCCTGCACCTGCTACAGCCGTGACGCCTTCGCAGGATCAACATGTTGAGCCGCCGGCCCTCGACGCTATTCGCCGGCAAGAGGACCCTCTTGAACCTGTTGGCGCTCGGCTACCTTATTCTGCAGATTTTGCAAACCTCCTCGCCCTATGCAGTGCAGATATGTCTGGGTCTGGAATTATGTTCGAACCTGTAACGCTGGTCTTACATCTATTCCTTCCCTGTGAACAATAAATCTGTATATATTGCATGACCAACAAAACTTTCGTGCAGCAATGAGGATGCGACTTTTAATAAAGTCGCAGCACTCATTGCGTATGATGAGAAAGCGTTCTGGAATAAGTAGTAAAGTTGCCACGCTTGTTTGCTCCTGCGTTCGGAAGTGTGTGGTCCACACTTTAGCATCTTCACAAGCTTCCAGACCCAGACATATTCGCTTTTGATACGGCGAGGCCCCGCTGATTTCGTCGCAGCACCCGGATCACGAGGTTTTTGCACTTGATTCTGTTAGTGAGCGCCTAGGGGCGGCCGCCGGGGGGTCTTTGTTGGACCGAGTAGGTCAGGCAAGTGTAGCCGCGGTCGGGCGTGGCTGGCAGAGGCTTGCCTTTGGGGACCAGATTGAGCGATCGAAACTGATTGACACCTTTGCCAAGAACTTTCTGCGGAGCCTGCTTGCGTACCTTCCCGGAACGAGCGAGGGGAGCAAAGGGTTTGGGCGTTATGCCAAGAACTGGCATATGGAAACACCCCCGCTGCGGGTCGCGCCCCATTTGTCGCCGAAAGAGGTGTTGCTCCGGGTTCCGCTTGGGACCATTATCCAATGCAAATAGGTCTGGGTCTGGAAAATTGCGACATTTCTCATGCTCGTCTGGCACGAGCACGACTCTGAGTCTGAGCGCAACACAAGGAGCTGCTCCTGTCTGCCATGCAAAAACGCAGTTTCTCATGCTAAACACACAACACAGAGCCAGGAAAAAAACTGTCAGGCGTGGTTATTTTTCACTGACATGCACCACAAGTTTGTTCCAGACCCAGGCATATTTGCAGAGGATCATAGGCACGTCTACGTACTACGCAGCCGAGCCAACGGTAGCTTCGGCACCAACCCGAGCCGGGTTTCCGCCGAAATCGAAAGACGAGTTATTGTCGGAGATCGGAAGCCCAGGATTTTTCAAACGACCGGAATTAGAAGTTTCTGAAGCGGAAGGCGGGGCGCTGGCAACCTCCGTTAAGTTTCGCCTGGAGAGTCGCCGAGAAGTCAGTTACTACCGTGCGGCGTGGCCGGGGGACACCGAAAGTGCTGGGGCCGTACACCTTCTTGACGACGTTGGGCGGGAGGCCAGGCTTAATGTTGGAATCGTTGAGGTTTCGAAGCCGATGTTTGTCGCTGAGTTTGAATTCGCGCTCGGCAAAGAGGCAAAAGCAGAACTTGTGAGGGCTGACGTCCTCCTGCGGCACGCGCCTGCCGAGCCCTATAACCGCAACAAAACCCTCGCCAGGGGCTCCTGTGCGGGTACGCAAATGTGGGGCTCGCGGGTGGTCATCGCTCCTGAGCCGGTCGTCAGGAGGACCCGGTCATCCTCACGAGAACCTACAGGACGGCCAGGTTGGCCCGACCGGCAGGACAACCGGTTCTGTACGCCCGTGATGCGTGGGGTGGACGAGGACCATGGGCTGTGATATCCCGCATAAATAAAGCGTCCCCGCCCCCGAGCTGTCATGCAGCTAATTTATTTGCAATTTTTACAGGGCCTCTTACCGAGGAAGCGCTCGGTCTTTGTATGTTGAGGTCGCCGATAAAGTGCTTCCTCGCCCGCCCCCCGGGGAGGGGATCGTCCTTGACCTATGGCGCTGGGTGCGGGTGTCCACTACATGATGACTCGGCTTACAATTTGTAAGTACTAAAAATGCGCACGATCCCCAATGGAGGCTCAGTTATTTATAATATATTTTCCAGTCGTGTATTGGGGTTTGTAGTGCTGCAAACAGGATATTAGAAAGGACGCGGCTTCCTTGCTGACCTGCACTACTATACAGCGAGAAACTTATCATGCGCGTTGACGCCCAAGACAAAGCTTTTGGATTTGTGTTGCAGAGATCCACCCAAGGTGGTGCTGGGATGTTTTTCCTCAGGACATGTCGGTATCGGACCGTATCGCAAGGTTTACAGCTCCGACCGGACCTACCGCCGGCACAGCGGGGAGCGCATCGCCGAGTGAACAGAGCGAGCGCAGCTATCGTATCCAAAATTGCTCCTTTGAGGAAAAGGGATCGGTCTGGGGGCGCAGGGTGGACGGGACGTCGTCGAGCATGATTACTGGTCCGCCGCATCATGGTTTGTGGACTCAGGAAGGCCATGATCTGAGGACCCGGAGGTGATTCGAACACCGGCATATTATTATGAACAAGCACGAGCTCGAGCCCGTATCCTGAGGAAAAACGTCCCCACGCCAGAGTTGTCATCCAAAAAAATCTGCAAGCCTAAAAACGTTTCATCTCATCATGGGCAGCCCCATGAGCAGCCTCTTCTAATGCCATCTGGGAGTTTGTCATGCTCTACTAATGAGCAGGATAAGGACCTCCACAGATGTGGCTTCACTAGCCGAAGACCACTACACTAAAGTAGCCAAGAACATGGCGCTCGCCCTTGTCGATTTGTGTTGCAAGCAGGTCCCGATGTTGACTCTGGCGTGGAGACGCTTTTGCACAGGATAGCAAGAAGATCGGAGGTTCGACGGATCAACTGCCGGTCGCTTGTTTTGAGCCGCGCAGAAGTTTTTCATCAGTAATATCCGGCACGGAGTCGAGGTGCCGACTATTTATTTCTCGAAACTACATCGATAAAAAAACCGTTCTGCCTGGTGCTCTAGAAGTACTATGAAGTACCTGCTACGTACTCACTCGTATGTAGAAGTAAAAACTAAAACCGGCAAGTGGTGGACCTAGAAGTGCTGTTAGTGTAGTAGATATGGCGATAATTGCGGGGATCATCGTCCTTCCAAAACATCCAGAATTACTTTCTTATCTTGTTTTTAGCGAAGGTTCGAAGGGCCCTGTACCGATGATTTACTCGCAAACAGAAGTGCCGCGGGTTTAAATAGAACGCAGAAACCCGGAGCATAATTTCGTACTTCTACATAGATCTTTATTGACTGCTTTTGTTTGTCTACAGGTCGACAGGGGTCGAAGTCGAATAATTTGAACATACTTGCTACACGCTTTTTATTTTACTAGAAGCTGACGCAAATTTTGTGTATGTTCGAACCTTTCGTGTGTTTAGTTTAGCATCGGTCCGTGCGTAGCAATGCAAGCTAGCAAGCATCTGTGCATCTGAACGCCATAGATCTTTATTGATTTTTTTACGGTTTTATTTCTACAAAAAAACTAGAAAAGCATGTGTATGATGCCCCCACACCTTACTAGTACTAATAAAGTACTTTCCCTTGTTGAAATGTGTAAGATTGATGAGATGAGCTTGATGATGAGTATTCCTCAGAAATAAAAGGCGTATGAGTTGTTGAACATCAAGTGGTCCTCTCGGAAATAGAAATAGTGCCTGAGAACTCAACCTGTGGTAAAAAGCCGCATAAAAAGAACTCAAAAACTTTCCCAAAGCGTCGAGTCAGGGAGGAACGGAGGAAGAAGAACCTCAGCTGGTATTTTTAAACAAAGCAGAGCTCCACCTCATGCCCGGAGCGTCTCGCTAAGGTCTTCGCTTACGTGGCACACGTGCCGCCAGATGACTCCAGCACCGACGAAGAGCTGTGACCCCCCCACGGGGGCTCCCGCCCAAGGGCAGCGCGGAAGTTTTTGTATGGCGACGCACCTGGAAGGCACGCATCAGCATCTGCTAGAGGGCACGATGCGTGATGTGTAGCGCAGTCAGCTCGCAGCTGAAGCTGCTTCACATCTAAAGACCGTGGCGTAATCGATCGAAATAATGACGCTTGTAGCGTGAACCGCATTGATGCAGCCATCTAGGACAAGGAATAGAGATTGCCGGAGCGCACACAGACGCCCGCCCCCCTAGGGGAAGCATAGGCCCCTCCTGGCTTCGATGTTCACTTTTTGAGATGATGACCGATCCCAAGGTCTCGTAAGACCAGACAAGTTCACAGAGAGTCGCTACACCCTCTTGCCCGTCCGTACAAATCGTTTGAGTGGATCGCTTTCCCGGTGTCACGATCAAAAATCGAGCGTCACGCACCCCAGACGGGGCAGAGTGAATCGCGTATGCATGTGCGCAGTGATGTGCAGTGATATGGACGAAGAAGATCAAGATCAGGTGGACGGAGATCAACTATGAATCCTTGACAGAACCGCAGGGAACATCAAAGATGGACAAAAGCACGATGAATAGTCTAAAACTAAAAAGACGTGTGCGATACCGCCCGAAATTGGAGTTTCGCTGGTGTTCCTCGCGAGGACAGTGACTTTGTCTCGTCGAAGATCGATTTGCAGAGTCACATTTTCGAAATTATAGAGACACCAGCCAAGCGAGACAAACTTTCGGAACGCTTTCTGACGGATGCTTGGTGCGCATATTAGTTAACATCACACTCCGTGATGTTTGCATGGTCGACGGATCATGTGGTCAGCCTCCAGTTGTACTTCTCTGTCGATCAAGCAAAAGGCACAGCTTCAGCAGGAGCGAGTTGGCCAGACCATGACCACCGGAGATCAGACCACGTCGTGTAGTTTAGCCCCAGTACGACAGCACGTTGGTGCGAACAAGGCCGGAGGGGAGGAGGAGGAAACTACATGCAACCGCACGACCAATGCACCAGGACGAGGGTTTAATATTCAACAAGAACACCAGCCGGCATTATTTCAGTTGTCCGACTTCTACCTAGTACTGGAGCGAGATGATGAACAAGGAAACGACGGTACAGTAGAGAATTATCAGCTTCAAAATCAAAGCCAGGACAATTCTATTAATTTTTGCCGTCGGAGCAGCTCCTCGTCCTGTAGGCCGTGGCCGTTATTAAACGAGGCAAAGCTCGCGGAATTTTTTTTCGTGGACATTCTGAATAGGACAAAACCCTATCACCTGTTTTACGGCGGACCGTTCAGCAACTGGCACCGGCAGCAAGGCGTTTTCTACGTGGAGAAGCAGGCTTACAATTGCGGAGAGCAGTACCTGATGGCGGAGAAGGCGAAACTATTTCAAGATTTCGGCACGCGGAAGAAAATCCTGCAAGCGGCGCATCCAAAGGAGCAGAAACAGCTGGGGCGCAAGGTGAGGAATTTTGACGAGGCTGTGTGGACCAAGCACCGCCTGGGCATTTTGTTGGCAGGGTTGAGGCAAAAATTCTCCCCCGCACAGAACCCGGAGATGAGCAACTACTTGCTGCAGACCAAGAAGAAACTGTTGGTAGAAGCCAGCCCGGTGGACACGATCTGGGGCGTGGGACTGAGCGAGCACGACGACAGCGCGCTGGACAAAAACGCCTGGTTGGGAAAAAATCTGCTGGGCCTGGCATTGATGATTGTACGCGAAGAACTTAATACAACAACTTTGACGCTACAGTAGTATGTATTCGCGGATGAACATGAAGCAGAAGTTGGGCCGGAAAAATCAAGAACACAGGAGGTTCGTCGGTCAGGATGCGCATAAGTAATGTAGGTAGGCATGTTGCAGCACCTGCTCCGGCTGCTTTGTTGATAGATACCGACAAAAATCCGTTGTTCCACATTTGATACTCGCCAGGACAGTGACTTTGTCTCGTCGAAGATCGATTTGCAGACTATGATAAAATGCAAGCTGTCTTCTCGTTCTCGAAGTTCTAGCACGCTGACGATCTTCACATTCACGATGGCACGGTACTTCGCGTTGGCGTAACTGCTGGTGTCGTAAAGAAGCTTTGCTTTTTATTCTTTGAACAAGTTCTCTTTCTTTTCTTTGGCAAAGGCAGAAATACCACACTGCAATTATGAATTTCGCTGTGTGAGGACGAGGATGGCAACATGTGATGTTCTTGTTTATTGGGTGAGGACGCGGATGCCGTTTCATCTTGATGCGTGTTTATTTGGTATTAGGTAGCTTCTTGCTCAAAAAACAGGTCGAGAACAAGAAGACGGAAGATTGGTGACAGCGGTGACCGAATACGCCCCCGTATAATCATTTTTTTGCGACCGTAGTATAAATAGCTATCGTTTATTCTTGGTGCTAAAGCAGTCTTCATTTTGTTCGAACGAGCTCATCTATCTTAAGCTCAACAAAAAGAAGAGAAGACACCGAGACAAGTCGTGTTGTGGTCCTGCAACACCAACAGGGAGACTTGTTTTGTTCCAGAAGATCATTCTGAGATCTGAGTAAAATAAGCATCACGATTAGTACATGGAAAATGAGTGCTGGCAAGAGCTCCAACTCGGCCCAACATCCGGAAGATGAAAGAAATGCCTCTATCCTGTGTAAAAACGTCCCCACCCCAGAGTTGTCATGCAAATCTGCATGCTCAAAAGAAAATGTTTGTTATGCGGGGGCTGTCGCGCTCTGTATTTTAGGCAGTTCGCGCTCTGTATGTTATCGTTCTGTATGTTGGGCTGTCGCGCTCGGCTAGCTGGCCGGGCTGTACTGATCAGGTGTGGTGGGTAGCTCCCGACTGGTTGGCACCTTTATTGGGGCGACTTGCTGTGGTAGCGCTCGGCTTTTGTATGTTGAGGTCGCCGAAAGTGCTTCCTTGCCCACCCCCCGGGGAGGGGATCCTTGACCTGTGGCGCTGGGTGCGGGTGTCCACTACATGATGATGATGATGATGCGGAGACACATGAAAAGCCTTTTCTTGCGCGCTTTGGAATTTGTAATGCGCCAATCAGCATAATACACTAGATCTGTGATGCTGCTGAACTACCTCAAACAGCACTACACTGCGATTCCAAATTTGTCATGCAAAACAGCCAAAACTCGCGGAGTTGTCTAGCGCATTCCCCATCTTGACTCTGGTATGGGGACGTTTTTGCTCAGGATAGCCTCTAGTACAACAACATCAACTGTGCACCCGGGGGCAACAACTACAGCACAACATCAACAAGATCTCCTTCTCCAGTCTCAGCTCGACGCGAAGGACCGGCAGCTCCGAGCAGCGCAGGGTGTGAATGATTTTCTTCGTAACCAAGTGGCGCGTTTCTTTGCCCAGCACGAGGAGGCAAAATTGCTCCTTCGAGGAATGGGGAGCGGCTCGCACCGGAATGAATTTTTTGGAAGAGCGCACGCGTTTGTGGACGGAGGACGGCTATACTCTCCAGCACGGGTGGAGGCCAGTATGATGAACAAGCACGAGTCTTGATGCGTATCCCGAGCAAATAAAGGTGATGCCCACACCCCAGACCCAGAGTTGTCATCTTCCAAATCATCTTCATCTGCAAGCGGAAATAAAGGTTTCCTGAAACGATTTTGGCATGCTTTAATCGTAATCAGGATGTAGCACCTAGATTTTTTGATGTGATGTGGCTTGTTCAGACTTGGTCCAAACACCACTACTACATCAGAGACTCAGCTTTGATGATGTCTTGGTGCCCGGCACCAGCCAATCCTTGTGGATTTGTGATGCAAAGTGCAGCCCATCGTAACTCTGATGGTGATGTGGAGACGTTTTTGGTACACATGAGGATACTTGAACAAGATGTGAGTCCTCGCGGGACTCGCAACTGCGGGTCGCGTGACTCGCAAGTAAGGTTTGCTCTTCATGAGGATCTAGAACGGGGTCGAGGCACCGACTAACTGCACCTATAGCTATACATATTGATAAAAAAGCCGCGCGGCCTACCTGTGCTCTAGAAGTACCTGCTACATACGCACTCGTATGTGGTAAGGAATAAGACAAGTAATTCATGGCAGGACTTAGAAGTGTAGCAGAAGCTGAAGCAGTTCGCGATTGTGGGGAGCATCTTTGGCCTTCGAGAATATGGACGAATGAGAATTACTCCTTTATCTTGTTAGCGAAGGGCCGAAGGCCGCCATTCTAGCGATTTGCTTGCTGATACATTCAACAAGAGAAGAAACATCGTCCGCCGGTTGCCAAGAATTTTGTTTTATCTGCCTGTAAAATGCAACTTCAAAACATTGAGAAACATTCCCGGATCATGTTGGTAGAATCACTTGTTCTTGTGTAAGATTCACCTGTAAAGGATGTAAAATGCAACTTTAAAACAGTGAGAAACATTCCCGGATCATGTAAAAAACGTTCAGATGAAACATAAGAATAGCAAGTACTTAACTTGTTACGGCCATATCGTCGTTTTTCTTGCGTCAAGTGTTCCTTGTTCTTTAGGACGAGTCATCTACACGACAGATGAAAGCCCGTAGTTGTACAACGGATACCGTATGAAGATGTTTCTCGTGATGTGCGCCGAAGTAGAATTTGAATGTCTTGATGCATGTTTGCGTTCTTTACGTAATTACGCAGGTGGCTTGAAAAATGCCGAACCGAGAAGACCGAACATTGCTGACGTCGTGGCTTTGCGTCGCATTTTTGCGAGCCTAGTCAGTACCTAGTACTGGCAGCGTTTTCCACAAAGCAATTTATTTTTGCCTACGAATATGGATATGCACACTAGGACTAGCTCATCCTGACAAGACCGTAAGACTCGCACTTCTCTAGCGCCACAGCTACTTACAAAAGTTTTTCTTCTGGGCGCAACATCGAACTATTTCTTCGACGCTCGCAAACGGTTCATGTCCAGCATACTTATTAGAAAGTACTTACTTTGTTTTTTTCCGCGACAGAACCGCATTTTTCCATGATACGTAAGTACAGTATTTTCAAATAAGTCCTAAAAAGCAAAAACAACACGAATACAAAATGACGAGTGCTGGCATTTTTAACAGCTCCGACGTCCATGATCCACCTGATGAAAATGCCCTCACGACAAGTGTGTCTGGGTCATCAACTACTACATCGCAACATCACCAAGATCAAGATCATGCTCTCCAGTACCAGTCTCAACTCGAGTTGAAGGACCGGCAGCTTCGAGCGGCGGAGGGTGTGATATGACAGTGCACCACTCCCGCTCCCCCTCATTTCTTGTCATGCAAAATACAACCCAGTCCACCCATTGCCTCTTGGCACTGGTTGCATGGCAAGATCTGGTAGCCGAAATAGTATCACACTCCAGTGCATCAACTGGAAATATGTCATGCAAAGCCGCGCACTCTTGCTGAGTTGTAAGACACAAATGAGGGGGAGGGGCGGGAGTTGTGCACTGTCATATGCGAACGATTTTCTTCAAAACCAGGTGGCGCGTTTCTTTGCCCAGCACGAGGAGGCAAAGAGGGAGTACGACGCTTTTTTCGACACACAGAAAAAACAACAAGAAGTATATGAGGTGGAACTACAGCAACGTCTTCACGTGCTAGTAAACAGCGCACCAGGTGGTCCTCGACGTGCTGGCTGTCGTCTGGAAGAACAAAATGGAAGAGCCTCGTCAGCAGGAGCAATTACGACATCCGCGTCTTCATCATGGCCCACATCCGGAGGTTCTTCGAGTTGTAATAACGCTGTGAAGATGAACAATGACACGGGCGAGCAAAACATTTTTCAACATCCCCAGCACCTACTTCTCGCGGCCTCTCCCTCGGGCTCCACTACGGCTGCGGCCCCGACACCGTCTCCACTACAGCAGGTTTCGGTAAGGAGAAACACGGGGGAACTGCGACAGGTTGAAAATATTCTTGAACCCGTCGGGCTCAACATGCGGCCACAGCTGGCAAGAACCTCTTGTGTTGGAGCGAGGAGAGGGCACTTGTGTGAGAACGATGAAGCGTTGAGAGTTGATTCTTCGATAGGAACCAACACTACAAGAGCCACGACCTCAACAGCGCGGACCGCAGCCAGCTGTAACTCAGAAGAACAACTTCTAGGTGTGCCTGCAGCTTCATCCCAGCAGGTCGTGGTCACAAGAATTTCAGCACGAGCAGAACAAACGACAGGACCGAACAACACAGCAACTCTTAAAACAAGCCTGAAGCGGCCACGGGAAGTAGAAGAGGAAGATGATGTTGTTGCAGCGGCACCATTAATATTGGGCACTAGTTCATCGGCCGAAACAAAATCTTGGGACGAACCACCACAACAACAATTGTTGGGAGGAAAAGGAAAAAGCGAGTTGAGCTTGAAAAACACCACGAGGACTGCAGACGAAGTGAACAAGGATGCTTTGAAAAAATTTAAGCGGTATGCATCGTGAAGATGAAAGTAACAGTATGTCGATTGTAAGTATTATCAAAGTTTTATTTTCCGCCGCACGAGCTGCACGACAGGGACAGTACGAGTTGCATTCACAAAACAGTTATACGTAAAACGAGTGAAATGAAAATGAAAGTACAAGTAGCTTCTTGCGTATAAAAATGCTCCGTTTATTTTGCTGAATGAATGCAGGTTATGATGAAAAAATAAAGGACCACCGACGCCATCCGAAGACGCGTCGTGGAACAATATTTCATTTGACTCGCAGCTTGTGGGGCGCATGATCCGCATGTAGTCCGATAGTATTTTTTTTACTTTTTCATCTTTTTCACTGCATAGGCAAACTTTGTACGCTATCACACAGAAAAGAGCAGGCAGGTCATATTTGTGAAGCAAAAACAAATACACAGAAATATCCGCGCTGCATATCCTACACAGCATGCTATGGGGCCGCGCATGACAAATTTTTCTTTGTATTTATTTTTGCATTACAAACTACATGCCCTGCTAGCTTGTTTCTCTGGGATACACGCTATTCTTGACAGCTGGTCGGTTTGGGACGTGACGGCCTCGTATGAACAGAAAAATCCAGAAAATTCTCGCTAGCCTGACACATGGATACAGGTACAGCAGGTTCTCATGCAAGTTTTTACAAGAGGAAGAGGGACGATATAACAGATTTGTAGTTGATGCGCCCGCTGGCGGTGGCGGCACCGTGGTACGATATCGATAATCGCATGTAACGATGGGCGTGACGCAAACGCATGCAACAGGAGGTATAAGGACTGACAGGTCGTGTGATCAAGACTGACAGGTCGTGTGATCAAGAACGTACATGGAGCAGGCAGATCAAATTTTCGAGATGATATTTCGCAAATGTTTGAGCATTATCAAATGCAAAAGTGTCTGGGTCTGGAAGATTCTGACACTTGTCATGCACGTTTTGCATGGACCCTGATGTCTGTGATGCGTGCCCTAGCGTCACAGATTTTTTGAGAGCTTCTTGATGCCTATTCCGCATGACAAATGCCCTCTCCGCGTAGGGCGTGGAGCGGGTGTCCACCTAGGGGTATTGGCAGAGGCTAAATCTGTTCTAACGCCACGGTATCGGCAGAGGCTAAATCTGTTCCAACGCCGCCCAGACAGGAGTTAAAGGTCAACACACACACACACACACACACGCGTAGCAAAAATTACATTCCTTTTGGTACTCATGCAATACACATTTTTCTGGAATCCAAACGCAGCATCACAAGTTGCATTCTTCCAGACCCAGACACTTTTACATTCGATAAGCATTTGCGGAGGCACCCGGGGGACACAGAAACGTCGTCTTCTATGAAGACAAGCGATAGCAACAGAACTACTACAACGCCACAACCACGAGAGAGCTGTGCAGCAAAAGGTCGGGATGGAAATAAAGACGTGGCAATCAACAACAACGACCCAGAAGTCAACAGGAGCACCTCGTCTCTGTCCACTGCCGGTAACAATGTTGCAGGTGAAAATAAAGAACGCAATCTTCATAGCGAGAAGACCACCAGCAGCACGACTTTGGTGTCGTCCTATCAACATCAAAATTTTATTTCCACCTCTGGCGAGCAACCAGCACAGAAGATTATGGCACCGCCAGGAGGTCCTCCTGGAGTAGATGCGGCAAATAGAACATCTTCCAAACTACACGAGGGTGAGCTTGCGGAAGAACCTCCAGCAGTGGTGGACCTTTTTCCCGATGTGCAGACGGTGATTGCGTGCATGAAAACCATCTGCGTCAAGAACCCCGAGGTGTTTTCGTTTTGCGAGTTCGATTTTGAGCGTGTTCGAAATGAGGACCACAGCTGCGGTCGGCACGAAGAAGTGGGGAACAAGGTGGCCACGTCGGAAAGTACTAGAATTAGTAGTGCATCACACTGCTCCGGAACGCCATCGATTCCCCGCAATGCGATTTTGAAGGTCAGAACCGGTTGAGGTGTTGGAGGTGGTGGTCGGAAACAATTGTATTATGTCAGCGAGTGGTCAGTGGCGCAACAGCTACTTTTAGTCGATGGGACCATCGGTTGTTGAGTAGTTCTTAGCTCTCAACAGAAAGTGCTCCTGCACTGAGCCTGAGCCTTGTTTCAGCTGTACTAGTCTAGCAGCAGCTTGTCACAAACTATACAGGGACGTATTTCATCATCTACTTTGCGGCCATTCATAGTGGAAAAAATGAATTTCAGAAGTCGTTCTCGCCGTCCTGCTTTCACTATCAGGTGATGAGTTACTTCATTATTTTGCTCGGGTGAAGAGCGCGATATTAAATGTTCTTCACGTAGCTGCTACTCGGTCATCGATCGGACATCTTCTATCGGTTGCACAGCGCACAACAACTCCAACTGCAACTCTAGAAGTAGCCCCATGTCGGTGATAAGATCTTCGCGTCATAATTACAAATAAAGTCAAAGCAGCATCTGTTTCAAGCAGGAGCATCATCTGCAAGAAGAAGAACGGAACAGCAGCGCTGTGTGCACGCTCATGATCAACACGATTTCTGGTGTCTCGAAGTACTATTTGTATCGCATTGGCATTCGGTTTTATTTCTTTTTGACATTCGCATCAGCTCGGTTGATGTTTTTCATGACACGACTTGTTTAAATCGCCACTTGGCCCTTGGTGTGGCCGTAGCGGGCTTAGTAAAGATGGAGGAGGCATTTTTGCGGTAAGTTTGTTGTCGGTTTATCAAATATATTTGCTCGGTCGTGATGAATATGGTGATATTCTTGCAGTGAGTCTGTATGAACACCAAAATCGGTCTTTGTCATAGTTTCTCTTTATTTTAGTAAGTACTGTAGTACAGAATTTGAATTTCTAGAGCTATCTAGGTGTCTTCCACATTTCAGTCATTTATTAAACAATCGAACTACGCACCGTAACGCCACCAGGATTCTACGCACACCGCTTAGCCTCGGCCATGACTTTCTTTGCTTGATTCATTTTCGATTTACCATCCAAATCCATTTTCTTTTTCAGTTTTCATTTGACAATTTGTACTTCGTGATTTTCATTCTGATTCTGATTCTGGTTACTTACTTTTTTTACAGGAGAAGCAAGATGTTGCGTCAACATCCAGCTGCAGCGCCAAGCAGCATGATGAAAGAACCGGTTGTGGGTCATCAAAATCTTTTGCGTAGAAATAATTTCGGGGCCGCGTACTGCTACCTAGCGCTTCTAGGTGGATCATTTTACCGGGCCACAGCTTATCCACAGTAAATTTCCTGTACACGTACAAATGCTGTCTCTACATGACAAAATTTGCCTTCAGTCCTAGTCTAGCATGACAAGTTGTACACTGCAAGTTAGTAAAATTTGTCATGCATTTTGTACAACATGTACGGGAAATTTACATTGCATACAGCTGTCGTGATGATGACGGGCAGCAGGAGTACAAATTCGAAACATATGGCAACGGCAAGTACTTTTTTTCAAAAAACTTTTTTTTTTGGCTACATATGAATCACCGGCCGTGGCGAGTAAATAGCTTTTTCCTAGCAAAAATCGAGTGCATGGCAACAATGTCAGCACTGGCATACTGAGTTCGTTAGCCTAAAGCCAGAGAGATGGCTGCATTGGTGGCGCACTGTCTCACGGGTTCGGGTCCGTTATGTCCGGCGTACATGTTGGACGGCCAGCCCCTGCACTGCTGCTGCTTCAATGAAAGAAAAGCGCAGCCAGCCCGAGACCGGATGTGCTGCGCGTTGAAGTCAGTGGAGGGCCCACGCCTCAACAGGCGAAACAGACGGCGCGCACGGCTTTCGAAAAATTCCGAGCCGTGCGCGGCACTGCCGAAGACATTGATGCCGCGGCCGCAAATCTCTTTCGGAGCTGGGTCGCGGGAGGTGGTTCTTCGCCTTCGGCGGATTTTCCTGGAAAGTGACAGAACTCCTTGTGAAGCCGCACACCGAAATCCTTTTTGGGGCCCCCCGGAAGGCCCCCCAAACCCCCCCTCCTTTTGGGCCTTGGAAGACAGCTACTCCCCCTTGATATCCCCACGAAGGAGGGTCCCCCAAACCCCCCCTCAAGGGGGGGGCCCGGCCCCCCTTTTCGTTTCCGCAAGTTTGCTGCTTTTGGCGAGCTGCGTCCTTGAAAATGATAACCCGGATTCGGCCCCGAAGGAAAGTAGCACAATGCGGCCGGGAATAGAATCAAAGACAGCAGAGGCGTGAGCCTCCTCTGTTTTTCTTTCGTAGGGCACTTCGAAAGCTAGGGCGGGCCACGTCTCGTAGCCGTGCTCGTTTGAGATTGCCGCCCTCGAGAGAACCAGTCAGGGCTGTGGTGACTTATCTTGAGTCCCCTTTCGATACCCCAAAGCCGCGGCGGGGGGCTGGCGTGCTACCTGCCTTGGGGCTAAAGCGTTGAAGACCGAACCCAAGGTAGCGTCTGCAGCCGGGACGGCCTCCCTTCAGCCTTCGGGCCAGCAAGCTATCACCTAACCCGCGCCGAAGCTTTTCTGCTATTCTACTCTGCGCATACCCGCTGGCATGCCTATAAAGTGCCGTGAAATCATATGTAGCAAAAAAAAAAAGTTTTTTTGGAAAGAGTCTTTACAGTGATGATGACGAGCAGCAGGAGTACAAATTTGAAACAAAAAAGCGTTATGTCTTCAACGGGCGTTAGCATACAGAAGGGTGAATTTGCAGTGAATTTGTATTGCGTGGCATGATGCATGAATTAAGGGGCATATGAAGAACACGAGGAGGACGCCAGGCAGTCCGCGTTCCGTGTAGTTGAAAGGCTAGCACTTGCCTGGTGCCATTTGGATGGTGACGCTCACTGTCAGAGCCTAAAGTAGAGACGCACGTCTTTGCTGCCTGGTGCGTTGCCAAGAAGCAAAGGCGGCCTGTGGCGGTCTCACAATATAACACTGCCTCTGCGGAGTCCATAGTGGGTCGAGAGGGAGGGGGCCGAAGCCTCAACAGGAGAGGGGCACTGGGTCAACATCTAAGTGGGTAGCTCTCACGGGTTGTGGCTGGCTCGGCTTGGATGTCTGGAGACATGTTGCAATGGATGCTAGCATCGCCTGCGTTGCTCTGTAGCTCGCATCTTCCCTGCTGTGTTCCTGCCCCATCTTGTTCGGGTCCTCTAGTTTTCTTCGACGTGATCCCCAGGTCAGAAATTCTCCTGGTGAATTTTGAGGCTTTTTCTTTTTGTTAAACTTTTCTGGAGCTCCAAAACCCGCAGTTTCTCATGCGCTGCCGGATAGACGCGCCTGCCGGAGAGATCACGCGCCTGCCGGATAGACGCGTCAAAGCTCTCGGCCGGGTCCTTTCGCCCTTGCTTTCGCGCCTTCGTCTTGCCTAATTGCATGCGCTCCGCGGCCCTTGTTTTTGACGTCTTTGCCGCCGCTGTTGCAGTGCTCTTATGCGAGCACAGGAACAAGGCGCAAGGACATGGTCAAAGAACGACGCCCAGGCCATGTCCAGTTGCCCACTGCATAGCCGGCGAGTTCTGCGGTGTGCAGAACGCTCTTCCCAGAAGGGCAAGAGGGACAATGTCCCGGCGGACTCATCTGCAATTTGTCATGCAAAATTCACTAGAGATTCGCCACGTCTCATGCTAACGCGTGTTAAAGCTCTAGAAAAAGCGACGTAGAGATGATGACGGGGAGCAGGAGTACAAATTCGAATCAAAAAAGCGACGTAGAGCAGAAAAACCTCATCTCAGCTGGGAGATCTGGCGCAACTACTTGGAACCACGACCACGGGCGCGCGGATGAAATGGAGGAAACGACTGCGCTTGCGTCAGATAATATTTTGAAAAATAGATCGCACGACGAGGTGGGCCCCGCCTCCACTCTGCTCCAGCTGGATAAAAAACTACAGGAAAAGGAGGGGCCCGAAGACGAGGACCAGGCTCGGGAAAATGGAGAATTTCGGAGGGCTCCTTCCGCGGCCCCCAAGCGAACGTATGGAGCGACCTATGCCCTCGCCACGTTTGGGCGAGACATGAGCGCCGATCAAGAGGAGCAGGCCGCGGGGACAGGAGTATGAATTGCAATTATGTCTGGGTCTCCTGGAAAGATGCAAGGTTTGTCATGCTCTGCTAGCATGATTCTCAGGCTTGTCATGCAGAGTAGACAAGAACGCTGCAGCATCTCCAAAACTTGTCATGCTTGGCAGCCAATTGAGGCGTGCTCCTCTTTGTCCAACCACCATCACAAGTTTCCAGACCCACACATTTTTACACTTGATAAGGAGGGCGACAAGACAACTTCCTTGATGAAAATCAGGAAACCTCCGAGGGCCGCGCGGAACTGTACTCAGCACTGAGTTTCAATTCCCAAGAAGTAATATCCTGTGCAAAAGTATCGCATTCGTACAAATGCAATACAAATTTCCTCAGCATGAGAAATAAAATCTGTCATGCAGATTTACCTTGAGAAAAAAATTTGCAGGACCGCAATTACTACGAGTACGATACTTTTGCACAGGATAAGTAACCTGCCCTTTCGATCGGACGTGGAGCACTGACATGAAGCTGGCGTGCGAGGTTCTCCGGGACGTGTATCAATTGCAAATGTTTCTGGGTCTGGAAGGTTGCAACTTATAATGCTGTCTTTGGATTCCAAAAAAATGAAAACCTGTATTGCATGAGCAGCAACAGGAGTCCAGTTTGTGTTACGAGGAGAAGGCGTTTCGCATGCGGAATAGGCATTAGAAAGCCCTCTAAAAATCTGTGATGCTAGTAGATCATGCATTACAGGCGTCATGGATCATACAAAATATGGATATGCATGACAAACCTGGCAAACTTCCAGACCCAGACACATTGGCATTTGATAACGTGTACCACTTTGCAACACACACGGTGCCCACGAGTCTGACTGCAGGTGGGACGACTTCTGCTCCCGGCACCACGAGGGCCGACAAAAAGCTCGAGACGGCTTCTGTTAACACGTTTGCACGCTCGGGCGCCCAGATAGCCATGGTGCAGGATCTGTTTTCTTTAGATGAAACACTACGCAGTGCCGGGAATTTCGACCTGAATATGAAGGCAGCCAGCGTGGATGAAAGCATCGGCACCCGGTACGACCAGATTGCGGGGAGTGCGCTGGGCACCCGGACGGACACGCTGTACAGTAGTCTGGTAACGCACTACTACGGAGCGCAGGGTGAGTCCGTATCAAAATGAAAAGTCCCCCCTCCCCATATCGAAAGGGGAGTCTGTGATGCTGTATTTGCGTACACAAATCAGCTTTGTCTTGCAGCAGAGCACTCCAGGCAGATACAAAGCCCGGAAAGGGTGGCTTGAGGTAGGCACTTAGCGTGGCAGACGTCTGCCCCATTGGCGCAGCAGCATTACAAACCGCCTACGAAATGCGGCGGAAGCGCTGGCTTTGCTCTCTTGCAAGACATGCTCGATTTGTGACCACAAACTGGCATCGCAAATTTTCAAAAGTAGGTGCGTCGCTTCGATATGGGGCGGGGGGATTTTTCCTTACAATAGTCTGCCAGCAGTCTCCAATTGGTCGGCGAGAACGGGGGGCCCGACCTGCCAGGCGCCGGAATCACGCCGGGCGTTATCAAATGTAAAAATGTCTAGGTCTGGAAGAGGAGAAGTTTGTCATGCACATTTTCCATGATCCAGGATGTCTGTGATCTATGCCATAGCATCACAGATTTTTTGAGCGCCTATCGATGCTGATCCTGCATGGCAAATGCCCTCTCCGCGTAGCCAAATTTGAATCCTTTTGCTGCTCATGCAATACAGATTTTTTTAGCATCCAAATAATGCATCACCATCATCACAAGTTTGGCTCTTCCAGACCCAGACATTTTTGCATTTGATAGGCGTTTTGTTTGTGCAAAATGTGAAGATCTCGAAGCGCCGCGTGCTGCCCGAGGTATGGGACCTCACTCTCGGAGCATTGAGACACGCCCACGACCGTATTGGTATTTCCCCCCGATCTTTGAACTCGCCTCCACCACCGCCACCTCCTCCTTCTTTTCTGGACCTGCAAGAGGGACAAAGTAGAGTGAAAGAAGAGCTGGTGCTGGAGCAGAATACGGCAAGAAATAAAATCGGACTACCAGGATCTACTACTTCAAGGAGTGGTGCCGCTAGCGGCGCAACTACAGAGACACTACCTGCACTGCTGCCCGTCCAGGCGGGTTGGCGGGTGAACGAGGACTCTCAAGAAAATTACCACCGCTATCGCAGGACAAACGCCCCGGGTGCCGGTTTTGCAACGCCCCGGGTGCCTACACTAAAAGCCTACCAGGAGGCACTCGCGTTTCCCCCGGAAATTATCCGGCCTTTTCTCGCGACCGATATCGTATTGAAAAACGTCCCCGCCGCCCCATAGTTGTATATGCAAACCTGCATGCTGAAAATGTTTGTTTCTCATGCGGGGCCCCATGAGAGGCATTGTCTGCCCGTGTTTTGGAATTTGTCATTCTCGAATCAGCACGATATACGAGAAGATCTGTGAAGATGCCGCTCCTGAGCTAGCTCAAACAGCACTACGCTACGAGTCCAAATTTGTCATGCAAAGCATTGTCATGTTGCAAAACATAAACAGCCAAAGCAAAGCTCGTAGATTTGTCTAGCCGATCCCCATCTTGACTATGGGGTCGTGGGGACGTTTTTACATAGGATAACCGACCGGATTTCTTTACTCGTCCACAATGCCACTTTACCTGCGCTGCCTATTGTGAGGAAAAACCCCCCCTCCCCATATCATAATCGAAATTTCCGATGCTGATTTGTGGCGACAAATCAGATTTGTCTTTCAGAAATAAGTGCTTACCGGTATTTTCTAAGCCTGTTCGGGAGGTATGCAGAAGGCTAGCAATTAGGCATGGCAAACAGGTTTGCAGTAGTCGAAAGCGCATGACTGACTGGCTGTAGAATGCGCCCCAGGGCGCCCATTACCCTGTAGACAAGACAGAGGTGATCTGTGACCACAGATCAGCATCACAAGTCTCCTTTTCGATATGGGGAAAGGGGATTTTTCCTTTTGATACTGCCCGGGAAGTATTCCAACAACCCTGAGCGAGCGGTGCGGCCCAAGGTGTATCTGCTGCAACAGAATGCTCACGGCTGGGGCATGACGTGGCTACCAGGGCCGAATGTTGCTGTGGAACGCGACGCCCCCCTTCTCGGTAACGGTTACAATCCGTTACGGTTTACGAACGCCATTACAACGGTTAGGGTAGACAACTTATCATTTGTAAAAACGTCCCCGCCCCAGAGTTGAGTTGTAATGCAAATCTGCATGTGCTAAAAAAAAAAATGTTTCTGATGCGGAGACTGATAATGAAAGGCAGTTTCTGTTGCTGCCTTGCGATTATATCTGCTTCTCACATCCGCATGGTGTTGTAGATTTGTGATGCTGCTTCGCTAGCTAAACGCAACAACATTGCGAACTGAGTAAATCTCTCATGCGCAGCAGCCAGCGTTGGTTGATTTGTGTAGCAGATTTGCCATCTTGACTCTACTGGGGTGGGGACGGGTTTTGCTCACCATACAACTACGTGCAGCCTTACTTTCAGGCGGCGATGTTCGCCCAGCAAGTGGAGGAGCAGGACAAAATCGTGGAGAAATGTGATGAGGAGGAGCGGGCCTGCATTGTTGTGATCAATCTACAGGAGGATCTCTTTGTCGGCAAACGCAACCCAGATTTTAAGAAGAAGACCTCGGCTATATCCTGAGGAAAAACGTCCCCACACCAGGGTCAAGACGGGAAATCTACTAGACAAATCAACCTACCAGCGCTGCTTGTTCCGCATGACAAGTTTGCCCTCGTAATGTGCTAATCCTGTTCAGCTATTTCCGCAGCGTGGTCACAGATCTAGCATATCCCATATCATGCTGGTTCCAGCGTCACAAATTCCAAAAGACGCCGAAGAAAATGCTTCTCATGGGGCTTCGCATGAGAAACTTTTTTTGGCATGCAGATTGATTAGCATGACAACTGTTGGGTGGGGACGTTATTTTTCCTCAGGATAAGCTAATAGTACAGAACCAGAAGAGCAGGAGTATCTCGACGTGAAGCCTGTCCCGGGTGCCTACTGGACCGCGATGCTGCAGCTAGACCGGCTGGACGGCTGGAAAAGCATGTCGGACCCGCAGAAGTCCTACTACAAGCTTCCGGGAACACTCCACAGTCAGGTACCCAAAGAAAAACTGATTGTAGTACGTGTAACTTTTATTATTTTGGCGGAGCTGCTGCTGCATTGATTACAACTACAAGTCTGTCTGGCATGATGACAGCAAACACCTGTCTTCATGCGCAGATAGTCCGTGAAACTGAAAACGCGCCCGAATGGAGTTCCCTGTAATACATGACTAGCATCGTCACAGACGCAATCATCTTATGTGCACCATCACCAGCATCTTCACAGACGCATGACCTACAATCTTTTTTTGTGGGATATTTGTTGCTATGAAATGCAAAAATGTCTGGGTCTGCAAGAATGCGCGATTTGTCATGCTGCTTTTCCATGACCCATGAGGTCTGGAATGCAGGACCTAGCATGACAGATTCTGCGAGACCTTTCTCATGCCTGTCCTGCATGAGAAACTCCCTCCCCACTTGGTCAAAAGTGGACGACTTTTGGTAATCATGCAACACAGATTTTTGCATGCTGCAGATTTAGCATGACAAGTTGCAATGTTCCAGACCCAGACACTTTTACATTTCATAGTTGCTGCGGTCCTACCACGGAGAAGCGGTGAATGAGATATCAAAATCAAGAATCCCCCCACCCCATACTCACACTGGAAATTTGTGATGCCGATTTGTAACCACAAATCATGTTGTCATGCTAGAAGGGAACAGATGGGGACTGTAGTGCTGGCTAGCTTGGGAAAGCCTTGCATCTTCTTCAGCATGACAGGAGGCAGCTGGAAGTGGGAAACAGCATGGCAAATTTCTTCCAAACAAGGCCGCGACTGCGTCTCTTGCCCTTCTAGCAATGCAATCCAATTTGTGTACGCAAATCAAGCATCACAAATTTCCTGTCCGATATGGGGAGGGGGGATTTTTCCTCTCAATATGAGACCGCAGTCGGCATACTGCACCCGTATAGTGCAGAGGAGATGCGGAAAATTGTTCAGAAGGCAGAGGCATTTGTGAAGAACAAGAATCTGCTACAAAAGAACCGTATGCAATGCAAATAAAGTATCGTACTGCACTACAAATTTTCGCCGTATCATGTTGGCATCGGATGGAATTTGTAATGTTGTTTTGGCTTTTTAGCTAGGAACGCGATTCGTTATGCCTATCTGCAATGAGTAGGGGTACTACGAGTGAGATAGCGATATAGTAGTACTTTCGCAATGCATAAGCCGCACCGAGGCAGATCGAATTCTTCAGGAAGCCAAGGATAAAAAGAGCGAAGCTCGGTGGTACACGATGACAGTGGACGAGGAAAATGGATACGAACTGCTACTGGGAAATTCGGTGTACGTGAAAACCAGCCGAAAATTCCGTGTCAATTGCTTTGACATGGTGATTGACGGGCAGGGGTTCAATGACCGGTCGGAGGTGGTGTACAAAAATTTTGAAGAGTCGACCATCGGTATACTGCACTGAAAAATTCCCCCTGCTCGTCCCCAAAGAAACGGAATAAACGAACGAGATCTTTTGTGTAGCTTCATTAAATTTGTGATCACAAGTCACCGAAGATTCATTTAGGCTACAAGGGAAGTAGTAGTAGAGATGTGAACACCTGTAGTGCTGACTGAGACTGGCGTGGGGAACAAGCCTTGCGCTTTCAGCATGACAGAGAGGAAGCAACTGGAAGCGGACGACAAATTATTGCCTGCAAACGAGGCAGCTGCAAGTGCATCTCTTGGGCTTCTAGCAATACCAGTCGACCTGTGTTGCAAGTACGCAAATTATCCAGCGTGGACACAAATGTTCTTTTCGAGGATTATATGGGGAGCAGGGGCAATAACTTTTCTTCCCAATACGGAACGAAGTCTTTCGCGTATGGGGGTATCGAGTGCCGGGTCGACTTGTTTCAAGACAGTGAGTCGAGCTCCGCGTCCTGTTGCGGGGGGGACGGCAGCAGTGATTTTGTCGTGCCACAAGAAGACGTCGACAAGCAGCCACAGCAGTCAAACGATCTTGGGCCGCCCCTTGACGGGGACGAGAACAAACCGCAAAGGAAAGTGTATGTGCCCGTGTTTCGCACGGGCTCGGCGCATCTGAGCGGCACGGAGTTCGACGACTTGAAAGAATTCTATGATTGCGTCAGGTTTGAAATCAACAAAGTTGAAATGATTTGTCATGCATAAAATGGATGCCAGTTCTTGGGACCCAGTTTCTAAGTGGCGCATGACAAATTTTCCGAGTACCGGAATCCAATTTGTCATGCTGTTTGGGCACAGACGGCTGCTTTTGTTATGCTCCTTTAGCAGCTCTACTTCAAACCCTAAACAGGCTGACACGCGGCCTCACTTGCCATCCCGGCAAGACAGGCACTTCATGCCTTGCATTTTATGCATGACAAATCATTTCAACTTTGACGATTTCAAACCTGACGCTTCCATAAATTCTTGCAGTTGGCCGTGGAGGGACAAACCCTGGATGGGCAGAGAACCGAAAATATCATATGTAAAAACGTCCCCACCCCATAGTCAAGTTGGGGTCCTAGCAAGACAAATCCACAAGCTTTGGAAGCCACGCATGAGAAGTTGCAGTCCGTAGTGTAGGTGTAGTGCATGTTAGCAAGGACAACCGCATCACAAATCCATCTGTTTATCCTGTTTACAGCATTACAAATTCCAAAACGCGATTGGAAATGCCTCTCATGGAGATGCGCATTACAAATCTTCCTGTAGTCGCAAATCTGCACGACAACTATGGGGTGGGGATGTTTTTACTCAGGATAGAAAACCGCACCAAAACTTTGTATGAGGAAGAGAAGGACTCGCTGCTGCTTCCCTACATCCAGATAGACACTACGATGACGGCGCCGCCGCTCTGGACAAATTTTGTTGCGCGCTTACGTGTATGCAATGCAAAAACATCGTATTAGTACAAATTGCATCACAAATTCCGGCAAGAACAGAACTGGAATTTGTAATGCTGTTTCAGGCTTAGAAAGAGATGTGCATGAATGTAATTTAATATACGAGTACGATACTTTTGCACAGGATAACGTGAGAAGCGGAGGACTTACGCGGGCGGTGCATATCGCAAGAAAAAACTGTTTCACTGTGAACTTGTGATGCACAGAAGGCAACATCACAGAACTATTTGTCTTGCTCCACCTGCAAGACCTCGACTCTTTGACGGTGTTTTCCCTTTGGAAGCGCGCATGGCAAATTTTCTGTGTCATGTGTAAGATGAAACTTGTGATGCAGATCTTGCAAAATCATCACAGTGAACAAACAGTTCTTTCGTGGGATAGTGCACCCTTGGACCCTAGTGTTTTGGAGCAAGGCAAACTGATGCGCAGCGTTTTGGCAAGGGGGAAAAGGTATGGAATTGCAAACATCGATCTGGGTTTAGATGTGTCAATCGGAAGGTGCGTTTGGATTCCAAAAAAAACTGTATTTTTGCATCCGCAGCAAAGGGAATGGAATTTTTGCTACGTCGCGGAGAGGGTATTTTTTGTCATGCGGAATAGGCAACATCAGGAAGCCCTGAAAAATAAAAAATCTGTAATGCTAGGGCATGCATCACAGAGGACGTCATGGCTCATGCAAAAGAACGTGCGTGACAAGCCTTAGAATCTTCCAGACATCATCCAGGGATATTTGCAATTGATAGCTGCGTGAAGCACACTATGAACTGCAAAAGTATCGTACTCGTATAAATGCATGACAAATTGTTCCCCCAGCATGAGAATTCAATTAAGATTTGTAATGCGGATTTACCTTGAGAAAAAAATTTGTAATGCAAGACTTGCATTTATACGAATACGATACTTTTGCACAGGATACACACAATGCTGAAGTTTGGGACCGCTTTCCAGCAGTATCAAATGTAAAAATGTCTGGGTCTGGAAGGATGCAGAGATTTGAGATGCAGCTTTGGCATGAACCCTGATGTCTGTGATGCATACCCTAGCATCACAGATTTTTTGAGGGCTTCATGATGCCTATACCGCATGAGAAATGCCCTCTCGCCGTCGCAAAAACTGCAACTCTTTTGCTGTTCATGCAATACAGATTTTTGTAGAATCCAAATGCAGCATCACAAGTTGCATCCTTCCAGACCCAGACATTTTTGCAATCCATAAGCAGAGTACTTGGACCAGTTGGAAGCAGAAGCCAACGGCGAGCTCTAGTAGTACGAAATTAATTTATTAAAGCCCAAAAGGACAAGCTGCAACCGCATTGCGTTGTACATCATCGCGTCACATTCAGAANTTTAAGCATGCAGAGTTGCATGACAACTATGGTGTGGGTACGTTTTTACTTAGGATATGCGCAGCGTTTTGGCAAGGGGGAAAAGGTATGGAATTGCAAACACCGATCTGGGTTTAGATGTGTCAATCGGAAGGTGCGTGAGCGTGACGCCGAGATCTGTATTGCATGAAGGGGATTATGTACATAGCCAGTTTGTTGAAAGGCAGCTTCTTTGTCAACATGCTAAATGTTACGTCGAATTAACTCGCGATAATAGATAAGAACTGAATTGTATCTTCGATGATGCGTTCATGCCGGGCAAAAGGGTGCTTTATTGTCATCCCAGGCTCACCAGCACGACTTTGTTCTATCCAGACCCAGACACATTTGCAATGCATAAAAGCAACGCTGTCTTCATTCGGAACGCGGGAAATCTGGTGCGCAAGCAGGTGGAGCTATCACACAGAAAAAAGTTTTTAGCAGGGGGTTATAATTTGTACTGCAAAAATAAGTACAACTAACAAATACACAGAAAATCGAAAACCTGCATAAGTATCCCCTACACATCATGTGACCATGGGCTCGCCCATGGCAGATACCTCAGCTGTGCATTTATTTTTGCATGAGGTACAACAAATGTAGTTAATGTTGACTGCTAGTAGCTTTTTTCTTTCTGAAAGGCGCTCTTTGCGGGAATTTTGGAGCGGTACTTGATGCCGCACGAGCATGAAGAAAAGTTTACGGACCTGAAGCGCATTCTCGGCAATCCGAAGCGGCGCCGTCGCGCTGCGGATGATGACACGACCGAAAAAAGTGCCGACAACGAGGCAGAGCGAATCCCAACGATTTTGTCAATCTCGTCCGACTACGCAAAAGCCCCGGAGCACATGGGCCTCTTCGTCAGCTTCTTATCCTATGTAGAAAGGTCCCCATCCCATAGTCAACATGGGGAATCGGTTTGACAAATCCACACGTTTTGGCTGTTTTGCATGACAAGCTTGGACTCGTAGTGTAGTGCTGTTTGACGTAGCTCAGCAGCATCACAGATCTACGATATCACGCTGATTGGAAAATGAAAAATTTTTCCAGAACACGACTAGAGAATGCTTCTCATGGGGCTCCGCATGAGAAACGTTGCCAGCTTGCAGAGTTGCATTACATTTACAGCTGTGGGGTGGGGCCGTTTTTAGATACGATACTTCTTGCAGCGAATCTACGGAGCGGCGTTTAAGCGCGGCGACCGGATAGCGTACCGTATTACAAAGAAAAATGCCCCCACCCCCGAACTTGGGAGCATTTGTATTGCAAACCTTTCCGAATGAAACATTCGCCCTCTTCTTGCATCTATCAGCATCACAGGTGTCCAGTCGTGAATAGCAAAAATTTCTATTGCAAAAGGCCCCAGCAAGAGCGGCGCTTGGCATGCAAGCGATGCGATACACGCCTACACTCTGCATCAGAAAGATCCATACTCCTTTCAATCATGCATGACAAAAAGTTTTCATTGGGAAACTTCGCATCACAAATTTTTGCAATTTCAGGGGTGGGGGGCACTTTTCACTGTGATATACCGCGGGTATGATCCCGACCTGGTCCATGTGGACGAGAATGGCACGGAGCTGCAGGGTATCCTGTGCAAAAGTATCGTATTCGTATTGCAATCATGCATTACAAATCCTTTTGTCAAGTCAAATCCGCATAACAAATTTTATTTCTCATGCTGAGGAAATTTGTAATGCATTTATACGAGTGCGATACTTTTGCAATGCATACAGGGGAACAATAATGTGCCGAACACGTCGTTCCGTATCCACTGAAAAAAACCCTTGTTCCCCATCCATTTTTTGCATGACAGAAACCGAATTTTGTGCATGTTTTGCATGACAAATTGGATGTGGGCGGGGTTTTTTTCCTGTGGATATTCCACTATCGGTACAGCGAAACGGATATGAAATGCAAAAGCATCGTACTAGTAGTAGTAATCGCATTACAAATTTGCTCAGCATGACACATGGAATTTATCATGCTGGTTTACCTTGAAAAAGAGATTTGTCATGCATAAACGCGATTACTACGACTACGATACTTTTGCACAGGATAACGGAGGACAGCGCCATGTTTCTGTTCGATCGGGAGCTGCTATCAAGTGCAAATATGCCTGGGTCGGGAAGAATGCTGCAACTTGTCATGCTGCATTTGGATTCCAAAAAAAACTGTATTTTTGCATGAGCAGCAAATAAGGGGATGGAATTTTTGCTACGCGGAGAGGGTATTTTTTGTCATGCGGAATAGGCAACATCAAGAAGCCCTGAAAAATAAAAAATCTGTGATGCTAGGGCATGCATCACAGAGGACATCATGGCTCATGCAAAAGAACGTGCGTGACAAGCCTTAGAATCTTCCAGACATCATCCAGGGATATTTGCAATTGATAGCTGCGTGAAGCACACTATGAACTGCAAAAGTATCGTACTCGTATAAATGCATGACAAATTGTTCCCCCAGCATGAGAATTCAATTAAGATTTGTAATGCGGATTTACCTTGAGAAAAAAATTTGTAATGCAAGACTTGCATTTATACGAATACGATACTTTTGCACAGGATACACACAATGCTGAAGTTTGGGACCGCTTTCCAGCAGTATCAAATGTAAAAATGTCTGGGTCTGGAAGGATGCAGAGATTTGCGATGCAGCTTTGGCATGAACCCTGATGTCTGTGATGCATACCCTAGCATCACAGATTTTTTGAGGGCTTCCTGATGCCTATACCGCATGAGAAATGCCCTCTCGCCGTCGCAAAAACTGCAACTCTTTTGCTGTTCATGCAATACAGATTTTTGTAGAATCCAAATGCAGCATCACAAGTTGCATCCTTCCAGACCCAGACATTTTTGCAATCCATAAGCAGAGTACTTGGACCAGTTGGAAGCAGAAGCCAACGGCGAGCTCTAGTAGTACGA